TTGGGTTCCTAATCTTATGGCCTTCATCTAGGATGGCGCATTCCCAGTCAGTAGGAATCAAGAACTCAGCGTAGGTTTGCAATCCAGAGTAGGTGGTAACAAGCACATGGCCATCCCGTTTAACCTTTTCGAGAATCTTCTTGGCAGCCTTTCCGGCGCCGGTCAAGGTAGTGTCGTAATCGCCATAATTCCGAAGCTCGAGTTCTCGTTCCATACGGTCTTCTCGACGGGTGTCCAGCATCCCGCTTCCAGAAGTGTGTAGAATAGAGACCCGAAGTGCAGGCCACCAGCGGTGAAACTCGTTGACCCACTGCTTCATGACAGTCGCCGGACACACTACAATGACAGGCTTGACAAGTTTCTTGGAGTAGTGCAGGCCGGCAACAAAGCCGATGGCTTGAATGGTTTTACCCAGACCCATCTCATCGCCGATGATGCCGCCTACATTCTGCGAATATAGTTCCCAGAGCCACTGCACGCCGGTCTTCTGATAGTCGAACAAGGCTGGATAGATATCTCCAGGGATGCGGAATCCACCATCGAACTCAGTATCAGCTTCAGTAGGATGAGGCTGGTAGCATTCTTCTTCGTCTTCGTCGTCCTCATCTGCAATTGTCTCACCCCTGCTCGCCTTTGCTTTTCTCCTTGCAGCTGCGCGGCTCCTGGACCAAGTCTCTATGCGCTTCCGATAAACCCGCTCATTGCCATCGTCAACACCTGCTAGGTCCTCGACAACAGCTTCTTCTGCAGGAGCAGCCTTTGTCTTTTTTGTTTTCTTGCCTTTAGCTTTGCGTTTGCGACCAGTTGTCTCTTCCGCGTATGAGTCGTCTCCATCCATATCGTCCGAACCCTCATCCGACTCGTCCAACGTCGCAAGCTGGCGATCTGACATACCAGGCTCGAAGGCATCGTCGGAGTCGGGATCGGTGAAGCCATGTGCCGCGCTTGATTCGCGCGAACCGAGAGTATCGCTAGCAGGAGTGACCTTCCGTCGCTTCTTGGATCGAGCTGTGGGCTTTGGGCTCGGGGCCTCAGAACTAGAATCGACATCTTGGAAACCAGGCTTCATCAGGTTGCGATGTGACACTGGTTCCTTCGCAGTGTCCACCACCATGTCCTCTGCCTCAGCATCTAGCATGACCTCGCCTAATGTTCCCGAGTCTGGCTGGTTCTGCGCCAGTTTGGAGAACGGTGTGATCTTTCCTGTGCGAATGAGCCACTCGCCCCGGGTTTCGTTAGGCAGCGGCCCTTTTGCGCCTTCTTCCGCTGCCTCTTCCACTCCAGGCGCCTTGTGACGATCATTGATACGCTGTTGTATTCCGTCCATTTCTCCATCCAAGTTGTCGATCTTGTCCCGATATGCCGCGATCTCGCCACGAAGTTTGGCTTTCTGCGTATCCAAAGCTGGTAGAGCCAGGCGGTTCTTGAGCTTCTGTATCGCAGCTTCCGCGCGTTTTGCTTCAGCCTCGAGCTTTTCTATACGCTTTTTGTCGCGAGCGTCCGCCTGCTCGGTCATCATCTGGTCCGCCTGCCTGCCGATATCACGCTCCAAGTCATCCTGCGCTCGTGTGCCAGTCGTGAGCATCTTGAGTCGTGCCTCCTCGTCAGCATCCGACGGAAGTTCCTCTTCTGAGTCGTGTGCACCATTTTGCGCGGTGGTATCACCAGGATCGTCATGATTGTCGGTGTTGGTGAGTGTGATCTCAGGCATCGCCGCAGGAGCAGCATCTTCGGAGGGCGGCGGCATGGTGGCGGATTTGCACAGTCGATGGGAAAGACGAAGGCGCTTCTACTATATCAGCGGCTCTCGGGAAATGCTTCTAGGACTGTATGCGATGCGCCTCAAACTACGTGGGTGGTAGAAGATCGTGAGAAGTTGCGCCGAAGGCAACAGCGGCGAGTGGACAAAAGTGAAGGAAAGGCCAAAAGCGCTAGAGCATAGAAGAAACCATCACGAGACAGTAGACAACACCCAACCAGGCTTTAGGGTACAGCGTCGAGAAAAAATTATCGTGGGCGTCGAAGGCACGACTGTGTTGGATGGTTTCATCATACTTTCACTCAGAGCGATGATATCACTAAACGCGCTAGTGGACGCGTGCGGACAGCGCCCGCGGCATCGCGCCACCACCACTATGCCCGAGTAGACAGATATCTACAAATGCCTTTCGAGAATGTACACTCGGAGAATTTTTTTTTTGAGCATTACATTACCTGAGCCACTGAGTAAACTCATAAATCCCATGAGCTCTACCTGCATTTGCTAATTGGCCGATCATGGTTTTCATCGACGGCATTTACGAGCCGTGTCTATGATTTCCATCTCACCTCTTTTGAGCGCCCTTGCTAACTTCGATCATTGGATGTTCGTTTATCACGGTTTGGTCAATGGTTCACCAGCTCGATCTCGTTAACCGCGCCTTCGTCTCTTCCGCGTAATGCAAGTGACATTCGAGAAGCTAGCAAGCGCGATCCTGTCAATCTCCGCCTCACCGGCGCCTACGCACCATCTGACTCGCCCTCTTCCATTTCATTGCGACGCGTCGATTCCTGAACAAAAGTCCGGGATCTGGACCATGGTGCATCCGAAGTCTTCATCCTGACTAGAGTTTTACTCGCCCAACATCACGTCCTATATTCACCACATTCGGGCCGTCCAGGGTTGACATTGATGCGGGTGGCTATCAGCCCTATGCAAGTCATGAGTTGGTGTCTTAACGAACAAAGCCACCTTCATATCGCTTGCGCGCGCTGAATCCTGCGCTCAAGTCCGCCCGCCTCAACATACCAAACGACTCAGATTCATCTCATCGACGAGGCTAACGGCTCCCTTGGCAGTCAACGCCTAGGATGAGTCTCCGCGGGCTCGATCTCTCCACGATGCAATCGCCTGAGGCATGCAGTGAGTGCCTGTAAATCAACGGTTTGCCCCGAACTACCGGAGCAGCCGGTAGTCATAAGGTGGACACGCGTTTCAACCCTAGGTCATGAATATGGTGCGCCCGATAACAGATGCGATGCGGCGCGCAGTGTTGTTCCAACATGCCCATCTCGGCCGGAGTATAATACTTCCACTCGAAATAGGAGGTAGTTCATCCGATGGCACGAGTGCACGGAACGTCAACAGAAGAGCTGAGATCAAGGCTAGGCTGCTATCGCTGGGGATTTCCAAATTGGTCACAGGAACAATTGAGTTGGCGGGTTGTCTGAAGCGTGGGTCCAAGCTTCACTTTTCAGATTTATCCATAGATACCCTGTCAACGCCTGTGAACATGGCTGCAGAGGTGAAAGTCGCGTGGTACGAATGCGGGGAAGCGAGAGGTTGGTTTGACGAGCCATGCAGCATCGCTCATTCAGGTTGCTGTTGCACCACTCGTAGTGGTCTAATACTGTATGCCGGGATTTCCCCGCGCCGTACTGTTCAGCCAGTTCGGGCAACACGACTCATCCCTTGGCCCAAGTCTGGATAGGCTGCGTCCTGACTCGGATCCTTGTGTGGAGCTCCCTCCCGCTGCATGATTGCGTTAGAGAACGGCATCTGGCGCGCGATTGGCGTTGTGGATATTGCCGTTAGATGTTTGATAGTCAGTGCCTGCGGCGTCTCCTTACACATCATCATGAGCGTCGCCTCCATGGTTTCTTTTTCCTACCAACGTTCTGTATTGTTCACGTAAATGACTTCGGCGTCGGGTGCCACAGGGCCTCCACCAATAGCCCCTCATGCTCGGCTTTCTATCGTGCTGGCTTTTGTGCTTACCTCTATATCGACTATAGTCGTAGCTCTAAGGTGCGCCAGCAATCGCAAGTCTGACCGAACATCGGATTGACAGCTCAGGTTTTATGCTCGACATTTCCATGTTGGAAGGCTCACATCGTCTGACTGGGTCATGCTTTTAGCCATTGTTAGTAGACGTTCTTTTTCTGAGATGCTGTCACTGACTAGAACCAGATCGCTACATGGTATGTAGACATCCGCGGAGATCAGATGAACTGAACTGACTCAGAACTTCACACAGGCTATCAGTGGTAGTACATTGCTACATGATCCATTTTCTTGATTACAGTAGCGCCATAGTAAGCTACTACAGGCTGTTTGAGAGTACAAATCTGACACTCCATAGGATGGCGTCTGGGAAACATTCAGACCGATAGTAGTCGGCTCCAATCTGTCAATATGGCTATACCGAATCAACTTCATCCTCGATCTCTGTCTCATAAAGACATCGATACTACTATTCTACGACCACATCGCCTCTTCAAATAAGCGCTTCCAATACGTCGTTCGTGGATTACTCGCCATCATAATCTCCGGCGGAATATCCCAGATTATCGCGTCCATTCTTATGTGTACTCCGATCACAGATGCCTTCTCATATGATGTATGGTACCGCGCTTTCGTCCTGCACGACTTCCATGTCAAGTGTTACAACCCGATTCCATTTTGGCTCTTCATCGCGGTTTACAATCTCACCACGGATGTAATCATCTGGACGCTACCAATGATATTCTTCCTGAATATCCCGACATTGCCGCTACGACGCCGTCTCGAACTGATCGCCATCTTCTCCGTCGGTATCATCGCCGTGATATCTTCCGCCTTTCGACTTCACACTACCGTCCTTTGGCTGTCAGACTACATACAACAAGGGCTGAGCACACCAGATCTTCTGTTGTGGAGCCAGGTAGAACAGAATGTCGGTATCATCGCGGCCTCCGTACCCTTCCTCCGACCACTCTTTCGCAAAGCGCTAGGCAAGGCGAGGAGCAGAGAACAGCCAAGTCCTGGTCCGGGGTTGCCTTTAGTCGGCAACCCGGCCATGTTCAGGACGCCAATCATTCCATCACCTAGCCCGACATTCGACAGGTGTAGTCGGGAGTTCAGGCCACCGAGGAGTACGCTCGAACCCATTGAGCCTATTAAGAGTACATCAACTTGGGGCTCGGCGATCTGGGATGGGTCGCAGGTGAGGCAGGTGCTTCCTACTTGATCTGGAGGTGATCGATTGGTCCACAAACCTTACAAGGAGTTGGCACCGAGCTCTCGAAGAGCTCAGTCGACACAGGATGATCTAGCTGTGTGTTAGTTTGCGACAGGAAGCTCAGTACTCCCCACAGGCAATATTCGCTTACCTCTCGAGCCCCGCTCAGATGTATGCTGCACATTCGAGAACCTCTTGCGACTTCCGTATCGACGATGATCATGGGACGACACCTTCGACTTGCGGACAAACGTTTAGCATTCCAAGCTCACGATCGGACTGGCGCCCTTGCGGCGATGCCATGCGCTCCTCTACTTCTACCCAAGGCTGCATCTGAGTTTTTTCCGGCCGAGATCTTCAAGAATATCATTGAACGCATATCTGGCTCGCAACTTCACGAGCTATTCGCTTTACGCGGCACTTATTGTTTCTATCGCTCCATCGCCACTGGTTTCATCCGACCGTATATGAATGCCAAGTTGAAACATCTTCGAGTATTCATAACGAAAGTCTGTTTGATAGCGCTTTTCGAGCACATGTCCGTACCTCAGTGGTAATGCTGCATTGAATGCGTTGCGTTCATTAGCCTTGGGGGACACCACGACTAGGAAGAGCGCCTCCATATTGTGTAATGATCCTTTCGCAGGCTCACCTACGGAGGCCTTGTTGCAACTGTAACCTCCTCTACATGACGAAGTTGGACGGACTTTTCGGTTCGTGGTCGTTGCCAACCTCCTTGAGCCCGTCCGTAGACCTCATTGAGCCCTTCTTTATCTTGAACCAACACAGAATTTTTGAGCTTGAAATTCATCACGCTCAGAGAGAACAATGACACTAGAGATCAGCGAAGGGCCTTTCTCCGACATGTCAGCCTGATGGCGCGTAATGTGTACCTGATTAGTATGCATCTCACTTCCAGTTCTTGGGGCTTGGATCTTGGAGTGTTGGTTGAGTTGAAGCTATTACGCTGCGTAGTCCAGAATCTATCAGAGATGAGAAAGCTTGTATACGCGTTCATTAAGAAACTTTTGCGAGACCAGGGAGATCCTGGTTGTTTTGACGATTGATGTCTTCTTTATGTGGCGAGAGGTGGCTTCGCATGGGCAAAATGTCACTGTATAGTCGAATAACATGGCAGATGTAGACGGGTAGCTGCAATGAATAGCTTCAATGACGACCATACACGCGCTCATGTCAAGTGCCAACAAGATGGAGGGGGCTGAGCAGAGCGTCGTACTCGTGGTGTTGTGATTCGTCGCGGGCCGACCGCGTCATGCTCTCGCCATTAGCCCTGCCGAAAGCGTCCAGAGCGAACAGTGCGATGCCGCAGTTCCAGAACTTGAGCGGCAGGCGACTTTATCAGCATGCGGTGGGCTCACTGTGACACGATCCACATGTCTTCTGTAGGGCAACGCTGGCGTGATTTGGTAGATGCCGGGGACACTCGAGCCGCTGCCGAAAGAAAGCTCAGCAAAGCGGTGAACGACGAAACGGGCATAGACGGCCAAGGGGCGCGTTGGTGATTGGTTTGGCGCAACTCTCGGCAGGCACTAGTGCATTTCTACCCACGCGTTGGCTTGCCGGAACAGAGTGAACCTTGAGTGGCGAAAGTGGTACCACGTCGATCAGGGCGTCGCCAATCTCCAATTTAATCCGCCTCCTTTGCAGCTACTTTGCTCCCTCTTCACTGCAGCACCTCCACCAATCGCTCCTTCACCTCTCTGCAACCTGCAGTCGTTCCTTCATTCTACAACTGCCAATTGTTTTTCTTTTGGATACTGAACACAGCCAAAATGTACGCCTCCGAGCCGCCCCGAACGCGCAAAACCCGTGATACTAACAGATGATAGGAACAACGCAACTTCTATCCTGACGCCAATGGCGCAGGACACCTACTGGGGCACCTTTGAGGACATCTCCACGTACAATGTACAGCTCAACTACCTCGAGAAGATGTGGATGGCCTGGTACGCATGGATGGGCAACGATGTCCTGGCGACAGGAATCATGTCCTTTGTTATCCACGAGGCCTTTTACTTCGGACGCTCGCTTCCCTGGATCATCATCGACTGCATACCTTTCTTCAATCGCTATAAGATCCAAGCTGTACGTTTGCCTGGCTTGCCAGCTCTATCGCGACCAAAGCTAATTTGCCGCAGCACAAAGTCCCCTCTGCTTGGGAACAAACACAATGCGCTCTCCTCGTCCTCCTCTCCCACTTTACCGTCGAGCTTCCTCAGATCTGGCTGTTCCACCCCATGTGCCAATACTTCGGTCTCGAGACCTCGGTTCCTTTCCCTAGCATCTACAAGATGGCTTACCAGATCGCCATCTTCTTCGTTTTCGAGGACGCATGGCACTACTGGGCCCACCGTGCCATGCACGCCAGCTCTTTCCTCTACAAGAACATCCACAAGATCCACCACCAATACTCTGCTCCCTTTGGCCTGGCTGCTGAATACGCCTCGCCCATCGAAGTCATGATCCTGGGTTTCGGTTCCGTCGGTGTTCCCATTGTCTTTTGCGCCATCACCAAGGATCTCCACATCCTGACCATGTACGTCTGGATCATCTTCCGTCTGTCCCAGGCCATCGACGCACACAGCGGTTACGAGTTCCCATGGAGTCTGCACCACTTCCTGCCCTTCTGGGCCGGCGCCGAGCACCACGACGTTCACCACGAGAAGTTCATTGGTAACTACGCTAGCAGCTTCAGGTGGTGGGACTTTGTCCTTGACACCGAGGCCGGTGCTGAGGCTTCCAAGAAGCGACGAGAGCGCAAGTTGGCCGCTGCCAAGGCTAAGAAGGCCATGTAAACGAGTGCTGGCATGCTCACAAGTTTCGGAGTCTTGTCGGTTTTAGCCGCATATACTCGCCGGTGGGAAGATGGTAGAACCACTCCCGACCGACTTACCCACACCTGCTTCATGCGGAGCTGGTATGAGACATGGCGTTTGGGTTATAAGAAAACCGCGGCCATGAATGATGGCTGCGGCAATAGACAGTAAAGACCCTGGGTAATGGGCGGCAGAGCGGTGTTTGTGTGAATAGGAGCTGGGTCATTATAGAATATCTACCTAATACTATTACGGTCGCTACGTTGAATGTTATCATTATCTCATCACTTACCAATTCGATCTTCTCAGTTGAACATGCATTTAAACGCACGAACACGCTTATTGAGGATAGCATGAAGTGGAAAAAGTGTCTCAGGTAAACGGTGAACGAGCTGCGAGGCCGCCCCTGGTGATAGCGCGGAAGGCGTCTTGGCGCGGTGAGGACTGGCGCGTCTACATTCCGAGCTTCATCAACTTTCTTTGACCCGCCCAAATCGCGCAATCACCACCACCACATCAAATCGACGGCGCGCGAAAACACGGAATCATGAGCTCCGGGCGCCCTGTTGCAGGTGTCCATCAGGACTACATTGCGAAAATCCGATATTCGAATGCGCTACCTCCTCCACCATGTCCACCAAAGCTGCTGGACATTCCCAACACTGGCCTTTCGAGCGGCCAGTACACATCGGCAGGTTTTGCGTCGAGACTGGCGCGGGAACAGTCGCTGAACATTGAGGCTGATGCTGAGCTGGGAATGCCCATCGACTTGGTGGGTATCCCCAAGGTATTCGATGGAGACGAGTCTGGTAAGAACGAACCCACGGCGCAACCGCCTCACAGCGACTAACGCGTCGAACAGCCATCCAGGCGATGCCTCACCCACCGCCGCTCAGCACGGCAGACAGGGCGCTGATGCGACCGCCGAACCAGCTTGGCAAGACGCAGACCAATGCCCAGGGCGCGACCTTCCTGCGACGAACAGAATACGTCACATCAAGCACAACCGGCGGCTCCAAATTCGAGTCCAGCAACTCGTCCAACACGATGCGCCTACGGAGGAAGCGAAAGCAAGTAGAGACCTCACTAGACGATCCCACAAACATCGCCCGACACATCTTGAAGAGCTTCAACATCGCCTACCCAGCCGACGCCTACAATGGCCAAGACAGCGCCGACCACCTCAGAGCCGCAGAATCAACGCCCGAAGAGCGCCTAGCATGGAACAAGCCCAAACACCCCAGAAACCCCAACCTGACCTTGGTCGACTCCTACCCCCTTCTGCCGGACTGGGACGCCATGCCCGACACGGGCGGCTACATGGTCTTCAAGTTCACGGCACCGCCCATCAACAACCCGCTCGATCCCTCCTACGACCCACGTCTTGACGTCGCCCTCCTGCGCCCTGCCGGCCAAACGATCCAAGACCAAGAAAAGTACATGGAAGACCGCGAAGCGCACCGCTTGGATCCCACCGTCCCACCCCCAATCCCCCGTTGGCAATTCGAATACTTCCTTCCCGCAGACCGCAGCAAGGTCCGGGGCATCAAACGCAACTTCACCACGCACGACCCCAACAACGAAGCCGACATTGACTTTGACATTGCCGAAGACGACGAAGGGCAACCGCGCAAGTGCTTCAAGTACGATAACGTGCGTACGTACGAGACGAGCCAGCAGGTTGGCGACCCGTCGGATACTTATGGCGATGTTGTCGCGCTGGCGCTGCACGATCCTGAGAAACATGAGGGTGAGAGGCTGAGGGATAGCAAGATGCAGCGTGCGGCGTACTTTTACCCCATCACGCAGAGGACGTCGTTGAGGCCGAGACGGCCGGGTAGGATTGATATGACGGAGGAGCAGCCCAAGGTTGATATTATTGAGGCGGCGGGCAAGGAGCCTGAGGGCGAGGCGAGGAGGGAGGGGTATAGGAAGAGGGCAGAGGGTATTGAGTAGTCTGGAGGGTAGATGATTAGGGTAAGGGTGGGAAGGAAGGGGTGAGTGCTCTCATCGTTGAAGTTTCAAGAGTCGAGATTGAACCCGTTTGGCATTGTCATCAGCGAGGCGTTTAGTGAGGCTACAGAGGATGTAAGAATAGGATATCGTGGCATATAAGGGAATTCACTCAAAAGATATCTGCTGATTGGTATTCTTTCGATTCATGGTAGAAAATTGCGCGACAAGTCTATCCTAGGGAAGAGAACACTTAGAGCAACGAAAGCGACTACCTATAACTCCTGTACACGACAACAACTGCTCCTCTGGAATTTGGCCGCAATCAGCTCAGCCTTCTCGCGGTCCGTAAGCTCTTTAGTAGTGTACTTCTTCTTTTGAGCTCCAAGTGGGGTCTCTAGCTGTAGTAGGATTATGTTGTATCTACGTTGCAGGAAGAACGGGGTCACTCCTGTCGACTTCGCGTCTCTTCCGTTGATGATCCGACACATGCGCCATAATTCACTGCTCTAATAGTCTTTCCAATAATTTCCACATTTCTCAAATCAACCAATCATAAGTCGGAGTGCCGGAGTGGTTAACGGGTGTGACTCGAAAGAGCAAAGCTCTCATAGATATCACATGCTTTCGGGCGCGCAGGGTAAGCATTATTCTTATAGTCAGTCATGACCTCCACTAACGGCTGATAGTTCGAGTCCTGTCTCCGACGTCCTTTTTTTTTCTTTTTTCCTTCCCTGGCATACCCCGCCCGAATACCCAATGGGAAGTTTCAAATAGGTCGTTAAACAACAATCAATCCACACTTCTCAACCACGCACATGCTCTGAAGCACACTTCCTCCGAACATCCGATGTCGCCTGCCTTTGACCCAACTCAAATCCTCTCAAACTCTGCATGGTCGCTAGCAAGTCTCATCATAGCCACCCACTCTTCTCTCGTCTTCCCCATATACATCTGATCTGGCGGCAACACACCAGCCATCCCGGCATCCAACTGCCGTTGTAAGTCATCATCCATTTCCCTTTGGAAAGCCAGTTCGTTCAGCCGCCAACCTGAGGTAGATGGGAATTCTTCTTTGAAGGGTAAGAATGGCTTGATATGATTGTATGCTGCGGGCGAATTCAAGGCCCATTTCTCATGTCCACAACGACCAATGTAGAGTTTGTTGCATGACGGTGGCAACTTTTGCGCGACGTTGTGCCACTTGTATCCTATGCTAGTAAGATAGACGTACTCGAAATGAGCATACTGCAACTTTGGCTGCTGGGAGAGGAAGTCGATAAGAGACGGTGTTTCCAGAAGGAGACTTCGTAGCTTCAAAGTTTTCAATGCCGGGAAAACTAATGGCGTATATGTGGAGACGGGAGCACTGACGCTACCAAAGAGCTTTTCAATGTAGTGCTCTCCCACATCCGGTAGTTGTGGATGTGATGTAGTTATGTTGCGAAACTCAAGCGTTTGTAATGTCTGAGATGCGTGACAAATCAACGAAGCAAGCAATGAGCCTTCGTTGTTTTGAGACTCAAGTAGAAAGTCCACACTCTCGGCGTTGAATGAGAGTGTAGTGAGAGAGCTGAACATGTGCTCCAAGGCGGCACTCGTTGTTATAGAGGACGGATGAATCTTCGGGAGGACTAGACTCTGGATGCGACTATTTGACGCTTGAAGAGCAGAGCTTAGCAGTTCAAGGTGCTTCCAGGTCGTCCTGCATCCGGAGAACTGTTCACTCACCTCATTGCTGGCTACGTTAGTCTGACACTATCTAGACAGTAGTTTAGTCGTACTCACTCGTAGTCGTCTACAATCCCATAGTCACTCAAGTCGCAATGCCACTCTTGGATTTCGATAGCTTTCAAGCTCGGCATGTGAGCGAAAAGTTTAACCAGTACCGCTGAGATTTCATCTGCCCTTTCGCGCTGCTCCTCAACCTTGGAGACCCAGATCGCTTCCGCCTGCTCAATCAAGTTCCGCTCTTTACCAGGTCTTGCCAGCCGTGCCTCGGCGCGACGACGGATACCAACATATTCGCCCTCGGAATCCTCCTCGAATTCTTCTTCTTCATACATATTATGGAAGTCTGCCTCGTAATCCTGCTCCCTCTCTAGCCATCGGCGATAGCTCGACCAGAAACCTTTGGAAAAAAAAACAGGTCAGTATCTGCCTGGCCATGGATAGAATATCCGTAGACCCAACTTACCATCTACGTAGTAGGTAGGACTGAACTTTAGCTTACGAACATGGCGCGCAATGTCCAGTGCCAACAGCTCATCCACAGTACTTTCCAGAGAGCCCAATTCCACCGTCCGTGAACGACCGGGATGGATTTTATACTGGCCATCCTCCACTCGACCAAATCCGGTCTGGGCTGAGCCGTCCAAATGGATTGTCTGGAACATCAACGGCTTTGTAAGGGTCGCGAAAGTGCGGCATGTTCGAGACACTAAGCGTAGATGATGCTGGGGCAAGTATGAGAAGATCTCGAGGTAAAGTTCCTCAGGCAGTTCCATGATGGTCTGTGGGTATGATGATTAGAAGACGACAGGCAAGTGTTATATAGAATATGGACAGGCGTCGTTCAGCGGGCAAGGGCGTGACTGCGCGATGATTTCGCGATGTTAGCCTGTTCGCGCGAAAGAGCAAGCGGCGAGGCAGCAATCCCAAAGGGAACAATTATATGAGCGATGCAAGCTAATACATTTGAGTGCATGTGTAGAGGCACGATTATTGGTTTGATTTGCATTCGTTGTTGGTGTTGAGGACATAGTGCCAGGCATCAGCGGTGACTAGAGATCTGGCGATAAAGTGCGGGGCGTTGGTGGCGGATTGCCATGCTCGCCCATGTTCAGTCAAGGCCCGGGCAACAACACAACGTCTTCGTGAGTAATGCAGCTGTAGCGTCACAACAAATTGTAATAGGATTACGCAAAGCTAGACTTGTACTATATACAGGCTTGCGAAGCCTTTGGCTTATCTAGAATATCCAGTAACAGACTCCCCGTAACTCCTCCACAACCCTTTCAACGAACGGCATGTCGCATCCTGCTTACAACACAAATTACTTCTTCTTTCCTCCTAGCAAAAAGTACGCGCACTGCTTTCCTCCGCTCCTCTCCTTTCACTGTCTCTCGACTTCAGTCTGATCTTGGGTGTGTCTGACCAGCACTACTCGCAAGCGAAGTCTGACTCTTTCTTTCCCCCGTATCCTATTTCTTGGCCTGAATAACGCCAGCAACAGAGGCGATGAGACCGACAACCCAGTCGGCAACAAAATAAGCAAACATGTACCAGGCGTCTCTGTGAAGAAGTTGAAACAGTGGTTGAACGGCTTCAACTAAACGGGCCAGTAATTGCCTAATGTTTCTCAATTCTTCGAGGCACAATCGAAGGACAGTCAAAAGCTCATATCCAGGGCTGGCTGGCTGAATGTGTAAGGGTAGTAGCGTGGGGTTGGTGGTAACCCAAGAGGCTGCAGTAGTGTGGGCCTGGTTGGGGTAACGCATGTCCATCTTTCGACTGCAATGAGTTAGCGTGTCGACTACAACATCAAACAGAAATGGCAGATTGAATTACATCTGTGGGTGCTAGAAGATGTTGTTATTGCAGTAATGTTGCAACGTAAACCCGGTAGTAAGAATCTGAAATAAATCTCCCAATGTAGTATGTTTCTTGCGCAGTGTAGGTTTCATTCTTCTCTTGCTGCGTGTTCTGCACTAAATGCTGGGAGATTCTGCAACACCCCTGCTGTTCAGCTCTCAGAACAGTTGCCCACAGAATGGTCACCAATAAATTTCTTTCACGCTAGACCTTATACAGTTAGTCAATATTTCTGATCGGGAGTTGTAACGCTGTAAATACCGATGCGGCCGGGACTGCTTAACACGACTGTTGTATCGTTTTTCAAGATCAGACATGGCATAAATAGGAAGAAATTTGAGCCTCGTGTTTGTCGCAAAACTTCATCAATTACCCCTCCGGTCTTCCATTACAACGATTCTGCATACCCTTTGAGGGTTTTCCACTCACTTGACCACGACAGCAATAACAGCGACAACGATTCCAATAGCGGCAATAACGAGCCCTATAACATGAGCGTATTCCACTATGAATGTGAACCATCTTCTCTTCCTATCAGGGGCAGTCACAGTATAGTTCGTACCCGTGGGTGTCATTCGATCGCTAGGAAGATACGGGTCGTACGAAGGTAAAGTATAAGCACGGCGCGGAGGGAAGTAGGTAGGTAATACAGTATCGGGGTTGCGCATAGTGATGCTTTTGACTGCTCATAAGTTAGCTTGACGATACAGCCAATCACAAGTACAGGTGCTAACTACATACGTGCGTGCTGGTGAGTTGGCATCAGGCTGAACAACAATGGAAAAGCAAAAGCGAAGCTTGATCTTGTGTTTCTTGATGATTCCCATTTCGAGATTGTTCAGAAGGCATAGCATATATGAATGCCCGCCTGCGACTCGAAGTGCTCTGCTGTGAGTGCCATAGGCGTGAGGTATCGACGTCTCTGGACGTATGAATGTCTATGGCACCTATCAGGTTGCGTCCCGGACAGGACGGCAGCCGCTGTATGCTAGACATCCTGCACTTAAGCGCCGGGGATAGGCTAGGCCAAATCCTGCTCAGACCACCGCAGGTAGCCAATCAGAACCATCTAATCTTGGAGGTTTACTAGGGATGACCCAACGCCACAGCCCAAAGTTGGTATCGTTGGCCGCTTAAACATGCGTCTTACATGCTCTTCAAAACACCTTCATTCCGTAGATCTGGAGAAGCGAGGGGCTCTTGGCGGGTGGATTAACCTTATATTAAAGCTTGCCGTTGCCGTTCCATCTGGCCCGCAGGTCGTGACACAATCAATATTACTAGGTAGCGAATGCGATCTGCTAACCTTGCAGATATCTGCCTCGGGAGTCTAGAAAGTGCATATCTGCAGCTTGAGGATGCTGACCTACGATTCGTCGGCGTAGCTTGTGAAGTGTTCCCTTTGTCGCTTTCCATTCTTCTGCATCACCGGTCATACCAAAGGGGATTAGGTGGCACACGCTTACAATATGACGTCGTAAGGCTGAACAGATGAGCCTTAGCTTTCGTCACTATCGATCACTTAGGATCCGCTGAAATCTTCTCAAATTGTCCATGCAGTCGGCCTGCGCCTTGTTCTTCTCATCCTATTTTTTTATGTTGCTACTCGCGACTGTACATGCTGTCTGGACCACGGTCGCTACCTAGGTACATGGTCCTCGCTCCCGCTCTCTGATCACTTCACCACTATAGCGACGATAGCGACAACAAGTCCGACAATAGTAGCAAGCCCAACAAGATAAGTAAACCATCCTCTCACACTGGGGATAGTTATGTTGGTGTTGATTCTCGAGGGCATCATCCCGCTGTTGAACGGTTGAGGATCGAGTGAGGGGAAGGTGTGGGCGCGCCGTGGTCGAAGGTATGTGGGAAGCAAGGTGTCCATATTAATCTGCTCATCGGCAGTGGTGGTGGAAGAGGACATGGTGATAAGGTGATACCGACTTCGACTGACGAATATAGTTTAGCGTGACGACACAACCAATCAAAGGTGGAAAGCTACCTAGGTAAGCCACATACGGTGATGGGAACGATGATAAGCTGTCGTGATGCCCTTTAGTATATATAGTAATGAATTGTAGTCGAAGGCGTGTTACTGTATTTCAAAACTCGTTTTTTCTCTTCTAAGATTGCTGGTCGGCACCGAGAACTTGATATAATCCAGTACTGTCACATCGCAAGTGTGCCATGTGTTGTTCCAACATAACATGGCGCACTTGCGATGTGAGGGTGCCGCAATGGCCCCTCACCGCCCACCTTCTCTAGTGGTCTTCGCGAAACGCTTACATCATTGGTCAATAGCGACGTTTGGTAAGGCTATCGTACCTAGGTATGCTATTGGTACAAAGAAGGCTGCTTCTGAAAAAGTATGCAACATGTCGTAGCACCTCGAAGTGGGATCTGGTGTTAATCCTTTAAGACAGGACGCTGGTCTCTACGACAGCTCCCATTCCTCATTGATAAATTTCTAGGTATCCGAAGTGCTCATAACTCTTTGGATCGAAACTCTTTCACATTGGCAGTGTCGAGAGAGATGAGTTTCTACTTTCTTGCGCCTGGCAACCTGCCGATGTTCGCTTATGTTATATTTGCTAGATCCTCACAACTGCGCGATTCCGCAGCCGGCATCGCCATTTATGATATTGAAGAATTGATGTGTTTGATCGAGCGCGTACAGCGTGCACACGGGTCAGGGTAGTTACATTCTTACGATAAAGGATACTCGAGTAGGCTGGAATTTTTAAGCTAGGCACCCAAAAGTGGCTAGTCTCTCATATTTCGCAGGACAGAATCCACCTCGTCCTTTGCAGCCTCGAGTATGTGCTCCGCCTTGTAGCGTGGCGTCCAACCCATTCTCGGGCCATTGTCAGCAGCCAACGTGCATCTGAATAGTAATTAGCATTCTTTATTCAACCCTTTTATACGATCGGAATAGACTTACAATCCACCGAGTTGAACTTTCGCTGGGATTCCACCAAGGATTTCTGCCATCTTCTCCTGGGTCGAATCGTCCGCATCCTTTACCGTCTCATCGTCAACGACACCTTGCCTCTTAAGCTCAAGGCTATACGCATCATAGATGTCGTCCCAGGCAACCGATCCAGAAGAAGCGATGTAGTAGCCGCTCTTACCATAGCCTATCGACCTTTCCTGAAGCATCGAGCGGATCAGATCGAGGTATAGACTAGTGTTATCCAAAACATGACAGACAAGCCAGGTTGGTCTACCTTCGTCGACTCGATACACCTGACGGAGTTTCTTGGCGGCTTTGATGATAGCAACGGTCTGTATCGAGGTCTTGTTCCCAAAGCCTTCTCCCTTTCCATACACAATGCACGGTGCAAAGATATAGCTACGCACACCATGTGCTTCCGCCTCCTCGATTACGTTACAGTTAGCCTTGAGGGCTGGACTAAAGATCTTGAGTGGCGTGTGGTCGATCGCGTGCTTTTGTAGTACATAAAGATCCGGATGAGTGTCGGGCAGGGGTTGCTCCGTCGGCATTCCAACGAATTCCGAAAACACTTTCGCGCCGGTGGTAAATAGGAAGTGCGTTTGGAGACCGGTCAGTTTTTTGACTTCACCTAGGCCAGCAATGGAGTGTGTGGAGAAGGTGGTGTCCATAACATCATGGAGATGTAGGACGATCGTGATCTTTTCGTTGATGATCGTTTCTTTGATGCTTTCTGGGTCTGATGCATCGATTGTAAGAGGCGTGGCATTGTATTGCTTGACTGCACTCACTTGCTCCGATGAGCGCACGAGAGCGAACAGCTTCCCATATGAGGGGAGCTGTGCTTCATTCCAGCGCGCAAGAAGCGTGCCGCCGAGATAGCCAGAACCGCCTGTTAAAAGAATGTTGTGAGACATGGTAACAAGTTGAAGGAGAGCTAATACGATGCATGAACTGCAGCAATATATGCGAAGGCTACGCGTATATATAGGAGATGCAATGTATCTCATGGATCTAACCTGCTAGAATGTGCGCAATCCGCTAATCGTCATCGTGTCCGTGTACTGCGGATATACGACAAGATTCGAAGCCATTCGGGATGCAGTTCTGACTGGGCTGATGCATCTTGCTTGCAATATAAGGCGCGCCGCATGATTTGTAACTTGAAGCTATAATGGGTCGTACTCTCGGACGAACGAGGACAACAGTATCAGATGGTATTAGCTACGCGCACAGACAGAAAATGGATTAATTCGTAGGAGAACGTTGGGACAGCCAAGAAGGAAATTCTGCTATACCGCTTACAGGACCCCGTCTGCCTGGGCGAAACTCATTACAGGATTGTTGATTGTTTTGGTGTGTCGGAGTCGGAGTGAGGACCCGTACGAACTTCGGCTTGGTAGAATACCTAGGTAGGTACTATGGCTTTGTTGCCCCTAACCTTCAGCCTAAGGCATGCATCCGATAGGCCCAACGACTGAACCAACAAACCGCGTAGTACTCGCGAGAAGAACCCCCTTTCATTTTAGAACCTGCTGAAGTAGATTTAGAGTTGTTACCAACCGGGCTGTCGTATACTGATTGTGCATGTAGAATTCCCACTGCGAAACATGTGGCATATCTTAATCATTCTTTATCTCCGATTTCGCGATCGTTCTGCATGCGCTCTCCATACTCACGGTGGTAGGAGACGTGCCGGGCGTTAAAGTTCCGTTACGTCATTTCATGCCTGCTAAATCCTCACAACAACCGCGCGATTCCGCAGCCGCCATCGCCATCGCCATCACACACAGAAGTGATCTCGAAGGGCAGGGCAAATCCATATCGTGTTTATCATGTCAGGATATGGGCACTAACTACCCTGGCTAATATGTCCGTGCCAAACTGATCACCCAACGCGCTGACTCAAGCGGCGCGATAATATCGCGAATAATTGACGGATTTATTTGCCGATGATTCGATCTTTATAGCCGATTTAACTCCTATGCAGTTTTCTCTAGTCTCTGGTCTTTCGCATCTTCTCCTTCTTCTCATCATCTAATTTTTAATCCTAATTTGCGGTCGCTTTAATACTTGTCGCCGATGACTTCAACCATGGCCAGTCGCGATACCTGCAAGCCATCCAAAGAACCATCGCGACATGATACATCGGAAAAACTCTACGACAGTCACGAAGTGCCATCCTGGTACGCCCACAACGCCTGGATAACCACCGGCTACCGTCCCGTCACAAAATCGATACCCCTCTGCATCCGCAGCCTATCTTACCTGCACAACGAGACCGTCAACATCTACTCGCATCTCATTCCCGCCGTCGTCGTTCTCTTGGCCAGTTACTCTTTTGACCGCTACTTCATCATTCGCTTCCCGCAAGCGACATGGACCGATGAACTCGTCTTCCGAATCTTCCTAACTACGTCTGTGATATGCTTCGGTACTTCCGCTGCGTATCACACGCTGATATGCCATTCTGAGACGTTCGCTAGTCTGTGGGTAAGGTTGGATTATGTTGCGATTATAGTTCAGATCGTAGGGAGTTTTATACCCGGTCTTTACTTTGGGTTTTATTGCGAACCGCAGTTGCAGAAGGTATACTGGTCGATGGTATGTATAGAATGATATGCGACGGTACACACGATGGCTAAGAGATTCTTCCAGATCATCACATTAGGAACTTTAACAGCGACTATGGTCATCAACCCTAGCCTTCATGGTCCGAAATGGAAAACCTTACGCCTGTCGGCATTTGTCGCTACAGGCTTTTCGGCTTTTGCGCCAATCATCCATGGCGCGTTACTATTCCCTTATGGCCAGTTTGACAAGCAAACTGGTCTGCGTTGTTATTACCTTGAAGGTGTTCTGATAATGATGGGTGTTTGGTTCTATGCGGTAAGGCAATCATGTTCAACGCCACCATATTTCTTTGCAATGAAGTGTTGATTGACGAGCGTAACAGAAACACTTCCCAGAGTCTTGCAGACCGAAGAGATACGATATTTTTGGTGCATCGCATCAGCTGTTTCACCTCTTCATCGTTTTAAGCGCTATAGCGCATTATTACGGAGTTATGAGCGCCATGGAGTGGAACTACGTGAACCAGCGCTGTCAGTGGTCGTGAGCACGCATGTGTCTGACTGACGTATTTTCTCAAGTTCACTCTTACCGTCAACGTTTATGCCAACCTTCTACAACCGCCATTTCCAATCTGGCTGCCTTTACCTCTCTGCAATAACGACAACGCCAACGTCAACAAAAAAAAAGTAGAGATTAATGGACACAGCGAGACTCGAACTTGCATGTCCCGCATCACGACTGCCCAGTGCCGAACTTTCGCAAATTCTGTGCTGGCTGTCCCATGCTCAATTTCAGCGAATTCATGCCGGGCGACGCTAAGGCCATTGTGTGCGGGCGCCTTACCATTAGGCCATGTGTCCTGGACGCTTTTTTGATGAGAGACGTGGGAAATGACAGATTGATGTAGAGTAAAGGTAGATGGGTTAATAAGAAAGGAGAGATTGGTGTAGGTTGGCAGCGTCAGGCGAATTGTCTGGCAATCTGTCCTAGCAGTATCGATGCCATCTAATACCCCCCTATTAGCAGATATGAATCAATAATTCGCAACGCCCCCGACTAATTGTTGGTTGTGTCTCTATCGTTCCACCGCTGCACATCCCGTACAGATCTCACAGGCCTGAGCTCCTCCATTAAAAGATCACTCTGAGAGTCCTTTTGTACTCTGCTACTCTTCACCCGTTGCCTAACAACGCCGACTTCAGTTCTGGCTCCGCTTTCATCCGTTTTGACTGAAACAGCTTGATTAGAAGTACCGTCGGTCTTCATTTGTTTCTTGATTTCGGAGTCGGTGGCTAGGCCCGCCTGGTTGAGATAAGGTTCAGTAACTGCGCTTATGCTCTGGGCGATGATGTGCCAACTCTCCCAAATCAGCGTATGTTTGGTGCTTCTAATGAATAGCATGAAAATTAAGAACACGGCGACGCTGTGTATAGCTGTGGCTATCATGACTATGATATATGAACTTGTCGCTCCGGCAGGGTTGGTTGCAGGTCGTCCATTACCTCCGGGCACCTGCGCTGTGATGAAATCACCACGCAAGGCGACTGTACTGTTCGGTGTGCCATCGGGAACTTCAGTGAAGACGTAAGACTGGTAGTCTGCCAGTACAACGCTCATCAGCATGCTTTGCATTGCTTCCGCTGGGGTTCCGTCTTCTTGTAGAATCTCTAATCCAAGTCCTTCGATATTGTAATCTGCACGAGGCTGGAATTCTTTCATGTTGTCCATCAGATGTAAAGTAGAATGTTCTTGCCCTGGCTCGAAAATCTGATTTGAGCCGGTGCCTGAGCCGGTGAGCGTTATCATGGTGAGGATGTTACCGAAAGGGTATTCTTGGTCGGTCATATTGTCGAAGAGTCGCCAGGACTGTGGATGCAAAGATAGAACATTTCGCTCATCTGTGGGAAGCTTCGACGATGAAACTAACTGCTTCCGTATATCATCGTAGCGGAACTGACTTCGCTCAACGTCAAAGAAGAACGTTGGCTCTTCCAGAGGCGCTCGTGATGTTGCCGATATGTTAAGAACATAGGCGCGGAATACTGGAAGGCAGAGACTGAAGCTTAGCTTGTTATCTGCGAAATTGTTGCCACCCGACCAGTCCAAAGCATCCGCGTCTTGTTTCAGATCGAGCCACTCGTTTCTGTCATGATAACGTAGTCCTGGAGTTGTATCATTAAAGTTTGCAAGTTCCGAAGGTGGAAGTTTCGTGTTGTTTTGGACTTGTTGATCCACATAACCCGTGTAGTTCATCAGAAGAAAAGGGGTGACTTCGCTGGAGAAGTTCTTCCAAAAGGGGCTTTTAAGCTCCCCATAACCTGCCGGTCCGATGTCGCAAACGGTTAGATCCCAAGCAGAGGTTCGACCTGCAACTTTGTTCTGGCCATAATCTCTTACGAAGTTCCACGACGGCTCACACGCAAACGCGGTTGGCTTGAAGCCCGTAAAGGGGGTCTCGGCCAAGAGGACTGTTAGCAGGTCGTCTGGAATCGAAATATTCCCATGAATTTTGAGGTCGTAAGTAGTATTGGCTTGTACCCGAGTATTTGTGATATTTGGCCTAATACAAATCGTGCGCGCATCGACGACGGGGGCTGGACCTTCGTAGGTATGGATGAAGGACCGAGACCGAGTATCGCTAAACGGCAAAAGCGCTCTCATTGTGGAACCTGTGTCTGAGTAGCCTAGTGACCCATCAGCCGAGTCGTTTCCCGTATACTCTGCAAATATCGGCCACGGGCGTGGAGCGCTTCGCCAGTTGGCAGTCAGACTTCCCCTATACAACAACTCTTGAGGAAGTACATATGCGTACGGTGAAAGACCACTATCCAGGTTAACATGACTTCCAGTCGATCTTTGAATTAAGCCTACCTCGGAATAAAGCCCGCGTTCACGTCGGCCAGCAGAATCGTCGATGTAAACTGAAGTAAAACAGTTGTGATCGATATGATGGCAGCCCACACAAGAAGAACCCAAGTTGGTCCGTTGCGACCGAGCTTCGGATATGCTAATAGAGCATACGGCGCCGCCGAAGACGCGCGCATCAAAGACAGAGGTGCTAGATCTTGCAGGGCAACTCCAGTAGTACTTTCAAGCGCAATAGCGGCAAGCATAGATGACGCGAGGCCGGCTTGCACAGTGGTTGATGTTCGAAGCACAACAGCCGCAATGGCGACAGATCTCGTCATCCAACCGGACAGAGCGATGTTTTTCCAATTCTTATTACCGCTTGCGGTAAACCAGAGAAAAGTAATGTAAATGATGAATGCCGCAGTTCCGAGTATGCTGAGCACAATTAGAGTGCAGGGCCACTTGCCGATTCTGCGCACAATCTGCGTGACGTGTTATTAGGTTTACGTGTGGAGGTCCAATCTACACGTACTGTTACGGGTCGCCCTTCAGGCACTTCTGCCTTGTGGGCAGGAACTACGGTTGTTCGGACATCTTTAGTTTTCTGTTGTTGTGCAGCATTGACCAAGTTTTCGTTCGCTACGCTGAAGTTCTGGTATTCGTATTGTTGTATAGAAACGCTGGAGCGCTCGCTCGCCACACTGACATCCTGGTATTCGTACTGTTGTACAGAGGCGACATCCTGGCCTTCTTGCAATCGTATAGGGTCGTTCATATCCTCCCTAGTTTGTAAAGCATCATAGCGTGATGCCATGGTGTACGGATATACGAATCGAAGAGATGAAACTGTGGGAGAAGAACAATGCCCTTGCAGACACTAGCCTGCTTTTAATCCACTTCATCAACAAGGGGACGACAGATATGCCAAGTCAACAAGGCTGAGTAACGTGCCATACGTCTGCAGCATGACGAAAATACTGCACCAGGTGAATCCTAGATGTGTGGTGGGGGGCTTGGTGTGGGGGCCAAAAGATCCATTGGCTATGTATAGTAAACACCAATGAGACCATACCTACCATCGCTCGCTTTAGCGCTCTTCATTCAAACAAGAAAGGAATCAACCAGTTTGTATCCCTAAACCACCATCCTCCTAGTCATCCACTCCCCAAAACCCCCCTCAGCAACACTCTTACTAAACGCAATCCAAAACGCCTGTTTCTCACTCACAGGATTAGCACACCTCTCCACCATCGCCTTCACGTTGATGCTCTCCAGTCCCTTGATCGCCATAACCTGTTCCGCCCACTCTAAATCCATGCCCCCGAAATCACCACCACCACCACCAAGCGGACCACCAAGCCACTCGTTCTTCATACGCAGCATGGTGTCAAAGTCACTGGGCAGGATGGGCGTTATGGACTCCCAGCCATGATCAGGCTTGCCAGATATGACGTTCAGAGTAAGGCTGCGCAGGGAAACAGGCGCAGGAATCTCGGTTCCGTCGAGAGCAGACTGCGGCGGTGTAGCAAGGTAGTCGCATAGACTTGCCCATTCCGCGCGGTCAAACTCTTTGCTATATGGTAGCGCTTTCTTCGTCACGCTGAGATGGCGTAGAGCGGCACGGCTTCGGGGTGTAAGGTCGGAAAGGAAGGGTACTGCAGCTTCGATGCTGGTGTGGAAGGAGAATGTGTAGGTCGAGTAGAGGATTTTGCTTGCTTCGGCGTGGATTTGGTGGTTTAGAGATAGCAGGGAGGGGACGGTGTGGCGGAGGTGCGATGTGTAGGGGGAGAGGAGGACGCGGTACGTTGTTGGTGTTGTGGTTGTTAGAAAGGGCCCTGCGAATCCATTAGCACATTGTCCGGTTCCCTTCACAGATTTCCCCTCGGATTGCTTGTGAACGTACCGGTTCTAATATGGTATGTACTCCTCCGTCTCCATGTCCTTGGACCTTGCACTCCCAACCATGGATCCATAGTGCGTACGCTCAAGGTACATGGATCATTGTTCGTATCTTCGGAGAGGTAGGTATGGAAGTCGGGAATTAGGTTCGCGACTGAGGTTCCGTTTCCGGTCGTGGGCGTCGTCGATGGTAGGAGTAGGTACTCGTATATCATGAGACGGATCTCGAAAGGAAGACGGAGTAGCGGCGAAGCTGGGAGAGCGTCGGCTTGGTAGGACGTGGACTCCATGGCAGTAGATGTTTGCCAGGACCTTGGTTTATGGCACGATACGTTTTGTGGGTGTAACAGGTGAAGAGACGTGTCGGATTGCTTTCCGGATACTGTGTAGTCCTCTCTTCTTCAAATACAGTCGTTGGCGTTTCTCAGCTCCTGTAATTAATCGGTGTGTCGCTCCAGCTGACTACACGTCGTTCCAATCAATCAAGACAGATACCACGACGCATACGTTTCGGCCCAAAAAGAAAAGATGCAGTCAATTAGCGCGCGAGTGGGCGTTCTGTGATTTTTGCTTGTAAGCGACTCAGGGACCATCAAGGTATCACGAAGTCGACGCTTGGGAAAACAGCGCGTACAAGCCAGAAAATAAATTCCGACAGCACCATGATGACCTTGACGCATGAGTCGAGGGAGCTTTACCTAGAAAAGTAAGACCCTTGGTTTCTATCCTTGCAAACGGATTAGTCGTGGATCATGGCGGCAGTAGCGCGGAGATAAAGGTCTTGACTGGAATGACGTTCCGAGCATGCCCAGGTGTTATCGCGTTGGTAATGCTGGCGGTGAGCAAACATCGGCCGGCAGTGTTGTCTCGTTGCGATGCCGGTGTTCATCTTTTACGGCCGTACTGTTATATATAATACATGGATTGGTGCCTCTTTTCTACTCTTCAGGTTTAGTAAATGTGTCAGCTAGGTTCAAAGGCTTGTGTGCTGACGCAGGTAGCGATATCCGCCTACTAGATAACCTGCAACAGTACACATTCTAGACCTCTCTCAATCTCACGTCGATAAGACATGATATCGCGCAATACTCTGATAACGCTGCCCGATGAACGCCGAGACGGCTCGCGATCTTGCATAAACGCTCTTCTATCGGGCCTTTCGGAAACGACTCGGAATACATGCCCTAGGCCCACGTGCGTATGTCATAGCGTGGCGGATGGTCAAAGAAAATGAGAGATTTCTCAAAAGGGCCGCCGGGCTTGCGTCAAGGTTGCGTGAGCAAGCAAGCGAGAATTGTTGAAGGACAAGAAGCGGAGGCAGGATCGCCGGTTTCTCGGCCAAAAAAGGTACGTACCTGCAGCTCGCTAAAATCCTTGCCAAGCTTTCAAGCGTAACATGTGAAGTACCCGAGTACCTCGCTACGACAAGCACGCATAGAGGTAATACCAAAGTCAAGAGGAAAGCGCGAAGTTGCTCCATGTTCAATGATATGCATTGCTCAGCTGTAGTAGCAGCTCAACTGTGAACGCCATCGAGCTACCTTGCTCTGCTCTTTGCCCCCTTAAGTCCCTAACCATACCCTAACACAGTAGTTTCCTTCTCAAAGTACCGGAGAAGGAAAAAAGCCGACTACACGCAAAATCAGACAAACAAGAATCTTTTTGACTTTATCCCTCCCTTGCGGATTTAAACGCCTCGCGACTGAGCACGTAAATAACCAATGGCATGACATGGACCTAGAAAAAGAGAGGATGCAAGAGGAGAGGAACAAGAGAGAAGAAAGGAGATTGTCATAATACAAAATCTGAGGCCTATCAAGCGTATCATGTAAACATGCTTCTTCGTGCCATCAGTCAACTCAAAGTGGACGTGAGAAAGAAAACAATGACCCTTTGTCGTACAAGCTCGTCATGATGATATGGGTAGCCCATATTCTTCTTAACAACGTGTCAAGTCTCTTAAACGTCTTGGATTTGCAGGAGACGGATCTAGTGCTGGCCGTAGTTTCCGCCCCAACCTCCGCGGTTGTAGCTTCCGCCGTATCCTCCAAATCCGCCGTAGTTGCCATAGCCACTCTGCTGCTGGTGGCTACCGGAGTTCTGGTGGCCTAGACCACCGAGTCCGCCATACTGGCTGTTGCCAAGGTGGTTCGGGTAGTTGCCGTAGCCTTGCTGAGGGTGTTGGGGTCCGCCCTGTCCAGGGGTGCTTTGGTTGGCGGAACCGGGGCGACCGGGCTGAGCACCGAGAGCCGATGGGCTGGGTCCACCGCTCTTGTAGTCGCTCGAGGGCTTCAGGGCGTCGTCGTTCAAGCCCTGGCTACCCGACTGTCCATAGGAGCTTTGGTGGAAGTTTCCCGGTCGAGTAAAGGTATCGGGAATGGCACCGAATCCAGCAGCAGCAGAGTTGGCAGTGGCGCTGGGGTTCTGAGATGCTCCAGAAGCTGAGCGACCGTAGTCACCGAAGCCTGCACCCATACCACTGCCGCGATCGTGGAGCGAAGAAGCGCCGAAACCTCCTGCATTGGCGGGTGAAGCCGAGTGCTGGTCGAACGAAGCTTGGGGAGACATGCCGTAGTGCTGGGGTTGACCGTACATGCCGCCCTTTCCGAACGAACCATAGCCTGCTCCTCCTTGGCCGTAACCACCGAATTGGTTCATGTAGTTAGCGTAGTAGGGGCTGCCATAGTATGGGTGGTTGTATGGGTAGCCCGCACTGTGACCGTGCTGCGCGTGCTGGCCTTGAGCGCCATGTCCCTGACCTGCCATAGCAGCCGGGTTAGGGGTGTTGTGACCGCTGTTCTGAGCGTCACCGTAACGGCTCTGAGACTGAGAATGTTGTTAGCAAGGGATAATAGAAGGATACAGAATTCTGCGTGAGCTACTGTCCCTACTCCGTCCGTGTCGTTTGCCTTTCCCGTCTCGAGCAACTCATTCAAATGAGACAGTCGGATTCGTTTGGCATAACGATACGATCGTGGATGAGTTTGGAGAGCGCAACAGGTTCACTTACTTGTGGGATCTGACTCTGCGAATAAGCCGAGTCAGTAGGTCCAGAGCCGAATGCACTGCCAGTACGCTGCTGAGCAGAACCGGCTTCCTGCTGGCTCTGCGCAATGGGCTGACCGTAGCTTCCATAGTAGTTCTGGTATTGCGAGCGTTGCTCGGAAGTAAGGTAGTTGGAGGGGTAGTTGTCTGGGGCGGAGGAGAAAGCACCAGGCTGAGATGGGGCCTGGCTTTGACCAGGGTAATCGTAGTTCTGCGACTGCGAGTGGTTCGACGCTGGGATCTGCTGGCCGAATGGATCGTATGGCTTCTGCGGTGGCGCGGAGGCCTCCGAGTGAATACCGGGCTGACCGTACCTAGCAAACTGGTTGTAGGGCTGGTTGGACTGAGATCCTTGGTTCTGCATAGCCTGAGATCCAATGGGGTTTGAGGGAGACTGCTGCAGGCTGGGTTGGTGTTGGGGGACGGGAGGGAGTCCAGGGGCCTGCTTTGGTGTAGGGGCAGACTCTTGTTGGGGGGCATCTTGAGATGCTTGGCGAGGAGCGGGAGGGAGAGAGGTCTTGGGCTGGGTAATGGGGGAGTGTTGGGGCGGCTGAGTCCTGGTCTCTGCCTCTTCCCTGTCTTCGTCGACATCTGGGTCCGAGCCTTCGCCCAATCCCATGCTGCCAAACTGAACTGCAGCCCTGTCTACGGCGTGGTTGCCGGGCATGACGACTGCCTCCTGTTGCTCCATCAACCTCCTCTGGTAGCTCGCGCTTCGGTGTGGGGTACCGGAAGTGGCCTTCAATGCGGTCGTCTGGAATCCTCCAATGGCGGGACGGCCAATAGGTGCTTGTGTAGGACCGTTCAATGGGGTCGCTACTGCACTTCCAATATCCTTCGAGCTTGCGACAGTGCTGAAAGCCGTCTCGGTCGGGGGTGGATGGGACTCGTCGGGCAGATGCTCGACGTTCTCCTGTGTTAGCTGATCTCCAGAGGGTGTGAGGGTGACGTCAGGTGCAGCATCGTCCACGCTCTTGTCTGGCGTCATCTTGGACGTGTCTTCGGCCGTGATGGGCGGGGTCTCGACGGCTTCATCTGCGACAGGGGGTATAGGCAGTTCTTCTGCCTGCACGGCGGGCTCTTGGGCAACTTGGTGCGCGGGCGTCTCGTCGGGTGCTTGTGCGGGCACTTCGGGGGCTGGAGCAGCAGCAGGCTTCGGTGCTGCCTTGGGAACTGCGGGGACGGGCTTGGGTGCAGCAAACATACTCGCCCAAGTCTTCTTCGCGGCTGTCAGGCCAGCCTCTACAACAGGCTTTATGGCTTCGGGCGTCGCTTCGGGCGCGTGTACGGTTTCATCGTCCTTTTTGGTCTCCTTGGACTCTTCTGGGACTGTGGGTGTGTCCCACGCAGCGGACTCGGTAGTTGGGACTGATCCAGCAGCCGCACGAGGTCCACTGGCGGCGCCTCCACGACCGCCTCGAATTCCACCGCGACCACGATCAGTGCCCCGTCCGCCACGGCCTCCGCGACCGCTGTCGACACCACGGCGGGCTCCATCGGGCCGGCCGCGCAGACTGGACGCGCCATCGATGGGCACGACGTTCTCCTTGGCCTTGGAGCGGGACCTGTCCTTTGCTTTCTTTGGGACTTCTGAGAATTGCGAGACAGCGCCTGTAGTGCATTAGCCTTGTGCCCGTCGTGTGTACAAATTACGTGATGCAGGCGCAGGGCACGTGGGAGGGTCGCGCTTACCCTCACTGATCTTCTCGATGGTGGTCTGCAGGTCACCGTCAGATTCTTCGATTGCGAGGACGAGATCGGCGTCGGTCCAGTCGGGGAATAGCTCCTTGAGTGTGGATAGCTGTGACTGGTAGCGCTTCTTAAGCTCTCCAAGTTCGCCTTGGTCTGCTGATGTGTCAATGTTGGAGGATGCGCTGTCGCCGTTGGTCTTTCTGGGGCCTCGAGAGCCGTATGATGCCCTGCCGCCGCGGGCAGAGCTCCTGCCTCGCGCAGGCCGAGATGGTGCTTCAGACATTGGATCTGTGTGATGTGTGGGCAAGCCGCGGGGGACTTAGGTGTGTGTGTTTGTGTGGGCGGATTGGTGGGCAGGCGAGGTGATGATGTAGAGGGAGGAGTAAAGTTGGGGAAACAGCTAAAGGGAAGCGACCACGTCGGCTTGGCGCTAGAGCTTCCAATGGCTGAGGACGCGGCAGGGTCGCGTTGACTGGGGCTGAGGCAGGCTGTCGTTTATGCAGAAGTAAGGTGAGGGCTGAAGGTCAATTGATCTACGAATAGCTGGAGCGTCTCGTCCCAGCCTGCCATGATGCGCGCGTTAAACCCGTCACGTGCGCATAAGGCGGCACCTTCCCGAACCGCCTGGTCCACCCTCGTCATCCGCCTCACTCCACCCGCCCAGACACCCCAACACCAACACGAAGCCATGCAGTCTTCCGCCGGCAAACGCGTGCTGAGCACTCTCGCCTCTAAGATCCATCCCCAGCTCCCCCTGTCGCCACGAGAGTCGCAGCAATTCCTCAACTTGCTGACCAACTCCTTCCGTACCCATCTCGACCACGCCCACCCCCTCGCCCCCTCCGAGAGCAGCCAAAGGAAACCGGCACGAGAGTTGACCACCAGCCATGGCCGACGCAATTCCTCTCCAAACCGCCAGACGTCGTCGTACGATTCAGCAACTCAGCACATCGACTCCATCTTGAACAACCCTCTTCTCGCCGTGAAGCCCCGTCGGAGAGGGTCAGGACCGGCTGCCATCGATATCATGAGAGACCCCATGGCTTGGTTCGTCGATGAGATCGCCGCAGGTTCTGCCACTTTGCCAAAGGCCGCCGTATGTCTCGAGTACCTCGAGAAGACCACGAACCCAAGTCCCTTGAGACTTGAGAACGGAAGATCACCAGCAACTGTACTCGCAGAATGGCTCAAAACCAGCAACTTGGAAAACTCAAAGCAGTTTCTCGACATGTCGATCAGTCAATATCATAGGCGCAGCACCAAATTTCTAAACAGATTGGTGGCTCTACTACTAGCCGAGGGAGAGACCACAGCACTCTGGCGCTGGTTCATTCGACCAAACGAACAACGCGCAAAAGACACCGGACTAGATGTCGCACGAATAGCAACTTTCAAACAACAACTCCTGGCCAAGATGGTTGTACTCTCGGCGGACAAAAAAGACGTTACTAGCAGTATGAATGTTTTCATGCAAGCGTTCCGCCTGTTCGAGAACGCAGGATACGAAGCAGCTTATGACGTGCTAAGGCCTGCAGGTGGTCATCTTGTAAATCTGATCATTTCCAATCCCGACCATTCAATAGCGCCGTTATTATACCAGAAATTCCTGCTGTCATCAATCCACTGGTTTGGAGACTGGAGTCGAGCGGTCCAGTCCATGCTCTCACTGCACCACCCTACCCAACCTAGCGCAAAACCTGGCCTCAAATTCATCCAGGATCCTGCTGGCGCTATCAAATACGTAAACGCATCTCGGGGTCGACGGAATTTCCTGGTTCAGCTTTGCCTAGGGGTAGCCCGGCAGCTGATGGAACAAGAGAATTTTGCGGAAGCGCAGAGCGTTATGGAGTTCACAAAAGAGCACTTCCCTGAGATAGTTCTACCGAAACAAGCGATCGTGCAGCAGCAAACAGCAGAAGAGGAGAGGAAACATAGAGAGAGGAGGAATCTGGAACTGCTGGATCGCCTGGTCTTAACTTGAACGGTTTTCTACACACTATTTTACAAATTGTATGCAACTGCGACAGGATCGCAGTTGTTTTTGGGAGGATGTGTCGTATACACGAATCCTTGTGTATAGGCCTGATGGTAGTGCACCGGTGGCCTGGGCGTGCGGGGAGACGCCGTTGCTGGGCAGGCGTCATAACACGCGAACACAATGATCTGCGAACACGATGTACGCAATGCTATGCAAACATGATATAATAAATCTCACGATCTCTCACGATCGATTCCATTGCTCTACGAGCTAATCTAATTAAGTCTCGGATTGACTTTTGGTATCGCTAAAAAGAAACAAAAATCGAATCGAACATGTCGTGTCATCGTGATCTCATTGCCCCGCTCTATGCCTTGAGCTCACCACCGTCGGTCTCCTCTGGCCAGACATCGTAGCCGAAAGTGTCCTTCATGTTGACAAAACGTGTGTGCCGTCCCTTGGCGACCTCCTCGACGGCGTCAAAGTCGGCCTTGCTGAGCTCGGGGATGAGCCAGTTGCTCTCGATGCGCTTGGGCGTGGAGCTCTTGGGCAGGACAACGTAGCCGCGCTGAAGACCCCATGCGAGCAGGACTTGCGCAAGGTCGTGACCGCTTCGCTCGGCAACTTCGTTGAGCTTGGGGTTGGTGCGGACCTTCTCGCCCGTGCTGGGAACTTGGTTCTGGGAGCCGAGCGGCGAGTAGGCGGCGACGAGGATGTCGTTTTCCTGGCAGTACTTGACGAGGTCTGTGTTGGGGAGGAAAGGGTGGACTTCGATCTGGTTGATCATGGGCTTGACCTTCGCGATCTGAAGCAGCTTCTTCAGGCCGGGGATAGTCCAGTTGGAAACTCCGATCGCCTTGGCCTTGCCGGAGTTGTAGATCTCCTCCATGGCGCGCCATGTGGGCTCTGGGTTCTCTGTGAGCTCCTTCTTGATGATGTACTTGCCATCAGCACCCAACTTGGGCTGGTGGTTGTCATCGCTCTCTGCGGCAATGGGCCAGTGGACGAGGAACGCGTCGATGTAGTCAACGCCCAAGTTCTTCAGACTCGACTCGAAACTCCACTTGACCTCCTCGGGCTCGTGCAGGTGGTTCCATACTTTTGTGCAGATGAAAAGGTCCTTGCGTGTGACGTTGGGGTTCTCCTTGAGGAAATCGCGGACGGCGTCGCCGACTTCGCCTTCGTTCTGGTAGAACCACGCGCAGTCGAGATGGCGGTAGCCCGTCTTGAGCGCTGTGGTTACGGCAGCGTACGTCTCGCCAGATGCGCCTTCGCTGGCAAAGGTGCCGAATCCGACGGCTGGCATGATGACGCCATTGGACAGCTTGAAAGACTTCTGGTTCGCGAGGGGGGCCATGATTGCGGTGTTGTGATGCTGGAGATGTGAAAATGTGATGTAGGTTCAAAACAATGAAAGGTGTCAAGTGATTTGGAGATGGTTTATTCAGCGGCAACAGCGCGTGCTGGGACTATTGTGCTACATATATCCAGCGTAACCTTGGTCCGTCTGAAATTTCTTTCTTCAAGGTTTCATCATCGACCATGCCCAACCATGAAGCTCTGCCGGCCGTGACCTCACACCGAGAGATTCCGATCGCAGAGGCATCTCGCAGGCATCGGTCCCATTGCGAAAAAACTCCATAATAGTCCCATCCAACAGTTTCACGTTGGCCCTCTGGTGTTGGCCCTCGTCATCAACAATGACGTCGGTTGTGGATTCAGGGTCCACAGCACGGGCCGAGCGAAGCCATTTTAATTTCTGGCGCGGAAGTTTTGCCGACTTCAACTTCGTTCGCAAGGAAATGTGGAACGATGTAGTCCCAATAGTCGTGCGGCTCTGCCGTTGTCAGCCACTCGTTTAAGCAGATCGCTAGCTGCCTTCGCCCTAATTCGGCGAGCCGCGGTTACCTCGCCCCACCCACTGCTCGTCACTACCAGGAACTGCTGGGAAGTAACGCCGTGTCTGTCTGCAAGCTGCCTGTACCGTCTACACATCCTGCTACAATCGTCTCAGCTATTCCCACATGTCGCATATGCACGCCAACCACCTCTGACAGGCGGTGTACCGTGCCTTATCTTCCGGCCGCGCTCTGCGTCCGGTCAAATGAGGCTCTGCGCTAAGCTTCGACGGCATCGGCGAGAGGTATACAACGCTGTTTTTAGGTGTTGTGGCGACTCACAGCACTACGCTGCTATCGGTCCCCAGTTTTCGGCGATAATACGGCGGTGACGGTATCCTACACATTCTCTGGTTCAGCAAACTTCTCCACTAGTGTTGCCATGCACGGCCACTTCCGCATGGTAATGATGTCGCACTGTGGGTACAGAGGTACTTGTTGAACGCTCACAGTGCCAGAACGTGGTTGGTGTGGCCGGCCTGAATCGGGATAGCGAAAAGCTCCTGCGAAACTTTCTAGAAGAGATTGGCGAATGATGATGGCATCTGGGGTTTATGGCAGTCGCTACCTATCGGGTGATGTGATATATAGAGCCCCTCCCCCAGGACCCTGATACTGCTCATTCATCATCACACAACTCCACATCTACTGTCACTCATAGCTTCTGTGAAGCTTGATACTACTATTACTACCTTCTTGATTTGATACCCCATTCTTATATCAAACTTCAACTACAACCGCCATCATGTCTCCCTCCGTCCAAGAGAACGAGGTTCCTCTCACTCAGACCAAGTCCAACACCCAGGTCCCAATCCCCGTTGACAACGAAGATGGCACTGAGAACGCTGTCGAAGTACCAGCAACCCGAAGTGCCATGGCCGACACCACTAGCTACATGCACAACCTCTCTCTCCAGCCTTCCATGAAGGAGAGGAGAGGATCCCGCAACTCCTTCGGTACCTCATTGCCCATCCCTCGTTCCAAGAGGCAATCACGTCTCTCATCCGTTCACTACCCCGATGGCCGTGGTGCTGCTGTCCGCCCTGGCATGCCCCCGATCCAGCCATCCCGCGACATCATCGCTGCTCAGCTCCAGGACCTCGCTGGCGAGAAGGTTCGCGCCGCTAAGGACATGGCCTTCGTCTTCGACATTGACGGTGTCCTCGTCCACGGTGACCGTCTCATCCCCGAGGGTCAGCGCGTCCTCGAGATCTTGAACGGAGACAACGAGCTCGGCATCAAGATCCCCCACATCTTCCTCACCAACGGATCTGGTAAGCCTGAGCAAGCCCGTGTCGACCAGCTCTCCAAGATTCTCCACAACCCCATCTCGACCGAGCAGTTCATCCAGTCGCACACTCCCATGCGTGCCTTGGCCGAGTACTACAAGACCGTCCTCGTTGTCGGTGGAGAGGGCTACAAGTGCCGTGAGGTCGCTGAGCAATACGGCTTCCAAGACATTGTTGTCCCCAACGACATCATTGCCTGGGACCCTACCATCGCCCCTTACCGTGTCTTCACCGATGAGGAGCGCGCGACTTCCCGCCCTCGCGACTTCAGCCAGGTCAACATTGAAGCCATCATGGTCTTCTCTGACAGCCGCGACTACGCCACCGACATCCAGATCATCATGGACCTTCTCCAGTCTAAGAACGGCAAGTTCGGAACCCGTGCTGCGGACCCCGTCTCCGAGCGCATCCCCATCTACTTCTCTCAGGGTGACATGCTGTGCCCTACTGAGCACCCCTTCCCCCGTATGTCCCAGGGAGCCTTCCGCATTGGTCTCGAGGCCATGTACAAGTCGCTCACCGGTGTTGAACTCGAGCGTGTTGTCTACGGTAAGCCCGAATTGGCTACCTACAAGTACGCCGACGAGGTCATCGCTTCCTGGATGGAGACTATCCACAACGACGAGAAGCTGCCCGCCAACATCTACATGATTGGTGACAACCCTGCTTCCGATATCGTCGGTGGTAACATGTACGGCTGGAACACTTGCCTTGTCCGCACTGGTGTCTTCCAGGGTGGTGACAACGACGAGAACAACCCTGCTTCCTTCGGTGTCTTCAAGAACGTCTTCGAGGCTGTCACCACTGCCATGAAGAAGGAGCTTGGCCAGGACTTCAAGTTCAACTTTGACGAGAAGATCAACCCTGTCATGGCTGAGGGTGGCTCTTCTGCCATCGCTTAAGCGTTGATTGGGAACATCAAACGATTGATACGAAGGACTTTCTTTCCTTTGTTGTAGATAAGCATTTCTCTGGCGTTTATGGGTTTTATATCCTTGCATAGCGAAGCTAGCACCACTTTATAGATTTTACGAACAATTGAGTCCACGGATTCTTGGTTTCTTTATAGATTACGATGAATTCTAAAAGTCTTCTACCTCTTTACATCATCGCTTCATTCCATTGCCTCTTTACATAGATGTGATGTCTTCGTCTCAGATGTAGTCTTTCCATTACCACTCATTTCACTACCTCATGTAAACTTGACATCGCACAGAGTACCATCCATCCTTTCATCTCTACTCCAAAACCGTATCTTCGCTCCCGGTTCGTCATCAAACCCAGTGACTTCTTGGCGCAGTTCCTCTGTTCGCATAGACTATCAAAAGCCCGTTAGCAAACCATCTCATACTCGCATGAGTTGTGTCAAGGTTTACTGACACAAAATGTCCCCTCCATATATAGCTTCCCCTGTACCTACAAATGTCCTCCCAGCCTTCAACTTCTCTTCATTACCCTTATCATACCTCATCTGTAGCACCAAATTAGCCTCCATCCCACATAGACTCGTCACAACACAAAACAACTTACTTGAATAGCCCCAGCACCACCATCCTTCATTTCCACTCTCACAAGAAGATTTCCTAACCTCCTTTCCTCCGTTATGTCGTCCGCTTTCTCCACCCTTCCCATACTCAGCCAGTTTCCCTCGCTCAACTCCGCATCCAATATTCCTTCTTCTTGTTTCAACACCTGGGCAGCAATCATACCCGCAGCCAACGAATCCCAAACACCTTCGCGCCGCCGGTAGTTGAGCAGGAGAACTAAGGCGCGCCGACGAACGAGCGGATCGCGGCAGCGCGTTGCGATGAGAAAGAGGGGCACCATGGGGGAGAGTTCGAAGGATGGAGAGATTATCTGAGGTGCCAGGCGGGATGTGAAGGAGTGGGGGTAGGAAGTATGGTTGGAGACTGGGTAGGCGGTGTTGGAATGGAAGGTTATCGTCAGGTGGGGTAAGGGCGGTGATGTTGGCGGCGATGGCAATGCAGGTGGTTGAGGTTGAGGCTGAAGCATAGGCAACGTCTCCGCGAGCTCGACAGCCTCCCTGAAGTCCCCGATGTAGGCATCCCACACCATCTCACTCGTGAGACCTGCTCCTGCTGCAACTATCGCCCGCATCATGATAGCGTAGATCCGGAGTAAAGTCCCGCCATCCGTCGCTTTCCCTTCGTCCTCCTTTTCCCTTCCTGTATCTCTTTCAGTGCCTTTCCTATACTTCTTGTCAAAAAGCCCAAATTTGTGCTGCCACACCACCAATGCTCTTATCGCCCCTTCATACATTTTCCTAAAGTCCTTCTTCCCTGTGACCCTTGGTTCCTTATCTAGATTTCCCGAAGTCCATAGCAGACACCGACTCAACTCAACCAGATCGTCTCTTGCCGCCTCATTGTTTTCATAACCATCTTCTGGTGACGAGATCGCCGGGATTTCTGGTGCGGTATCCAACCACCATTCGTATGGGGACGTGTCATCGGAAAAAATCATGGTTTGAAAGTCGAAACGATGGAGGACCTTGGCGATAGCATATTGGATGGAGGTTTGACTTGTTGTTGATGAGTCGGATGAACCAGAGGGGGAAGGTAGACAGTATTGGTGAAGAATACGAAGGCCGTTGCGGAGATGCATATTAGCCGCCCTATAGTTCCCGGATAGATTCTCGAAACAGGTAAAAATGATACAAAGTATCAATGTCTTCTCGATGACAAACCCATTCTTACTACGATCACCACCATTTCCATCCTCTTGAAACGAAGAAAGGAGTTCGTTTGAATAACGGACTGCGCGTATGTACTGTACGAGCGCTGCATCACGGGGTATACTACCATCAGTAGTTGGCGAACTGGTGGTGGTGGCTCTACCACTCTCAAGCCTCTCATGTAAACAGCTCAGCGCCAGGATTCCGTGTTTCACAGCAGGTTCCTCATGGGTCAACTGAAGCACCGTCTGACACCATAGGCTAGAATCAAAGAATTCGGTCCAACGTGGTAGGGTGTATGTTTGAAAGTAGTGGAATGAGCGATTCTCGAGAGGTTCTGGGCTGAGGCTTGTTGAGGGGCTTCTGGAGATAGTTGACTGGCGGCGCGACTGCTGTTGTTGTTGTTGGCGCTGGGGAATAGCGAGGAATGAAGAATTGCGGTACGCGGCTGCGGTGGCTGGAGACGTGGAATCTTGTGGCGAGGTGTCTCTGTAACCACCGCATGTTCGATTGGCTCTTGTGCATCTGTAACATGCTGGTGGTCGTTAGTCCTCATTTCCATCCCAACTGATTTGCGATATTCGGTTAATTACACGGTTTTGCTTCGTCGCATTTTATGCGTCGCTTTCTAGTAACCAGTAAGTAGCTTGCGCATGTCTGCTGAGTGATTAGTGTGGAGCCACTTACCGGCAAGTGTCGCATCCTGTTTTGACCCTTAACTTTAAACTCCTTTCCAACTGCCGCAGTTTGATTTCATCCTCCATGATCGCCTTACTCATGAATGTCTTAGATTCTTTCATATATAATGAAATAGGAAAGTTGATTCGGACCGAACACATCCGAAGCGATGTCCTTGCATAACGAGGCTATCACCTTACCAGATACTGCATCATGACCCTGTAATCGCAATCCAAAGGGCGCAACGTCCAGCCGATTTGCTCACAAGAGCACTTCTTGTATACACGATACTACGCGGCTGGAAAGCCGAGGTACGCGTCCAACAGCAAAACTCAACTCTTCTAGGATGCGCGGGTGGCCTTGCTTCTATAAGCAAGGCTTTCAATGCTATATGGCGACGAATGCTTACGTGGTACTTCCCTCGGCTACCTTACCCATCCTTGCTTTTATCCTTGTCGGGGCATGCAACCAGGCAGAGGCAGTTTCGCGGAGCTAAGTGCACCTTATTAGCCTTGATCGACCCGACCGCGAATCCTTCAGGATTGTTCAAATGACGTTCCGAATAGTATTTCAAATCCAACATGGAGCATGGCGGACAGACTGCGAAAAGCGGTAATTGAGAAAATCGGACATAAGAGGGACTTCGCACGGTCATTGCACTTGAAACTGGTAATCCCTTCCAACGAAGATAGGGTTGTACGTTGAGGTAGGGAAGATTGGAAAGCATGATTGAAAGCAGAGAGACCTCGGCATATACCAGAAAAAGTTATGTTCAACAACTTCAGACAGTTCGCGAGAACCTCACGTCTGGCAAGCACGAAGGCAATATCTTTGTTCTCCTAATGGGACAGCCACCAAAGCAATCAGGTTTAAGATGGGTTCGCGATCAAAGGTTAGGGTTTGTCCAGGCGCGATGAACAACATCCGTCAGGGAGTGAGGATAGTATCGCGTCGCTGAGTTCGGCACCTTCAACAATAAAAGCTGTGCGTAACTAGGATGGCGATGTCAGCTGCGGATTTGCGCAGTTGGTGTACGAATTTGCGAACCATGACGTAAGAGACCATCGGTAAGGTGCCAGCTGCGACGAAGTGGAAGCGCAAGTCTTCAGCAATTACCGGCTTTCATGGTATTTCTCTCCTGGTTACTCCCCTCTAGTTTTGTAGCTGGTCTACATCCTGGTGACTGATAACCAGCGTTGGCCGCAACAGCTCGGCTGTGTTATGCAGACGTGCAACTCAGGGGAGGCTAGCGCCTCCATATGCCCAATCGCATTGACATAAGGGCACACCTCAAAGGATTAAATACCTCAGTGCCAAGCAGAAACTCTGAGAAAGATAAGGTGAGGGGTTTTACAGAAAAGTAGCTCTTTTAAGTTTTCGTTGAGTGTCGTTGCTACATATACTGTGTGAGGTTGGGGCAGTTCACTAGCATCGACGAGCACGACCGTATGGGGTTTGGCCTCCAATTAGGGCCGCGAAAGCACCACGCTAACACTTTGTAGTCGCGAAGCATAGCATAGCATCAACATGTTCTCTACCACCACCACTACCACTACAACCGATCGAGTTGATGAAAGTATCGAATTAGCTGAACTGTTTGGCGACTCACTTTCTCAGAGGGTTAACGCCAACGCTACATTACCTACGCCTATCCTCCCACCAACGGCTCACACTCAATCTTATGCATTCAATTATCGTCTTCCCAACGTCCGAATAAAACTGTCGAGCACCAAGAAGTTGGCAGTCGTGCCTGATGAGAAGAAAACATGGTTCAGTTATGTCATAGAGTATGCCTCTGTCGAGTCGTTGGCACTGCTATTGGAGTTTCTTATTGCAGCGAAGTAGATTACATAGGAAAGGCACTTCGAGACGATAGGCGGTATCATAGATTTGTTGCGCAAGCATTTGTTCAGCGGATACTATACAGGTGTAGAGGTATATATAAGTCACTCGTGGAATGCAATTGACGAGTTTGTCGTCAAGATAGACTAGAAAGATCTTCAGTGAAAGTTTTGTTAAAAAGATAGTCAAAGAGGCTGCACACACGCTTTGACAGCGTACACACAGAGTACCACCCTTCATTACAACTAACAGTCAAATGTGATCGCGCTGGAGATCGCGATTGCGAAATCGCGCGGTTACGGCAAGATTCATTGGGCATGATGTGAGGAGTATCGATGTGATGCAAGAGAATATCGATGGACCGCCTATCTTGAGGGCTATAAAGCGTTTGATACTCGATAGTTAGATGCGGTGTCTAGCATAGGTTCGCGCTAGCTACATATCTACCATAACAAACTGGGAAGACTATGTAGCATACAGGTGGAGGAGGTGGCTGTTGCGAATGTCAGAATCCTTCTCCATATTGCGTCAAAGACAACTTACTGGGAGTGAAAATGGGGGACAATCATTCTCCAGACTCGAAAGACTGTTGCTATGAGTAAGGTTACAAAAGTTGACAAAAAGATTGCTCCTATGCTAGTGCACAAATCCAGATCGCGCTCGCGGTGCTCAAATTAGCTAGTGTAAGAGAAACCAGACACGGGGAAAAAGCAATGAGTTTGCGTGGGAACAATGATGAAACGCTATGTGTGGCGAATCAGAAGAGTTCGTGCAAAGGCACGGCGACGGGAATTCAAAGGGACGACTCCGGCTGAGGCTTCTACTAACTGGGACCCCGAAAGTGTAACGTATGGCTGAATCACTAACCCTTTCGGGAATGATAACATAACATGTGCATGCTCATCCACCAATAACATACCAAGATGGTCAGCCGAGAATGCCTTTACATGTCGGCTGCAAGGATTTGCTGCCCAACTCACTTAGATCGTTGAGCACCAGCAGTAGCGAGCTGCAGTCGCAGGGGTCTGGTATCTCATGTCTCCTACTGTACACGAGCATGATATAGGTACGTCTTTTGCTTTCCTGCACCGTCTTCAGATAGACCACACTGCCCACCATACCTCAAGGCTTTTGCAATCCAATTATACGACTGTAGTCCATCTTGGTTCTCGTACGTACTTCTCAAGCAGCCTCAGAGGTTCCAGTTGACAATGCACAATACCACGCTAACCCGTTCTAGTTGAACCAAGCCTCGCATCGCATCCCCATGTCTTCTTCTACCACCACTGCAGCCGGTCAAGTCAACAACTCTACATCAACTCAGCCCGTCAATACAGACACTAGACTACCTACGCACCATGTACCGTCACACAACGCACATTCCACCAATAACAGCAACAATCGCAACAACTCGAATATAATCGCAAGGGCCATGACTTTCCCACCCATGCAAAACGACCAGACGTGGTACGACTACCTCGTTACGAACTTCAAAGTCATTACGATTGTAATCGCCCTCATAACACTGGCGTGCACTGTCATCGGGATTATTGCCGGCATTGTCATTGCTATCGTGCGCAAGTGAGCTATGCAGAACCGGTAATGTCCAAGGGATGTTCAAGAGATATGGACATGGAGTTGATGGAGTTGCTTATGTTGGAGTTAGACAGGCGCAATGAATGGACGATATGCAATAAATGTACGACTAACTCAAAAAGACGGAAGAAGCTGCACACCAGTAACACGGGAGAACTAGATAAAGGGAAGGAAGAAAAAGACAATACAATTCATATATCTAATATCCAACCAACCAGCCAGCTTCCGCGGCCCTCAAAAAGTGTATAATATATCCATTACTCGCTCTTACACATGTACGCCCACGCCAAGTTTACAAACAACCCAAAGAGAAAGTGATGAATAAGAAAAGTAAGGCAATGCAAGAAGCGCACTGCCATGCATGCCAGATGACGGGGTTTAAACAAGAGAGAGAGAGAGAGAGACAGAATGGTGCTCGATGTGCCTCGAATTGATGTGGAAGAAAGAAACGCCGCCAGGGGATGCTCCGCTTTCGAGCAGTCCGTATGCAAATCGTCAAAGTTTGTGTGCGTGTGTGTTTGTGTCGGTATCGAGCCAGCCGAAAGTATATACTCGTTCCTGAAGTGAATGTTGTTGCTTCGCCTCCCTTACTCCTCCTCAGCCCTCTTCTCCTCATACACCCTTACCCCGGCCTCCTGAAAGCCTCAACATTAAGAGTAGGCGTCTCGACCTGCCTGTTGGTCGGCACGCCTTCATTCTTTCTCCTATCAAAGAAGTTCTGGCATTCGTGACTAACAAACGTCCATTCCGCCAGTGCTCTTCCAGCATACGTACTTGACGTAACCGCCGCACCAATTGGAGGCGTAGCCAGCACAGGCTCTGTATTGATTCCCTTTTGTTGAAGCAGGGATTGGGCGGGAGCAGGCAGTTTGGGGGGTTGAAGACGCATGTTGTGGTAGGTACCAAAGCGCTTGTCGACCCATTCGAGGGAGAAGCGGAAGTTGTAGGTGCGGTGGGTAGAGGGTGGTGGTTGTGTGGGGATGGATACGGGGGCGGGAACGGATGCCAATGCGGTGTTGGCAAGTGCTTCAGTCGTGGACTTGGCAGGGGATGATGTCTTGCTCGAATTCTCCTTTTCTTTAATGGATGGTGCAGGGCTCTTCGCCTTCGCGGTCTGCTTCGAGCTGCCTCCCATGAGACTTCGCAAAATGTTCCACTTGCCCTTGCCGGACTCCTCGTCAGGAAAGTCGCTTGAATCGGCAGACACGGCGGAGGCTGGTCGGATCTCAGCTTCCGGGATAGTGGTGCTGGTCGGAGTTGGCTTTCGTTGATTAGGGTTTTGTACGACGCCGTCAAACGAAAGGAACGGGCCGTTATTGGCCACAACAGGATTATCATTACGTATGATTAGGAAACGTCGGCCTGGTGCAGGATTGCATGCCTGGGTCGACGGGTAGATGATCTGCTTACGCTCAGCTTCTTCTTGAAGCCAAAGGTAGTGAGACCAGATGGACCGGAGACGGTCACTCAAAGCTCGTTTTATGGCACTATATCATTGTTAGTATTCGCTATCCTTGTCAAGCGTCAAGAATACGTACACTTCAACATCGGTCTCATTTCCATCGTAACGCGCAACCCGCCAGCAGATCAGTCGCATAAAGTAAGACCGTACCATAGGGCACCAGTGGTTGAACCGGCTTTCAAAGAAAGCGGGTTCCAGAAGGAAGTCAAGGCACAATCCACTCTTTCTTCGCTCGTCCATACACAGCGTGCACCAGCTGCTGTAGAGGAATGCGTACAGTTTGATTTCTGTAGCTGTGTTATGACTGGCGGCCATTGCCTTGAAGACAGTAAGCCAGAATGGCCAATCCATTACCGCGTGTTGATCGCTATCGTGCTGTTCGTAGCGGACCATGATAATGAGAGCCTCTTCGAGAAAGTCACAGAGAGTGTAACAGGCACTGTTGTCGTAGATGGAAATTTTACGCGCCTGCGCCTGGAGGAGACGAGCAAAACTGTCGGCAAACATGCGCCTGGCAATATGAAGATGCGAGTTCCGCTCGGAAAGGAAATCCCGTATTAGCATAATAAGTCGATTCTCCTGCATCATTCGGGTAGCATTCGCGGGTGGGAGGGCGATGTTTGAGGCAGAAGCGTCGGGTTCTAGAACATCATCGAACGTGATGTCTGCTGCCCTCGATGGATCCTCCACTGGCTGTTGTGGCGCGGTATTCCTGTTGATTGTCGCATCGAGATTGACCAATATCTGGGCATGTACCATGATGAGTCCTGGCACACAGATGCGCTCTGCTTGACTGGGCTCAACAGGCAGGAATTCGCTGACTAGGATATGGAAATGCTTGACAAATACATAGAAAAGATCACTTTCAGCGCCAGACCAGCGCTTGGTCCAAAGCCCATACCAATCAAGATTCGCCATGGCGAGTGGGGGCAACACAGGCTTGTGCAACTGGCGTAAGAGTCGGTTGAGCGAGAGCAACTTCAAGGAATGAAGCATGGGCGGGAAAGCAGCCACAACTCGATCCGAGACAGCATCCAGTCGGTCTAGCTTAGAAACACCAGACTCCTCCATGACCCGCTTCATCATGTCGAGTGAGGGACTCCACAGGCGCACCAACACATCGGCGACGCCTGGGCAGAAGCAAAAAGCATATGCGCACGTCTTTCCGCAAAAGGTGACCAGGCTAGCTGCAGCGTTCCGTAACGACATTTTTTCTACAACGAAGGACATCTGAGATTGCAGGTTCTGCGTAAAAATATTTCGAACGTTGTGGTAAACGGATTCGGCGAGGAAGTCGGATTGGCTAGACGAAGCAGAGCCGGTTGTGGACGTGGACAACGTCTCTTCGCGGTCTGCAAGAGCACAGAAAGGAGACGGGTAAAGCCTCCATTCGGGTCTCTCCATGATGGCCGCGATTCCTTCCAAAATGACTGGGCGATCTGTGCCAGATATCGACTGATTGTTCCGCCCTGCAACAAGTTCCAAGAGGCCGGTCCACCATCCGTTGAGGATGTTGACGCGTCGATCGAGATCTTCTGGCCGGAGCTTGTGGTTTGAAGGGTGTGCGGTATATTGGCGGAGAAAAGGCAGGAGGGTCGTCCGGACGACGTTTGCTTTCAGCGAACTGGACTTGGATTGGAATCTGTCATCTGTTAGCTATTACTTCGCTATCGAGAATAGGGAGTCATGCTTGCGCAGGTCTGCGTCGAGGGTCCTGAACGCGGTCCATAGCTCATCTTTCTTGCGAGGCTCCGTCTTGACACCCTTGAGCTTTTCCGCAGATACGTTGCGTGGTAGCGGCGGAACAACGTGGGTCGGACTGACTGGATTGTGGTTTTGCGGGTAGTGTGGAAGCTTTTCTGTCGAGAAGGACTTGGGTACAGAGGGCAGGTTGGAGGCACTGCTCGAATTGGCAAAGAGACCGCTAAGGCGCTTGTTCTTCTTGTTGAGAGGCGCTGGCGGCGGAATGTCTTCTTTCACGACGTCTCTCGCTTCAGACTCCTCTGGAATGCTGGTTGTGGTTGTAGTGGTTGGTGTCTTGCGCTTGTTTGGCTCAGCAGTGGTAGTAGTAGTAGTAGTAGCGGGCTGCTCCTTGTCGGTGGCACTCTTCTTCTTGAGTTTCTTCTCTTTTACAGGAGACGAAGAATCTCCCGGTTGCTCTTTTATGACCCACGACTTCCTCCGCAGGTTGGTGAGGGAGCGTGACGGGGAGCCAGCCGGGGACTCTGATTGTTGCTTCTTCACAGCATCGGTCCGGCCGCGTTCAGCCTTCTTGTCCGTCTTGCGTTCAGCTGACGGTTCTCTGCTCCGGCTGGAGAAGGGGAGAAATCGCGAGGAACGACGCGAGAGATTGTTGGGCCTGAGTTGCGGCATTTCCACACCAGCTATGTCCGGAGCCTCTTCTGAGGAGGGGCTCGATCCACCTGAGTTGCTCTCAGAGGTTCGCTCTTCGCTCTTGCCAGTTTCGACATCGTCTTCGGAGCCTCTGAGTTCTACCACCGGCACATCAGTATTGATGTCCTTGACCTGGGGGAAGTACGTGTACGAGGCGGCCTTGGGTAGCTGGGCGCGCTGAGTTTCCTGGGGAGGCTGCGGGCCGACCTCTGACGCGGCTCTACTCCTGCCCCGAATGGCATTCGCGAGGGAGTAGTGGCCGCGCGGAGCCGGAGCAACGGCGATGGGCATGGCGACGGGAGTTGGAGGTAACAGGGGGGATAGAGTCGCAGTAAAGGGCCGGCTGTTATTTTTGGTCAAGACACTTCGAGGTTTATGAGCTCATGGCGCTGAATTGGGACGGGTGCGGCGTTGTGCTGTCAGGCGGGCCGTTGTGCAGGCAGTGGCAGTGAACGGGCGAAAGTCCAGTAGGGTTGCGTGAAGGACGCGAAGACGTCACAAACGAGGCTGTGGTACCGGGAGCGAACGGAAGCCGCTCTTGGAGTGCGGGGACTGAGAAGTTTGTGCGAAAGCGAATGGTGTAGTTGGACAAGAGGTAGTAGCGACTGGCAGGCCTTCAGGTTTGAGATTCAGCACTCGCTGACGCCGCTGGGGGCAGGTTAGAGCTATTACTTTGACGCTTCGCAGGCGGACGAACTGGGACTAGCAGGGGTCATATGCGCAGCTTTCGCCTGTGCAGATCGCGTCGGAGCGATAATTCTATATTAAAAACGGGCGTATTCTTGGTATCATTTGCCTTTCGTCTACTGACCCGCGCCGCGCCGTTTCTTTACCTTTCGATGCCACATGCTGGGTACGAGTTTTAGGGAGCCCGCCATCCACGGCCAGCATGACGCCTTTCGTCACACAGACAAAGTCCTGTGGCGATCCGGTGGTGTGCCAGCTATGCATCGCGTAGACATGGTCGGGACAGGCTGCGTCTACTGCGCAGTGGGCCCCCCGGCGAACGAACTTGTTTTTCCCTGACGTGAACTGCGAACACTGCAATCTCTCATGGCTGCAATCTCCTGGCCATGACCTGGGTATATTGCAAAACCCCCGCCGCTTACCGCCTCGTTTCAGTCCCGACGTCTTTCCATCATGACTAGAACAAGCACGAGGTGAGCAATGCTGGTCGACTATTCCAACGACTGGTGGACAGGTGCTAGTGCTTCAGGGTAAACCTCTCAACCAAAAAAAAGTCCATCGTCCGCATCGCACTAGGACGTCGGTATGCAAAGCCGTAGATGCAGATAGGCGACCGTGCTTGCAGCTACTGCGGCAGAGTCCAACCGCGATGCCTCTTGAGCCCCACGCGCATCCTGTGCTTTGTCCGAGGTTCCGAACATGAGAGCATTATCGGGACGGGACATGCCAGGCAGACAACTGTGCAGACCGGCTTATCTGAGGGGCCATGGTCGCTGCAGTCGATGATGCAGTCGCGTGTGCATGTGTAGCGATCACCACTGCCAGCCGCGTACGATGGACGCTTCTCGGAACAATGTGCATCAGTCGGTCAGAAACGCGACACGTCGTATGAGTGAAGGTGTGAAGTTGGGTGGGAATAGATGCGACAGAATAGTCACTTGTTACAGCGTTACAGGCTGGCACGTAAAAGTAAGCCAGCGCCTGCCAGAACCTCATCACGATCATGGCACCCCGCACATGCTTCACGTGTTTTACCCCCTCTCCTGAACATACGCCAGATCAACTGCCAAGGTGGGATGCTTGCTTCTCAAAACGCGATGCGCATGCACAAAAAGTACATATTCCAACAACTGCGGACCCGTGTTAGTTCCCAGTCCATCACGACAAAGCACGGATGTTAGACCCTGAGCAGGCTAGTTGTATAACTTCCACGTCTCATGTACTTGTAGATCGCGGCCTGTATCGAGTCAAAAAGAATGCCCGTCCATGAGTAGTTTAGTTTGGGCACCTTTGTCCTGAGGCACCAAAGAACAGCTGTTTTAGATCAACGCACTCGTCCGCCTGGACCCAGCATCGATAGTCACGACTTGAACTGCTCAACATCCCACGGAACCAATCAATAGTCACAGTTTTGGATGCTCTGCACCCCCACGTTGATCATATATCACGTCACGTGATTTGCGTATTCCCGGACATGGCTGAGGTTCAGTTGGGTTCATCGCCCAATGGTATTGGCACAGTCGCTAGTATTTTAATACATGGCTTCCCTCACCCAGCAGCGCTCTAGTGAGTGGCTCCAGGGGTGGTAATGCTCTCGTCCTCCTCCTCGAACCAGTCCTCCTGGGGCAGCACAGCGTCGTCCTCGCCCTGGGCGCCCTCAACGTCGACTGCCTGTGTCTCGTATGCCTTGAGCTCGTTCGCGATGTCGGTCTCCTCGGGGGAAGCGGGGGCCTTGGGGACAGTGAACTTCTGGACGTGGCCCTCAGCGTCGCCGGCCTTGACTTCGGGAACCTTGTAGTTCTTGAGCTCGCGGAGGTACAGGTCCTGCACTAGGTCGGCTGGAGTACCAATTGGGTCAGTACGGTCCCGTATGTGAGCGCTTGGGATGAATCACCTGATCGGACGGCCGAGGGAGTGATGAAAGTGCGGCGAGCGACAAAGGCAGGCTGCTGGCGGGCAACTCGGACAAGCGCCTGGCGCTGTGGCGGGTCAGTACGTGTCCAGATTCCAGCAGCAACAAAACCGTACCGAGGCCCTGATGGATTGCGCGATCATTGTGTAGGTGTGGTGACGTGGGGAAGCTGGCAATGGGAGCTACAGTGAAGGTCGATGTTGGGGAAAAACCGTGGACCGCCGCAGCTTGAGCCGCGACCGCAAACAGTTTAGCGCGCGCCAAGTAGCAAATGGCCGCCTGCAGTTCCAACTATAACCTTCCCTCCGTCACGTCTTTCCTCCGTCCTGCAGCCTGTCTCATACCACCACACTCACTCGACCTGCTCCACCCCAGAAGCAGTCTACAAGTGTCGTCGGTCGACCGCGCGCAATAGCTAGAACCCAATACAAATCCGTAGCTGATCCCGCAACTGCTGCAACAATGTCGTACGCTCCCGATGGTCGCCTGCTGTCGCCTGGCGAGGTCTATGAAGCCGCGCCCGCGCCCGTGAAAGAAGACGAGTGGCAGGAGGACCTGAACGTTGCCATGATCTGCCCGGACTGCAAGGAGAATCCTCCGAATCTAGTTGAAGAGTTCAGCGCCGGCGACACCATTTGCGGTTCCTGCGGTCGCGTACTTGCAGAGAGGACTATAGACACGCGCTCTGAGTGGCGCACTTTCTCCAACGACGGCAAGTACTTGCCTGCTTGTAGGAAATGCAAGTGAGACATATGCTAATGTTGCGCCTTGCATCTAGATCAAGGAAACGACGATCCCTCGCGTATCGGAGACGCCGCGAACCCGCTGCTTCATGGCTCTCAACTCCAGACGGAGATCGGTTTTGGCGACGGTGGTATGAGAGTCCGCGACCTGAGCCGCGCGCACAACAAGAGCAACCACGATAAAGTCAACAAGGCGTTGCAGGCCGCATACGGACAGATCTCGGCGCTCTGCGACTCACAAAACATCAGTCGCCCGACCGCCGAGACAGCCAAGATGCTGTTCAAGATGACCGACGACGCCAAATTGTTCAAAGGCAAATCGCAAGACGCTATTATCGCCGGCTGCATCTTCATCGCGTGTAGGAAGCACGACCAGCAGCGCAGTTTCCGCGAGATCTTCAAGATGACCAACGTCAGCAAGAAGGAAGTCGGCCGTACATTCAAGGTTCTCGAGGCCTTCATACAAAAGTCGCAGAACAGCGGGCCCTCCGTCGCAGGCAACGGTGCCGTCATCGACACCGTCAACCTTCTCAACCAGAAAGGCGGCACCACAGCCACCAGCGCTGCGAGTCTCATGCCCCGTGCCTGCGCCAAACTTGCCCTTGGAACACAGGTACAGATGGTTGCAGAGGAATGCGCGGATCAGGTCGCTCATTACGGAGTCGCAGCTGGACGTTCGCCGCTGTCCATCGCTGGTGCCTGTCTCTATCTCGTCTCCCATCTCATGGGCCAGCCCAAGTCTCCGAAAGAGATTGGTCTCGCAGTCGAAGTCAGCGACGGAACGATCCGCACTGCATACAAGCTCATGCACTTGGAACAGGACAAGCTCATCAAGGAGGAATGGATCGCAAAGGGTGGCGATCGCTCCAGGATTCCGCAAGCATAGTTGTCTTGCGAGCCTTGAGGGTCGCGTTGGGATTTTGAGGTCTCTTCAGAAAATTGGTTTTGCATTTACAAGGACAGCGCATTGCATGGTGTTTATGAACAGGGTTCGTAATTCTCTGGTATGGGTAAGGCTTGGGGGTTTCTTAATACGGTGGCATTGCTAGTACGTTTTTTTCTCTCTCTCGCAGCCTCACTCAAATTGCTTTGGCAACAACACATGATACCCGATAGATAGGCACATATCGAAAAAATTGAAATGGCGTTGGTTTGGAAAATACGTCGATATGTCGAGGTGAAATTGACTGTAGGCTACGGTTCAGGTGTTAGTATACTGGTCTTACGAGCACACAGCACAAGACCGGCGATTCGACTCTCAGAGTTTGGTTAGAGGACCCTGGTGTAGACCCCGTTGACATTGCATTACGAGTACATAATCCCAATACCGCGATTTATCTTAATCTGCCCAACATTGTCGTCTGATAGCCATTCTTGCTCGTCCATCTTGAGTTCATGTTGTAATCAACGCTTTCAAATCTCCATGTATGTTACGCTGAGGAAGGTAGAGGGTCTTCCCCCACAAGAGCATACGTCTGTGCTGCATTACGAGCATACCTTGCCAAGTACCCAACATGATGCTGTGATAGTCATTATTGGGGCTTTGCACACGATGTCACCCCTCAGTCTAACCTCCATAGATGTTTCTTCACCATTTCGAGAAGGTGGACAAGGCTGCTTCCAGTAAAGCAGTATCATTCCTGACAAATATCAAGAAAGCGCAAGCGGAGACGACCCAGCAAAAGTGGTGTATCGTTCTTCCTATAAAATCGCATCTACTGCCTTCCGTGGTTTTGTTCACGTTTCCGTCAAGCTTTCCTCCAGCCTACACTGAAGCTCACTGGGAGTACCTCCCTCACTCCCTAACCCAGTCCATCACAAGCTCTCTCAGCCGTAGGTCGCCACCCACCAACTACTAACCACCCACCATGAAGCCCATCACACCCTTCCTCATCTCTCTCCTCTGTCTTGTCTCGGTTTTCTTCGTCCCCGTCGTCTCCGGCCACAACATCGTAAAGTTCATAAACCACTGCCCCTACCCCCTCTTCTTCTGGCAAGTCGGCCCCCGAGACTCCGGTATCGACGGCAGCAATGCCTACCGACAAATGGTTCCTGGCGGTGGTGGCTCGGTAATCCACGAGATGCGGAATACAGAGGCGCTAGGTGGGGGATTGAGCCTCAAGATACGGGATCTGGATCACTATGCGGTGGCACCGGCGGGTATTATCCAAGTTGAGTACCATTTGGAGCCGAGCAAGGGATTCATGTGGTATGATCTCAGTGCTGTGGATTGTGACCTGACTGCTGGGCCTGAGAACGCGATGTATTGCCGTAAGTTGTCTTCTCTTCAAGCTTGATGGCTGGCCGTGGACTAACGATGTTTGCAGCGCTTATTGAAGGTGGCATCAAGCTTTACGTTCCTGACGCGTACCTATATACTCCAGAAGGGCCGCAAGGCGAATGTCCGACAGGGAGTTGTAACAGCACCGGATGTACCGACGCTTATGAAAGGGAAGGTGGATATTCTGGTGAGCCAAGTTGGGTGTGCAAGGCTGGTGCTGATCTCTTCCTTGAGACATGTAAGTTGATGACAGATTGAAAGAAGTCTTCTGAGCGAACACTGACGAATAACCTCAGGCATCGAGAAAGCTGGCGAGAGGACCTTCTTCGGAAAGGATCCAAGTGCTTCCGTACCAGTCCACCAAGCCATCCCAGATCTCTTCGCCCAACCTCCTCCGCCGCCTCCAGCTGTTCCTTATGAAGAGCTCAAGATCTCACCCAATGGTGAATGTAGGTCTTCTGCTAAACCCCCTTTCCCTTCCCTCTTCAACATCTCACTAACGAAAGTCGAACAGGCGGACCTACCGAAGGTTACACTTGCACCGGCTCTCAACACGGCGTCTGCTGCAGCCAGTACGGGTACTGTGGTAACAGACCCGAATACTGCTATGCGGGATGTCAAACCGGCTTCGGATACTGCCTCGGAGAAAACGACGCACATCCCCAAGTTGCGGGTCCCGAGCCTTTTGTGCTGTCCATCGTTGGTACTGTTACTGATATCAGTGTCGTTACGCGGACTACAACAGCGACTGCGTTTTTGACGGAGACGGAGACAGAGACCGTTACTGCTACTACTGCTGCGTTCACTTCTCTTCCTGTGTCGGCAAGATTGTCTCAAAAGATGTTCAAAAGATATCCGAGGAGGAATGCAGCGGCATATGCGAATATGTGAGGGGAAGAAACCCCTTCAAGCACCTGTTGAGGTTGAGGCATCAAAAACGAGACGGTTACAAAACGAATTGTACTGCCGTGTCCATCTCCATCAAGACGCCAGGAAAGATCTGCTACGACAAAGATTACTTTGATATCCGTTATCCATTTTCATGACTGCCGATTCAGGTATGCACAACTACTGAAGCTGCAGAATCGGCGCTACGTGCTACTCATGGTCTGGTATGAAAGTATGGATGCGCGGCGAGAGTCTGGACATGGCTCTTGAAGTCCTTCGCGGCAACTTCGAGTTGTGGGACGAGGCACAGAAGAAGCGTTTTCATGGTCTTTACGACGCTACGCACGGTCGATTTCGTAGCCGGAGGGATGCACTCGGTACTCATGGTTAGCCCTCTTCAAATTGCCGTGGTGGTGGCTGTCATGGTTGGGCGCTTTGTAGCCTGTGGTCTGTTCATAATGTTTAGCAGATAAATGGAATGAAAACTGTCATCAGAAACTATTGCTTATTGGGATAACGAAGCCTCCTTGGCAGATGAAACTGTGTTTCCTATTATAAAGGAGAATGGGTGCCTTAAGCTCAAACTGTAGCCCTAGCTCTAGCGCTCGTCGTTGAGTTGTGCTCTCCAAGGTTGGTGGGCGGGTTGATTGCCATGGCTTCTAGGTGCTTCGCCAGCCTTTGTGCAAATTACCAGGCGTCAAGCGCATCGCCCCTAGCTCTTAGAAACTACCGCAGAATGTGTGAATACCGAGAACCACGAAATGAGGGTGTGATGTTGGTGTTGGTGTTGACATTGCCGCTGATGTGAGTGGGCCATGCACTAGCGCATCGGACCCCTGCTCGCCTAGCTAGCGCACATTGGAAATTTGCCCACCGACGGCCCTCACGCTCACCCATCGCCAGCTTGACTCCATCCCCGAACGCCCAACCCAGCTCTTCCGTACACCGAACGAACCGACTCCCGTCGAAATTCACAATCGCACAAAATGGACTCTGCTAAGGCCCCCGTCAACCTCGTCAAGGTCACCCGTGTCCTTGGCCGAACCGGTACGCGAAATTTCCGAATCCCCCCACAAGAAGAAGAGAAAGAAGAAGGGCGCAGTCAAGGAACAGTGGTGGATGCAATGTGACTTGAGAGAATGGCAGGCTGACGGATATATTACAGGCTCCCGTGGTGGTGTCACCCAGTGCCGTGTCGAGTTCATGAACGACCAGACCCGTTCCATCATCCGCAACGTCAAGGGCCCAGGTACGCACTCTCTGCCTACCCCGCGCACCCCTCCAAAATACTAACACATGTACCACAGTCCGCGAGAACGACATTCTCTGCCTCCTCGAATCCGAGCGTGAGGCCAGGCGTCTGCGATAAGCCCGCAAACAACTCTCGGGGAAAAAGGGAAAGCGGCATTTTCTACATTCGGTTACCGGAGTTCTTTGCGAAAGCTATGGGCATCTATACGGACTTCACGAGGATGGACAATATGATGGCGTAGTGTTTCTTGCTAGCGCTGCGGAAGCGGAGGATGGGGATGAGTTGATCTGTGGGAGATACGATTACGACGATATATCAAGAAGTCTGGGTTCTCTCCCTGAATGAATCGAAAATCTACCAACTCCCATTGAGTAGTGGATGTGGATGTGACATATGGAAGCTGCTGGCAGGACACGATATGGGTGCTGACGTTATTGGATATGGACTGATCTGCTTCTAGGCACGCCCTGTGAGCCTTCGATCGGTTCATAATTTCGGAGATGCTCGAGACGTTCGTTCCGCCGACTACCACGCTATGCTTTGCCTCCGAACCAGCTAACAACCTTATCAAGTGACACACGATACCACTGGACGAACTTGATGAAATATATGTTAGCCCTGCGGACATCTACTTACAGATTGTTATGTCAAAAATGTCTCCAACCATAGCTACAATGCTGATGGTACCACCGTACACATAGCAACTCCGCCAGTAACACCTCCACGGTCACCAAAGTCCATCTTCGGCACAGACCTCTCTGGCTATTCCAAGTCAACTCTGGGCACAACGCTATCGCGTTCATAGAGCAACAGTCGTGGTGGAGGCTTGTTCAGTTCCTTTTGGAGTCAGAAACCATGGGGTAAGAGCAAAGATAGAGCTGATATTGGGAATGACACCACCCATACGCCAAAGCATAGGCGGTCACTATCGTCTTCAAGCTCCCCATTGTTCATGGTGGGAGGTTTTTCAAAGGTACTTTCGGGTTCGGCACCTATCTTTCACTCCGGATTACCCTCCGCGATCGCTGATGAAGGTGCACTGATACCTACTGACAACAGCACATCAATCATGCCATCGTTACAGCTTTCAGCTAGACGGAATAGGACAATCAGCTGGGTGGACCAACTTCCAACCCGATCCGCACCGTCACCGTCGCCGTCATCCGAAGTCAACTTTGGAGGAGCGCAAACAACGCACGGCTCCGAAATCGCACCATCGTTTGCGCAGGAAGACTCAGACAGTGACCCCAGCAGCTCAACGCTTTGCCTCAACTCGCCTTTCTCTTCTGACCTCCATCTTACCATACAATCTCTCACACCCCAAACCACAATCGCTGGTCGACAAAGTGAGATCACCATGCTAACCAGTCCGCGCGACCTCTCTCCCTTCAAAGGAAAGCCCCTCTGGGAACCTGACGACGAGGAATGGGAAGATATACACGCGATTCACATCTCGTCCACTTACAAAGCCTCCTTCAGAGACCCGCGACGATGTAGTCCGCAGAAGACAACAAATGCTAGCACACTGTCCCGCTTCAGCAGCACCATCACATCTTTCCTGCCTTTCTCCCCTGTCAAACTCGCCGCAGAAGCCCGTCTGCGCGATGAAGAAGAGCTGCGAGACAAGTTAGAGGAATTGGGCAACACGTACTATTCAGACCCCGCCGGAGATGTCCACGATACTGTCGTGGCCTCCACTTTTCTGTCTGGATCCCGATACTTTCGCCATGACCAAGCTGGAAGTTTTGCCCGCGCTCCATATGTCATCGATCTGGAACGGTATTTCAATACTCAGGATCCATTAGTTGGAGCTGCTTACCCGCGTCTTTGTAGCGCAGTCGCTACGATACTCAGTCACACGAACAGAGAGTGTTTAGAAGCATTTCTTGATCCGCGGGTTGACGAATTTGTGTATCGGAGGGAAGTAGACAGAAGCACTGCAGGGAATATTCTTGTGATTAGGAGGAAGGGGAACAGTGTTATTGTGAGTTTTTCTCTGTTGACGACTCCCCTTTCCCAGTCCTACAAATACCATCTCTTCCATCATCATCACTGTAAGCACTAAGCTGACCAACGAGACAAATCAGGCTGGTTCCTACCGTAACCTAGGCTTCTCGTTATCATGGACCTTGTACGTCAGAGCATCATTCAGCGCCACAGGCCTCTGGTACGAAACCTTTGCGTCGCCCGTCGCGGGCTCAAGTCCCATTATAAACGGAGTACCAGCTTGGGATACCTTCATACCCATAAACGCGCCCTTTTCTTTTCCCGTCTCCTCGTCGTTCCTCCCGCCACCGTCATCATCCCAGTCGCAACAATCCACCGTGCCGTTGGAGTCCTCGCCTCGGAAGATACTCTTAGCTGGTCCAACTTCACCTCCGCAGTGGACGCAGGGTATGAAGAAAGACAATGAAGAAGAAAACGATACCATTAACCCGACAGACGAAAAGTTTGTGCTATACCAAAGCAGGGTGCTGGCAAGGTTCTTTCTGAGAGACATCTGGATTAGATTCGAGGGACGGTATGAGTGCAAGGCCACGTGGGAGATTGATGGGGCAGTTAGCGAGGTGAGGCTAAGGAGGGCTGTTGTGGGGTTTCCTGGGGACAATGACGATGATGGATAAAGTACAGATATGTAATGTCCTTGTATGAACTGCCTACAAGACATACACCGACTTCGTACACTGGCACTTAAGGCAAGGATCTGGATGTTCCTGCCGATAGAAGCCATCTCCGTCTTGCCTACAGCAGGAACCTGGGAAGTCGTGATAGTACCGGACGAGATGGAATTGTCAACAACAGAGATAATGGGTATTCAAAGCCTACAAAGAAAGCAAATACGGAACAACCACGCTATGCGACCCTAACATTTCAAATCATGCCGTGAACCCCTTTTCCCCACATAGTATCTTACTCCGAGTCACTGTCGATGACAAACCCTGCCCTTGTATTTCGTGGCGCTGCTCTTCGCGCCACGGGTGCATCGTCCTCATCGTCATCCGTATCTGCCTCTGCCATTGCAGTATCCATAGCCTTAGCTGAACTACTCGCTGGTTTCCTAGGCGTATCCGTATCGCTCTCTGCCGTCATAGCATTGGCATTCTGACTCGAGAGTGGTGTATCTGTCGTTTCCTCTCCGTCTTCGTTCTCGTCTTCATTATCCTCAGTCACAGATGCAGCTTGACTACTCTCTGCATCCTCCATATCATCATCACTATCTTCAAACAGCGCCTTCTTCTTACTCCTCTTACTTTTCTTAACCGTCGCATCAGCCTTCCTCTTCTTCCCCACACTAACAGCCGGCTCCACAGTCCCCAACACTAGAGACTTTTTAAACACCTTCAGATTCTCTTCACGAATCGCCTGCTCTCTTGCAAAGAACGCGGCATCCTTTTCATCGTCCCAGCCGTCGTCGGAGTCATAGACATACATCTTACTCAACGCTTCAGCTTGTTTCTCAATTTCCTTCTTGCGACGTGCTTCGGCTCGGCGGTCTTGTTCTTCTTCATCGAGCTCGACGGGAGTCTTCTGTCGGCGCCGTCGCTTCAGTGTTTTGCGAGGAACATCAGTGTCTGCGTCACGCGTAGTCGATCCGCCTTTGGCGTATTCTCCGTGATCCTCTTCTTCTAGGTCGCGATCTATGCCATCGGAGTCATCGTCGAATTCGGCCCGGCGGGTAGACCGACGAGCTGCTGCGGCTTTGCTGCGGAGCAGATCTTCTGGTGCTTTACCATCTTCGTATGTCGGCGGGTCGAACTCAAACTTACGAATGAGATCGATGGCTTCTTGTAGTTGTGTTGACGTAAGCGATGAAGGAATAATCCATGCAGCGTCTGGGTCATGGTGTTCTCCTAATCTCTCGAAGCCGACTAAATTCATAAGTAGTCGTAGCTTGTTGTCTTTGAACATCGCTATACGGCGCTCTTCGGTGTCGTGCTTGATGACTAGATTTTATTAGTAGACTTCTTTGTAGCAGCAGAGTGGGACTTACAGATTGACGGTGGCTTCGACGTTTCGGCATCTGGTTCGGCGACTGTCTCGCCCTCTGGACGCTCTTCCGCGTCCGTCACTAAAGCCTTTTGTGCTTCGGCTGCCTCTTCCCATGCCTTGCGCTCTTCAGCTGCTGATGTGAGTACGTCTCGTACCCAGCGGAGGTGGTCCGACTTTGACTGGTTTACAAGAACACCAACAGCGACACCAATCTGATCCGGTAGCTCCATACCAGGTTTGACTTCCAGCTCTGCTGGCGCTCGTGGCGCTCTGGTGTTTACCTCCTTATCAAAGCCGTGTTCAAGGAAGAAGATAGTTGCAGGGATCTTGCTGAACAGCATCTCTACTACCAGCTCTGGTCTCTCCTGTACTCTCTTTACGACTTGTCTAAAGAAGTGTTTGATAAAGTCATCCCACTCCCTGTATGCAGGAGACTCAGGGTCCAGGCCGCCTGGACCCTTCATCATCTTATTGAATAGCTGCAGGATGTCCACCCGGCACAGTAGAACACCAAGCTCCATCTTGAAAGCGACACGGTGGAAGAAGCGATGCGCGCGCTTCAGCTGTTCGGTATCCAGATCGCTGAAATACTTGGCAAACGCCACGAAAGTGTTGACACTGGCTTGGTTGACAAACTTTGCAGCAAATCTCGTGAAATCGAACTTGCGTTCCGAAACCGTCTTCTGTGCCTGCTGAAGGTCTTCAGTCTCGGAAGCGTTACCCTCTTCCTCTCCGTCTCCGCCCTGCTTTTCAGCTTTCTTTTTCTTAATCTTTCGAGCTCGTCGCTTCGAGCGGATCTGCATGTCCACGTTCTGCTTTGCATAGCGCTCAAGCATCCGCAAAAAGACATGAGAAAGCTCAGTAACCGCATCGAGATAGCCAAATCCTTGATCCTTGTACGACCTTAGAATCATGACTATTCTATCATGTGTTGACTCTTCGTAGAAGATACGGTTCTGTATGTTCTCAGCAATCTCTTGGTCCTCTTCAAGTGCCGACTCGGACATTTCGTGCACGGTGAGCAAGATCTGGGTAAAGCACTTCAGTCCGGCGTTCAGATCTCGCCATGCCTTCTCGTCCTGACTCTTTTGCATGAAGCGGTTGAGTAGAATAAACGTCTCCTGGTTCATGACTTCGGCTACTAGCCCGTAGCTCTCATCCTCAGCAGACAGAACTTCTGGGCTCTTGGGGTCTGCGGCCCTCTCCTTCATAGTCCGCCGCCGCGCGCACTCTGCCCTCAGGAACCACGATACAAGATAGAAGTACTGTCTAGAATGCCGTGTTTCCACACGTTCAGTCTCGCGCTCGATAGCTTTCCGTAAATGCAGGAATAGAGGGTTGAAAGACGAGTCGAGAAACTCTTCAACAAAGGCTTTGATATGTTTCCGTGCAGAAGACGTCAGCGACACCGGCAGGTCGAACTCCTCTCTCTCTTCGCTACCATCCTGCTTGCGCCTTCCTTGTCGAGGTTTGTTCCACTTCTTCGTAGCATCCATCTTGTCCATGCTAGCCTGCGCCTTTCCTAGCACATCCTGCCCAGATATAGTCGTGACCTTTTCGTCATCCCGCTTCATCCATATCATTGTTCCGAATCGGTTGTGCCGGGTTGGTGCATGCCGAGCATAGCCTGCGAGCATAGCCTTCTCTTTTTGCATCAAGTCCTTGAGCTCATCTGTATTTTTGGCATTGAGCTTCTTGTCTTCCATGAAGAGTTTCTCAGCATCGATACCCTTTAGTAGGAAGAACAAGATCTCGAGTATGACAACATCTTGTGTGACAAAGTCCTCTCCGATGCTGGAGGCGATACTCAGAATGACCTGAAATAGATCCTGTTCTTGGAAAGTATCAATCGTTGCAGATCGAGAGACTTCGGCTTCGTCAGTGTCCATATGTGCATCGTTGGGTGGTGCAAGCATGGCAATATTGCGTATGAAATATAGCGCGATCCGGATGATGCCTTCATCTCGTGGTGTTCGTTCGCGGAGGGGCACTGCCATTGAAGGAAGCGCAGTCTTGACGGCAGTCTGAAGGATTCTGTCTCGGTCGAATTGCAGGATAGCGCGCTTGTATCCAATCTGGGCGAGCCCGATGTAGGGGCCATGTCGATGGTGGTTTACGGTCGCTTCGGTTGGGTCGATTTCGTTGGGCCATGTCAAAGGCACAAGCAGTTCCACTGTAGCGGTCAGTACAGCCCAAGTACATCAGCCCTGCCTTCATACATGTCGCAACTGCAATCTTGTGTTTCCACGCGCTTTCTGTTACAGTCGGTGATATCTTGGCAAGCATCTCTAGTAAGTCGCCCTTTACGAGGTTTGCTTCGGCCATGCATCGTGCAACATCGCGTCGATTGTATTGCCCGTCGGCAAACTTTAGCCATTTCCGCAGGTCCTTGAGACACAGCAGGGCGTCGTGTCCGAGTGCATACGTCCCATCATCACCAATACCACCGAGCTGTGCGCATGTCAGTGACGATTGCATTGGCAAAGCAGGATACATACAGCAGAAATTAGACTGGAGACGTGAGCGCGAACTTCTGGGTTCACAGTGTCCTGCGCCCAATCGTCCAGCGTCGTCTGAGGCATTGTTGTGGTTGATGCTCGGACTGCCCGCCGGTGTCGCGATAATCCAAAAGACGCGTCGACGCGTAAAGTGCCACATGCGGGACAAACCGCTCAAATCCGCCAAGCCCAGGCTGATCCTCGCTCCTTCCCGCCGCCAGTCAACGTCATGCCTCGGCTAGCCCGCGGCGGCTCTCATCGGCCTGGGGAAAGAAGTTCCCCATCACATGTTGTGTGTGCAACTCTCACAATTTGCTTGTAACCTTCCGAGCATATACTCACCATGTTTTCCGTAGCCTCAAGACAGGTCGCCCGATGCGCAGTGAGGCAGCAATGCCGTGCCTTCAGCTCAACTCCCTCTGTAGGGGCTGCTGCTGAGGTCAAGAAGCTGGGTGTCATTGGAGCAGGTCAAATGGTGTGCAACGGCCGACCCGATCATACAGGCGAGCCTTCGGAGCTGACTTTTTCAGGGCCTTGGAATAGCTCTCGTAGCAGCACAGAAAGCCTCTGTACCAGTCCGGTTAATTGACAATTCCCAAGCATCAATCGACAAGGGCCTAAAGTTCGCGGACAAGCTTCTCGAAAAAGACGTCGGAAAGGGCAGGATCTCCAAAGATGACGCCGTCGCAGCAAGAGAGCGATTAACGTCTAGCACTTCAATGGACGACCTCTCAGACGTCGACTTCGTAATCGAGGCCGTACCGGAGATCCCAGACCTCAAACACAAGATCTTCTCGCAACTCGCACAAATCTGCCCATCACACGCTATCCTAGCCACCAACACCTCCTCCATCTCGATTACCAAGATCGCAGCGAGTACAACCACCGACCCAACCGACCTCTCGGCCTCATCGCGTGTCATCAGCACACACTTTATGAACCCGGTCCCCATTCAAAAAGGCGTAGAGATCATCACTGGCCTTCAGACCTCACAAGATACCGTCGATACCGCAATTGCCTTCTGCGAGAGGATGGGCAAGATCGCTTCCAAGTCCGCCGATAGCCCGGGTTTCCTCGCGAACCGCATTCTCATGCCGTACATCAATGAGGCCGTCATCTGCTTAGAGACAGGCGTAGGTGCTAAGGAGGATATTGACAGTATTATGAAGAACGGCACGAACGTACCTATGGGCCCGCTTCAATTGGCGGATTTCATTGGTATCGACACGTGTTTGGCCATCATGCAGGTTTTGTATCATGATACGGGTGACTCCAAGTACAGACCTGCGGTGCTGCTGAAGAAGATGGTGGATGCAGGGTGGTTGGGAAAGAAGAGCGGGAAAGGGTTCTATGACTACTAGGAGAGTGGCAGCCCAAACATGAGCATTGATAAATAGCAACTTATTTCGTCAAAGCACGCCCTGAACGTCCTCGCAGTAATTTTCCTGACAACCCGTAGCGCGGATCGCGTAGCCTATAGCACATCACCAGAACTCCAGTATCGACCCATTGCGACAACACAACTACTCCCCAGCCCAACTCTCCTTTGCCCATACCCACTCTCTCAAAGCTAGCATCCATAGACTTGTCGGCTCATCGCTCCCATCATACAACTTTACACCCAAATGCCCTTTTGCATCACCAATATTCACACCTGATAGCCTCACTTGATTTAGACCGTGTTTTCAAACGCGTAAGATCTAGCGTGACGTGTTCCTCAGAACTATTCTGTCGAACCTTATTCTGAGCTCTTTCTCTTTAGTATCTTCGGTCGAACGCGTAAAAGTGGAGCATGTGTATAACGGTACCACATTTGGGCCATCCGATTTTACGTCTAGTTTATCATCTGCCCTGCCAAATTTCGCATCCCCAAGCGTGCTATGTAACACATCATTGGCAGCAAAGTTTGGAGTTCTTCGCCGCGTTCCAAAGTACGTCGCATGCTCAGCAGATTACGCGAAGGGACCAGTCTTTGTCAAAAAGATGCAATTAATCGCTAGCTAGGCATATCACATTGAAAAATTTCATAGCGAGGTACCTCAGATAGGCCCATCGTTTTCTACGTTCGCTACACACACGCTCCGTTGAAACATCCAAAACCTCAGCACCCTGTCCAATAAACGTCGCTAACAATTAGATCCAGAGTCCACCTCCGTGTCTCGACTACTCATCTCCCACACACAACCTCTCATTCACACGGCAAATCTGCCTTGGCGAACCGGCCTGTATTCGTCTTCCTCCACTCGGGCAAGTTGTTCGGTACGCCTTTCTTCTCATTCGCAAGGTCGTCCCACTCAAGGCCTGATATCATCATCCCCATGCGCTCCCGACCCACTCGATCTTTCTCGTTGGACGAGAAGCAAGACCATGCTAGTCTGATGGCGTAGTCGCTCTCTGTGATGCTTTTGTTTTGCTTTAACATCTCATTCTGCCTCTCGTCGCGCCTAGTTTGTGTCGCTAGTCGGATTCTTTTGGTGTCGTCTGCATTTTTGGTAGGATCTGGGACTGAGAGGCTTTCTAGCAGTTTTTCGACGGGGATAGATCTTGCGATGGGTGGTCTTATGACGGGTAGTTTTGATAGCGGCGTAGGATCGTTTGTAGTGTAGTGTCTCGTGAGCTTCATTTTGTTTGGGTCCTTGATCTCCTCCCTTTTCTTTGGGAAGGGCCGTTTGAGTTTGGGTTCCCGTCGCTCTGCGGTAGCTGCTCGCGTCTTGGGTGTTTTGTCCTCCTCTTTGGAGATCTCTTTTCCTGGTATTTTGAGCGAGAGACACGGCTTTTTGTTCGAACGCATGCTTATGGGTTCTGCTCCCGCTTCTTCGGAAGTGCGTTTGAGTGAAGTAGACATTGCAGTAGCTTTTCTGATGTCGTAGAGTTTGTTTTGAGTGATCTGTTTCGTGTATTTGCTTGAGAACTTGATGATCGCGGTTTGGAGAGAAGATGTGATGAGATTAGGAGAAAGATCGTTTTGGGAGGGAATATATGCCAGGTAAGTGGAGTATTCATCGTAGCGGGGTGTTGTATTACTGGAGTACCAGAGTAATGAGGCCTTGGGATTAAAGTCAGTGCAGATGTCTTCAGTGCCGTGGACGAGGTTAGCGCATGAGGTAAGAACCCATCATCGGCAATGGCCTTCACACAGCTAGACCTTATCAAAAAGTCTTGTACTGATAAGCAAACCCAAAGATACTCTAGGTGTCCCACGGAAAGCTCAAAGCCTTTCGTACGGTGGATAATCTCAAGATCAAGTGTCCTTGGATCTTCATGGCTTGATATACTGTAGTGAAAGGTGCTTCAAAGACATGAACGATGATCCGACATCTTGAAAAACCGGTCTTACATGCTTGTGGTTCTCTTGGCTAATATCAAAAACGTGTTCTTCTTCTCACATCTGAGTGCAACAATATCTTGGTTAAGTCCACTCCAAGGACTGTAATACCAAGGCACACAGTAGACGAGCCACTCATAATTCCAGCAACCCACACCATGTTACCGCACGCGACAGTCGAGTCTCTCACCCCTAGTCCTCCTCACTCTCATCCTCATCTCTGACCACCTCGCACCCACAAGGCCAAAGGTGAGATACCGCGTACCCAGGATACTTCTTCGTGAAATCACCATACCATCTATGCCATTGGTTCCATACCTTCTTCATCTCATCTGTAACCGTGACTGGGTATTGTGGAAACTGCTGGTAGAGTGTACCGCGAAAGTTCTTGTATTCGTCCCACTTGAGTTGGTCTTCTGGTTCGATCTGATGGCCTACACCTGTGCGGCGGTCGGGATCGTCTTGGAAATCGCCGTTGCGACCATGTAATCCGTTCTTCAAGTATGGAATGGGAGGTGGAGAAATTGCTGAAGGGGGGCTGGGAGCATTGTGGGGTACTGGGGGCATTAGTGGGGCGTAGTGCTGGCAGCAAGCGTAGTAGATAGCCAAGAAGAGAGTATGCATTGACCACTCCAGGAGGTACTCAGATTACTATCAGATAGTTTGAGATATCTAATAGTACCTTAAGTCTACTAGGAGTTGGTAAAGAAGTTCTGTAACTTACTTGTTGTCTCAAAGAGGTATGTCACGGGCCCGCGAAACGTCTCATGAGAAGTAGCAGTCAAGACACGATCTTCATCATCGCCCCGGACTATCATCGAAGAGCGGTCGGGATCAGATGGATTCATGCCAGTGCTGTTGAAGAAAGGGTTCTGAGGGTATGTATCATGATCTCTGTCGTTATACGCGGCTGTTTGCGCGTTCGTTTGCGAGGGCATTGGTATAACGTCGTCGAACGGCTTGTCTATCGAGCGTTTCTTACCCAAATTCTCAATATCTTCAGTGCTCAGGTTTGTTGTTATATCACGCTTCTGTAACTTCGCGGGTGGTTGATCGTCCCGTGACCTACCAGGTGCGCTCCTCTTCCGCTGACGGGGCTGAACGAATGTATCATCGCCTTTGGTCGAGGTTGACGGAGAATCTCCTTGGCTGTTGAAGGCGGGAGTTGTAGCGGTATGCTTCTTAGTATTTGGGCTAGAAGATGTTGTGGTAGTGGATGCTAGGAAGGAAGCGACATCATCGGATTGCTCGACCTTTTCTTGATCATCTGCAACTAAGATTGTAAGTACATCTGCTCGCAGTGAGCAGGGTAGGTATGAACCTACAAGACAGTTCCGATTTCGGATTGCGTCCAAGAGCAAGTGTTTCCTTCTCTTCAATCCAGTTTGCAAGCATCGTCTTTGCTAGTCCCTTATTCTTTAGCTCTTGTCTCTTATCTGTACCTGCATACTGCCCAACGATATCGAGTAGCTCGTCTGTGTTGTATTTGAGAAGAGTCTTGGACAAGCGAGCGTTGGGTCTCTTCTTGTTACCCAGGCCGTTTTGACTATAGAGCGGAATCTTCAAGCCATTCGCCTCATAGAACCTGGATGCGGAAGCCTGCGTCAAGGTGGGAGTTGTAGGCGATGTTGGACTTGCCGGGGTCTTTGACCTTGCCTTCGTTGGTTCCATGGTCGTCTTCGTCGGCTTTATGGGACCGCTCGCGCGGGTTTCAGTCGCCTTCTTCCTACCCTTGCCTTTGCTCTTGCCTTGAGAGGCCGCAGCTATCGTGCATGCGGCTTCGTCGGTGTCGATAATGTTAGTATGATCCATGTTGACACTGAGCTTGATAGCAGATTCTGTGAACGAGCAAAGACCTGGAACAGATGCAATAGACAGCTAACGAAAGTGACTTTGATTGAAGGGTGAAAAGTTTCGTTTGTCTTGGACATTGTTCACAACGGAGTGAAGGCGCGAATGCATCGCAGCAAAATCGATTCGCGCACAATAACCTTCCCTTTCGGACGACTACACATTCGTATCGAGTACGCAGACTGCTCCTGACCATACCGATGAGCAAGTTCTCTTCCGAAGAATCGGCGGTACCATATACAACTAGGCCAAACCAAGAGGCCTTATGTAGGCTGTCCAAACACCAAGTGGTTGATGTACACAATCAAACAATAGACCAAGAAGTTGAAAACGCTTACAAAGAATGCGCACTAACGGTTTTCGATGCTTCAAGAACCAAAGAAAATCTTACGAAACATGCAAGCCGTCTACGCGACAGCTGTGTAGTGGTTTCTATGGCTTTCGTGGCTTGCTGCTCTTTCTTCCCGATGTTGTAGCGGAACAATGTCATTATGAAGTGAAAGAGACAATGAGATGAACTGGAAATAAGTGACATGACTGAGAAGAAAACCAACACCATGATACTTGCAGATAGGTAATTCAAAGACATGCTCATGTCGTACTTCCAAAAGACAAGCTATATAGGAGTACCATGTACCTGACTTCGTGAACGATGGCTCATGATTCAATGAAATAGCATATAGAGCCCGAGTGTCGAGATATTCGAGCGTCAGTGAATGTTGTAATTAAAAGTCGCAATCTGACGTTTGGACGTCTCGCGTTGAAGTGTCGAAGTCGGAAAGAAAGTGCGGTCGCCGTGCCACGTGAGACGAGGCGGAACCGACCGCCGATCTAAAGGAGCCGAGGCATACCCGCCTCCAGCTTTCGGATCGTCATTTCGCGACTCTCCAGTTCCATCATCAATCGACAGCTCGCGCGTGCTACCGGCATTGCGTAACGTGTAGTCAAGATGGTGCGCGAGGATATCATACAGTCTGCTGTATCCTGTAAGTTGATGCGTGCTGCGCTCCACGCTACGCGACGATACTAATCATCCTCGTCAGTCCTCCAAGACCCGTCGGTTGCCAGCGCGCCCCTTGAGAAGCGCATCGCTTTCCTCCAGTCCAAGAACCTCACGCAAGAAGAAGTCGATGTCTCGCTCGCGCGTGCAGCCGAAGACCCCAGCCTACCTTCATCACCTCCACCCCAGACATCCGCAGTAGCCAGCAATGCGTACAGACCACCACCTGCAGCCCCGTATGCGAGCTATCCTCCCCAAGGGTACTGGCAACCGCCGCCTCCTCCACCAGAGTAAGCTCGCATGTCCCAGATATTCGAAGTTGATGCTGACTACGTAGACCCCCGAAACGCGACTGGCGAGACTACTTCATCATGGCGACGGTAATGGGCGGTGTAGGGTACGGTCTATACTTCACAGCGAAACGATACGTCCTACCCCTCATACAACCACCTACGCAACCACAACTGGAGCAAGACAAGGCTTCTGTCGACGAACAGTTCAAGCGCGCATTCGATCTCCTCGAGCAACTCAACACCGACACATCCGCTCTCAAGGCTTCGGAAGAGGCACGGACACACAGACTCGACGACGCGCTGGGCGAGGTGGAGAGCGTTCTGTCGAGTCTAAAGGAGTCATCGAGAAGACAGGGCGACGACAACAGACGCATTGAGGACGACGTCCGAGGCCTGAGGGACTTGATCCCGAAGGCGCTTGACTCCCAGAAGGAGGCGACCGACAACAGGTTGAAGGAGCTGTCCACTGAGCTCAAGAGCCTGAAGACATTGATCGGAAACAGGATGGGATCCGGCGCACCACCGCCACGCCCACAGAGCACCTCAAGCTACTACGGCACCAGCACACCTGCTGCCTCGGCATCAACTCCCCAGCCATCGTCTACCCCTGCGCCCAGCGAGCAGACCAACGGCACGAGCTCGACCGAGAACCAGACCAATGGTGCTACAACAACCGCGCCTAGCTCCATTCCCACTCCTAGCACAGAGAAGCCGCTCCCTGCTTACGGTAGGCCGTCTCCGGGACGCGCCGCTATCCCAGCATGGCAGATGGCCGCCGCGAAGAAGACTGAGGAGGCGAAGAAGGATACCAGCGAGAGCGGGACTGTGGCGGAGGCCGGTGCCAGTGCGTAGAATGGTCACGGCTGTGTTATCTGATAGTCTTTCTGCATCTTTGGCGTGGTCATTCTATATGTGTATTAGGGATAAACTCATGGTTAACTTTGAAATGCAATTCTAGGTACTATCTAATAGGGGTTTTCGCTCCTTCCATAAGTGATTTGCACCAGCGCCGCTGCCACGCGTACGCTAAAAAGCGCTAGTGGAAACAAGCAGCGATGACGAGCATTGTTATCTCATATCTGAGACGATCTTCACGCCCTTCGTACTGTTGATACTTTGCCAGATAAATCTGCCACCTACCATGTATTGCTCTCGCGATGCTCTCTCCGCTCCCAGCCCACGATAAGTTCTCCAGCTATTAGATACGAGTACAGTATTATGGACAAACAGGACGTGAAGGAGGGCACTGTGGAATAATCTAGCTTTCCATGCGAGTGGTACAACAAAGTAAATGGGTGAAATATTCGGGGTTCATGCCTGGCGCTTACCGACCAGCTTTACTTTTCCCTGGCCAAGGCTGGCCTGTGCCTCAGGGACAGCTCAGACGTCTGATAGATCTTTCGTCATTCTAGTATTTTGTAAGGGGGGTAACATCGAGTCAAGCAAAGTTCCGAGGTTATGCGAGGTAGCTCGGAACGTTCCGAAAATCTTCATGAGCAAAAAGAGAAGATTGTTTTAGACAAACCGTATCGCATCGTATCCTACTGTTCGAAAAGACACAGAAGCAAGCAAAAAGAATGCTGTCAGCGGTGGGATTCGACTGATGAGTTTGTTAGTAACATGCTCGTAACGAGCGATGTAGTCTTGGAACTTACACCCACGCAGGTTGCCCTATGAGAAACCTCTTGAGAGTGTGTCTTCCAAAGAAGACAAGCTTTCGCTTGAGTCACACGCCATAACCACTATCCATCGTCAGCAATTGCGATCTGAAACTTCATGCTGGTAACATACCTCGGCCACGCTGACGGAAGGTGATTCGATTCCAGTATCAGTAAAAGAATTCTTCATATTCCAAGGATGCAGGCTCGTTAAGCGCACCCACGAAGGTCGCTCAACCTTTTGAGACGTGCCCCGCCCACTGTCCCACTTGCTATCCCACATAGAGCGGCATCTCGAAAATGAGAGACTCGACTATCCAGGTGTTTCTGACCGTAAGCGATTTGTTAGTAAAGACGCCAGAGGATAAAAACTTGGCGCCATCTGTTCTCAGTGTTGTGCTCCTCAACAAGCAGCTTGAACAATTGGGCGTCGGCAACATGCTCGTATGCCCTAAACAGCAGTGCAGTGGGCAACGGCATTATGGCCCTCGTCGATCGAGAAGACTTGTACACGCGTTGCCAGATGGCGTTGTCCATCGTTCTGGGTAGTCGGAATGGCTTCCGGGCCAACGTCGTGATGTCGTGACGTCGCGATCTCGCGTTTCGCGTCAATGCTCCTAACCTAACGTCGACCCGTCAACCCAGCCACCGCAAAACAAACTTCCAGGTCCCCCAGCCCCAACGTCATCGACATCTTACAGAATCCGATATCTCATGCACGATCGATCTCGCCAATCTCCCTGCCCAAACAAAAGGCTCCACACTCCCCTGGCGCTACGCTCGTGTTGACGTCGACTGTCACCTTCTTTTGGCTACAGGTGCGTTGCTAGCTTTGGCTTAATGGGGCTTCTTGTTGTCCCTTGCATGGCGGGTGCTTAGATGCCGTGTGTTTGCAAAAGGATGACGCAGTTTCAGGGTATCGTATCGCACCCCGTCCCTGCATCGCTCACATCTGTATGGCTTCACCCAGCTCAATGGCACACCAAAGATGCTGGCGCACAGCCGCTTAATAGTTAAGAGAAGGGATACTGGATGGCTGCCGTGGATCATCCAAATCTACTTGCATCACCGCCATCGTATGACGCAGCGACTCTCACATGTAGACTTGTCATTGCATCGCACCTTTTTGACAAGCGATCATCATCTCCCGCCTCTAGTAAGGGATCCCGCTTGCCGGATCGACATGCTTATCCACTTACAGTACACATCAATCTCATGCTGGCATGGCGCATTGTGGGGGTCAGTATCGGATTCTCGACTATGCTGTCATAATCGTGATCGTAGCATGGAATCTAGATTGCGAACCATGCCCCTTGTTGTTTCCAACCATCTTGTTGCATCAGAGGCTTGAGAAGACTACATGACGTATCGCTTCTCTGTATGACAGAAATTCCTACATAAAGAGGTGATGCCACGCAACTTGCTCTACATCAACACATCACATCATCGAATCATCACAACTACTTTCATCCTTATACATCTCTACCAACTCCATATTCATCCCTGAACAATATCCACACCAACATCACCACAATGAGCTCCAGCGACATCCCCAGCGGCAACGCCATGGACAACGACTACAAGTCCCGTACCGGCCAGTCCGAGATCCCCGTTCAGGCCGATGAGGCGCCCGTAGAGGCGACCGAGTACACCAACGGTGGTGACTCTGATGCGCAGCTCGGTATGTATCTACAACACAAACAGTCTCCACAGTCTTAACATATTTCAGAGCGCGATGAGAAGGACGCTATTGATGAGAGCAACATCATTGACGAGCGTACACGTGGTGCTACTAAGCAGTCTGGCACATACGCCGAACCTGGTGATGAGGAGGGTCTTGGTGCTGCTGCTGACGGTTCTGATGGTACTTCTTCTACACGATAGAGTGTGATACCCAGCGTAACAGAGGAGGATCTTAATAGCGTGGAGTAATGAATTTGATATCCTATTTACTTAAGAGTTTCCACTTGTCCTCGCGCGTCACTGTTCTTGCTGAATTTGTGAACATCCTGACGCTTGAAGTACCATATCCTCCCATGTGCATAGATTTCACCGAGGTCGTATGTCTGACTTGGTAGAGGTACTTGCCTGTCATATCATGTTGGGAAATTAGAGTATACTTCTCCCATAGCTCATTTTTGTCGCTTGTTTACTCACTCCAAGAATACTCTTTTCCCCTGTTCCCCTTTCACTCTCACCACAGTGCAACACGCAGCGTCATCTATCATGGTCTTAGTCCAGGTTCCGTTTGCTCTTGCGCATGCAATCGCCTCGAACTACTGGACCAAAATAAAGGGCTTCCAACCTCTGTCTGCTTTACTCCCACGACTAGCTACCGTCGCTGCGAGTCCAAGTCTTATCTACGGTTGTCGCGACACTATTGCGACACCACGTACGACCTCAGCGCCGACGCATACAATTCTCCAATTCAGCGCATAAAACATGGCTGGAAAAGGCTGTGCGAAGACCATCGCCAATGGTAAGCAGAACGTAGACATCGAGATGTAACTATCGCGACTTCCCCATGTGATCAATCAAAGAGCAAATATTTGTGCGGACCACTCAAAGCTCACATGCTGACTAAATTGCAGAGCGCGCAGCTCGTATCAAAGCCACTGGACAACGTGTCTATATCTCCGGGCTCAAAGGTCATCACACGCTCGAGACTGGCGTTGCGTATCACTACCGAGGCCACTTCATCTATGCTTTTCCAGCTAGCAACCCCATTGAGCCTGTCCCATTCTCAACAAAAAAGGGCATCAATATAGTAGGAGTCATCAAAGATCAAGCACCCATTTACAATCATACAGACCCGGATCTTATACTCGAACAGGATATTGCCGCCTTACAGAAGTCTTGCGTACACGAATGGGAATTCCAACAAGCGCAGGAAGAACTCAAGAAGCAGGAGACGAGGAAGGTACTTGAAGCAGAAGAGACGGGAGAACACAAGAGAATTGAAACCGAGACTGTGGCAAGCAGCACAAAGGATTTTGACGCTGCTACGACTCCCAAGGCAAGCGCACAGGAACCCTTGCCCAGTCAAGCTCCCTTACGTGTCCCGTCCTTTACGACATTGCTAGTTCCCTCACAAGTATCGTCAAAGAGTGCTTGCCGCCCGCAGACTCACTACCAACCAGTGACCAGCCAACAAAGCTCATCTTCTCCAGTCAACATTCCGCGAATCGGCGCCGTCGAAGCTCCGCCTGCACAAACTTTTCCATCAACAGCCTACACACCCCACGACCGCGGTAGGTATCTCGCATACTCCGCCCCCGGATCCCGCCACGCCTCTGTAGACAACACGCCCTCCGTCTCACGCCCCGTCTCACCAACCCACCTCCATGGTCTCAGTGTACGCAACGGCCACGACGGCCATGGTCATGTTTCACTCCGGCCTATAGCAAGCACTTCGCGTCTGAACCAACTTCTCGCAGAAGAAGGTTTCCGCCGGTCCATGAGTCCTCTTGCAGATGTAACAGAGGACCATCTGCGAGGAAGCGGACACCGGGAAGGACGAGATGGGGAACTGGTAGCCAACCTTGGGGTATCACAGGGCTGGATGGACCCAGACGATATTTCTGCGTTTGTGGAAACTGTGAGCCGGAGGCCGTCGCCTTCTCGTGTCTCTTTGCGGTCTCGCTCGCGCCCGTTGTCAAGGGTGAATAGCCGGGGTCCACGGGGTGATTCAAACTCACCCGAGAAGGACGTCGATGAGGGTTTGTATCTCCATGGTCTGGGTCATCCGGATGTGATTCGTAATGATGCATCTAGGGCTCAGACAAGGGAGTCTAGCCCGTTCCGTGCACCGGGTTATCGGTCTACGGAGAGTACGGCGTATTTGAGAGAGTTGGCAATGAGGCATTACGATATAGTCAACGCCGAGCCAGAGACGTCTTCATCGCAGTCACAGACGCCCATTGTCCATCCACCCACTGGTCTATTTGGAAGCCCGGTAGTTGCAACGTCACTGCACCGCGATGCCATGCCGGCCTTCACCTTTCCAGTTCCTCGGCACACACCGGATACTTCCTCTTTTCCCGCTTTCGATGACGATGTTCCGCCCGCTAGCTACATAGATCGCGCTGATAAGAAACCTCTTGTCACAGGTCGTCCACGCGCTGGATCGAAATCTGTACACACTGGCCGTCCACGCGCTGCTTCCAAGGCACTGAATGAAGCTTACAACGCCGCCAACCCACCATCAACGCCCCGTCTAATATTTCCGTTCAGCTTCGTCCCGCCTACCGAGCACACTGGTACTGAGAACGACAACACCACCAGCGCCACCACCACTGATGCTCAGAAAATTACCTTCGTAGCCCGCTGCCCACTACACTCGGAGTCTTGTAATGGTCAGGACGTGGTACACGAGCATATGACGCAGCGTGCTAGGAATGGTGCTGGGTTCAAGGACTTGTTTCCCACGGTTGAGTGTGAGGGTGGAAGGGTGATGGTGGATTGGAAGAAGTTGATGAATGAGGAGGTGGAGAGGCTGAAGGGTGTGTGAGGGAATATGATTTCAGATTTTGGGCTGGTTATTTTGCTATGTATGAAGCCTGGGAGAGATAATGGAACGGAGTGGATGTAATTGGAATCCACGTGGTACGATACAAATACGTGATACGAAGCGCGTGATAATGAATGGGCTGTGAGCAATTTTCTCAATGTAACACAAAAACGAGACAATTAACAAATAAAGATTGAACATTGCGATAACATTAAAGGAGAGGAAGAGAGACCTACTGATATACATGTAACGCTAAATATGAACTGACTTTGCCTTGTCCGTGCACAACGACTCTCATAAGCACGACGCTCCCCTGGGTATCTCTACTGCGTAAGAACACATACGATACTCTCCATGACAATCCTTAACGCCTCGTCGTAAATCGACTACATGGTTCGGTAATACAACTTGTTGGTCATACACAAGGCAAGCTTACTCGGCGGCGGCGGCGGCCTTCTTGCGGCCCCTTGATACCATTAGTCACAAGTACGACGATTATCCCACAGCTAAACATACCTCTTCTGTGGAGCTCTCTTAGGCTCGGGAGCTTCCTTTGCGTGATCCGAAAGCACTTCAGCCTCAGAATCGAGACCGATTTCAGGCTCGGGATCAAGGTTCTCGACTGCAGCCTTCTTGCCTCGAGCCTTCTTGGGCTTGGGAGCTTCCTTGTCGCTAGCGTCGGTGTGCTGAGCAGCCTTCTTGGCACGGCCGCTGGCTCGAGCCTTCTTTGCAGGAGGGGCGGCCTCTTCGTCGCCGTCTTCTTCCTCGACTTCCTTCTTGGCAGGTCGGCCGCGCTTCTTAGGGGCAGGGGCGGGAGCTGGAACATCTTCTTCGTCCTGATCCTCGGCTTTGACCTTCTTGGCCTTGGTGGCGCGCTTCTTGGGAGCTGGTGCCGGGGCCTCCTCCTCCTCTTCATCTTCGACTTCGTCCTTGACCTCGTTCTTCTTGGCCTTGGTTGCGCGCTTCTTCTTGGGTGGGGAAGCAGCGTCCTCGTCGTCATTATCTTCGGCGCCCTTCTTTGCCTTCTTTGCCCTAGGCTTCTTTACGCCTGGACGGTTTAGCTCAGGATCCTGATACGGTTAGTAAGTGAATCGCTGGCGAATCATCTGGGGTGACATGTGAGGATACGTACGCGTGTGCAGTCCTCGTCCGGAATGTGGCCGTTCTTGAGCGCGAAATCGACCTTTTCTTGAAATTCGGCGGGCAACTCGTCGTAGCCATCGACCATGTCAGTATCACCTCCGCATGTCTCTATCAGATTTTCAATCTGCTTAGGAGTAACGCATCCCCTGGGATGATCAGTATGCAAGTGACAGGAACACGGCAAACATCAAAACGTACCAATGACGGTATTGCCAGCTGACGTGATCTTTGATAGTTACTTGTGTCGCATAGCGGAACTGGCCCTTCATTATCTTGCTGCCAGAATCTTTGCATTCTTTAACTTGACAACCGGCGCGGTTGTTAGGAGATTCCTCTGAAGCACAATCAGCCCAGTTCTGGTGAACGGAAACCGTGGTTTTGTCATGCGGCCTAGAGGTCATTGGCCGCGCCAGTATCCAACTTCGTTCAGGTACTTACCGACGCGATAGACACCCATGATCGCGGTTGTCAGGTATCGGGAGGTAGGTGGGGTTTGGGTTGCTATGTGTTTTGCGGACACGCGCAGAAGTAATTGCTTATATGTGCAGACGTGTTAGGCTGCAGTGGGTCTGCAGTGGGTGAAAGTGTCCTGTCTTGTTTCAATTGCTGGACGTCGAGAAATGTTTGCGCCAGTCGACGCGTGAGGTCACCACAGGAGGCGCTAGTGGCAGGGCAGCCTTGAGCACGGGCGCTGATCCCTGTCAGCCAGTTTAGCGCGTCTCGGATCTGGAGAGTGCAGTTCGTCATGATCCTAGTCAGAAAAAGTCAAGACATGCCGCTGGCACGAGCATTCACCCTCACCCCTCATCCGCCACCCCTCAATGAGCGCTGCGCATACATGTTTTCGCAGCGCCCTCTCACAGGCTTTCCGTCCGAACTCTCGTGGAATCGCTGCTCCCTGTTCTGTCGCCGCCTTCCTCGTTCCCGCCCTCAGTAGACCCTCGAAACGCACCTTCACCTCTGGAAAACGCCGCCCCGCAGATGCACAGTCACGTCTTCAGCCACCGACGGAAGATAGAGGGGATGTGATCACCCGAGTAGTTCCTCTCAAGCCTAAAGAACGCATTCGATCACGCATACAGTATCCACTTCGAGAGGCTCGTGGCGATATCAAAGCATGGCTCGATGCCATTGAGCCATTCCTTCCGCGTCACCTGCGGCAAGCGACGTCCGACGAGCCAGAAAGGCCCACAACCTCGCTCGACTTCGCGTTGTTCATCAACAAAGCCCAGGATGCTTCAATAGACATCCTTAGCTACCTGGGGGTAGAGGCGGGGAAATGGCAGACGGTACTATGGATAGTCAAGAAGCTCACAGAAGACGGGAATTCTCCACTCGATCTGAGCGCTCATCTTGAGCAGTATTCATATGCTATATTGCAGGGAGAAGAACACCGGTCTTTGAAAGAGCTGACTGAAGGTCCCTTGCGTCTTCAACGGACATACCCAAACCGCAAGTTGCAACTTACACTGGACGTCGTAACATCCGACCCCGAATCGATTCGCTATTCGCATGTCATGGTCAAGCGAGCCCTGGGACAGCTGTGGAGGAGCCTGGCAAATATGATATTGGCGGCTGCGGAGCAGAGCAACGGCGAGCAACACACCATTATGCCGCACGTCTTGGAGATGATTGCCTATCTGCATCATTTGGGCCTGATGCCTGACTCAGTCTACACATACCGAAATCCACAGGATAAGCATGCTTTCCAGCAGCCTCCGACACTCCACATGCTATCGTCCAAGATCTTGACAGCTCTGTCTGATGCGACCTGGAATGCTCACGAAGCTTCCGTCAAGACTGCCAAGGATCGCGCCAACGCTCACTACTTCCTCGGCCACGAGATACCTGGATCGCGTTACAAGGTTCGGGTTACGGAAGTGGCTCCGGAGCTGTGGCTAGAGCTTGTTCTGTGGTCATGTTTGCACGGTGGCTGGACACTTGACGGTGCTGCCATCTTGGAGCAACTGGCAAACAGAGAGGGAGAACACGCCTGGGCACTCATCAGTTGGCGGGAGATCCTAGAAGCAGAGCAGAGTAAGGCCCCAGCTCCGACAACAGCTTGGAGCTTGCTTCCAATGAACGGGGAAGCTGCTGCAAGCGCAGAAGACCGCGCACGAACCCGCAGAACTATAAGCAGCGAGATCGTTACAGGCTTCGTTGACGGGCTTGTCAATCAAATGCGACTAGGGGTAGGAGCTCGCGGTGCTACTCCAGAAAGTCTGATTGCCTCTATCAAGACTCTAAAAGGCTTCTTAGACAAGAACAACTTAAGTCTCGGTTCTTCAGCTTGGGACTCCGTCATGGCCCGATTAATTGAATCTGGCGGCTTCGCCCCCGAGAAGCGACCAGAGCTACTTTTGAGGGTTTTCGAGCTGGCTCCAGGATTTGGTGGTGAGGTCGGCTCTGCAAATGCGTCTGCCTCCGCTAGTACCGAAGTACCTTACTTTTTTGAGCCCACCACCATACCACTCAGCTTCCTGCATCGGGCGATGCGTGCTTTCATCAGCAATGGAGACATCCAGGGAGCAATAACTACACTGTCTATGCTTCAACAACACACTGATGACAACAAACAAAAGTCTGTGGAAGAGTTCTTTCAAGTCCTTCGCAGCAGTCCGCAATTACGACCTGATGAACCTTTTACAAGCCATTTGCCACCAGTCGAATTTCCGGCTTTTGACATCAAGCTCCCCCTTCCTCTCCTTGCGCGGCTGCTAGATCTAGTCACCGAGTCAAAGCTGTATGATCTGGGCCGTTGGCTACTTTTCTCTGACGATTTGGATGGTCCTCTGATCGGTAGTGAATTACACATTCATCGTAACATATCCGCTTCTGTCGTTCGCTTCGGCACAATGGCCGGAGAGAACAAACTCGTCTTAGACGTCGTCAAGAAGGCCGGTACATGGAATGAGAAATACCAGCAGTACCGCATGCCAGCCGAGATTCTCACAGCCTTGCTGTGTTCACAGATCAAACTCCGTCAATGGGACTCTGTCCGAGGCATGCAAAAGTATGTGGAAGAGACCTCTACATTTAGACCGCGACCCATCATCATTTCGAGCTTTGCTGCAGAACTCCTTCGAACTTCGCCTGGCCCCGAAGAAGTCAAAGTACGCGCCCAGGAAACCTTCACTGGATTGCTCTTCGCATGGGAGAACATGATACTTGGCAATATACGCGATGAGCTCTACTGCACCTTATCCATCATGTCGACCGTAGACAGCGAGTGGAAAGCTTACTGCTCTCGCTTCCTCGCCTTTTCCTCCCGTCAGGCAGTCAGTCTCTCCACTGACGATTTCAATCGCATACTAAGCGGCGTACTCGGTGGTTACGGCAGCGCTAAGGGCAAAGCGATGGTAGAAACTTGGTGTCACACGTCAAGAAGATATCTAGAGTCATATCGAGCGCCGGGCGGATTACTCACTATGCCGCAATATCGCGTCACAAGGAGCATTGAGTATGAGGATCGACCGGAAGATATTGAAGTTAGGCAGGAGTCTGGCGCCACGCTCACCTTGCAAGGACGCATCGCTCCCAACCGACAGACGATCTGGGCCGTCATTCGGAAGGTGCAAGATGAAGTGGAGAATGAGACGAGAAGTGGCGAGGAGATGGTTGAGGCCACGCGTAAAGAGAAGCGCGATACGCTGAGGTGGGCTGCAGGGATGCTTCATCAATTGGGTTACGAGTATGAGGATTACATTGCTGCTCTAGGCGATCTTGCAGTGCTTGCCAAGGTTGAGGGTCTTGCCGCGCCTAGAGATGTCGACGTCGGGAATGAGGAGGGTGCCGAGCGGCTCAACGTCTGAAGCCGGCTTCTCTAGCTTGCATGCTGAGATAATGAGGATAGCTTGGGCTGGAACCGACGCACTAGAAGCCCGTTTTTCGGCCACTTGCATATAGTCTACCAGAATCTTGTACATACCGAGTGTCTAGAAAAAGGCTATCGTGGCATCACGAGACTTTGGTAGATACATTTGCAAAGGAAAGGCAAGTCACAGCAGTCTGAGCTAGAGACGCTTATCCTTGTTTGTACATATACTTGCGTAATCACGTAATGTTGCCTCCAAGATGTATGGGGCCCCTGACCCATTAAACCACTGTGGATGGGGGGCTAGTTGTTGTAAAGACATGATGCGCGTGATCCAGAAGGCGGTGGGCAGGGCGGTGGGTGTCTCCTTGGTAGGTACTGTAGGTATCACTGTAGGAATACCGGGGAGCCCTTTGCAACACAATTTTCTGCCACTTTCTACCCCGACTAAGTAGGTAGGTAGAAAAACCGCGTGATCCAGATTTTCAAACCCTGAGTGTGTTCGTCGCGTCTAGGCTCCACTGGTACTCCACACACACCAGGCCAGAAAAGCAAGAGATGTTAACGGCTCCTCGGCCAGACCGTCCTCTGTCATCTTCTGCCTGATCGTCAAGTTGCCAGCGTTGCAACAGACAAAAAGGAAAAAAAAAGGATATGTGGCCTTCTGGTAGCGAGCCATCCTACAGAAAGTTTAGGTGGTGTGTAGCTGCAATGTAGCTGTATTGCCTCCAGGGGTATACGTGAGTATTTCGGCCAATGAGAAACCTACCATTCATGTATGTACGCATCCGACGGCCAATGGGGAGGATATGCACATATGGCATGTCGAAGATCTCGCATCAGCTCAAGAAACAGACTCGTCCAACCGGCGTACTGTGTGGGCCGGCCCACCTATGCACTCCAAGCAAGGTAAAGCTCAGCCTCACGAAAAAAAAGTTGACCCGAAGTTTGCAGAGTAAACAGAGCAGTTGAGCTTAGACCGGTTCACAAGTCGTTGCAATGCGCGTGAAAACCTGGAGTAATGTCCTGTATTGCTATTATTTTTAAATAAATGATTTACAAGCGAGCCTCAGTGCGGACGCTGCTGCATCGTGACAAGCAGCAGCGGCCCGCAAGTCGCTGTAACTTTACTGTTTGAGGCGCCGGCTACGTTTGCACCTCTTCACCGCTTCTTCGCCTGCGGGCGCCAGCGTCAATACAGGCCCAGTGCGTATCGATATGAGATGCGTCTGGAGGGGTACAATGCCGGGCGACGTCAAGCGTACTTTTGGCAGATCGTGGATCGCATCTCGAAGACATGGTCTAGCAGGCACAAGTTTTCGTCTTTGATGGTTTTGCTGGGCCAGATATTAAACATGACGATGTAAGGGGAGCCAGGCCAGCGGTAATCTACTCTGCGTGCCCTGCTGTTCGTCGCAGCATGTGCAAACCCGGGGGCTTGCGTCTTAGCAGAACCAATAGGCTGAAGCCGTTACCGTGTACTTAGCCCCGTGTTGCCTCATCGCTGCACGCACTGCGCACGTCCAGGTTAGTTTCAGTGGGGCAGTTCGGCGAGAAACCAAAATTTCCTGATGAGGGGCACGCGACAGGCGCTGGACGAGTGCAATGAATGGGGAATTGAAGAAGAAATTACAAAACCTACTGCGCTAGGTGTATACAAGGCCATGTCCTTGGCTGACTTGCACGTCGCGTCGTGGCACTTAATTGGGCGTTGAACATGGAGTCATCGCTGCAGAGAGAACTAACGCGCTTGGACCATGCGATATGTCGCTAGGGCGGAACTAAAAATTAAACATATCCTCTGCCCTCGCCCGCATTTTCTCTCCACACCAGCCCAAAGACGTCAAAGTCACACGAAAACATACCAGAAACACACAACAACCACATCTTTACACCATTAATCGTCGAGACAATGCCGCAGGCAATCGCTGAGCTCTAAACTCCTGGTGCAGCCCTGCCTACGGGCTGCATCAGCCCGACAGCTCACGGAATTTCAACCTCTACGACGATACCAATACTACGACTGCGTGCAGTATCCTCTGCGCAAACTCGTCTCAACCAATTGGTAGTCGTCCCGCCTGCGCTGCAGAACAACACCATTGTCATTTCTACCAGCTCAACGCTTGAAGATCGACGAGACACAAAGGGCCCAGCATAGTTCGCCAGCCCTTCCCCTCAGTACACCAAACATCAGTCGACCAAACGCCGTGAACCCATATCCGACCTAGCACTCACCTCCCACCATCCCGAGTTACCCCCGATTTCACCTGCCACACCTCTGCTACCGAGACGACCTTCAAAGACACCTACCATGGCTCACCTTACCCACGCTCGATCACCCACTCTTGGTGGACACTACCAAGACCGTAAACTCCCACCTGAGACTGCCACCAACACCCACCGCAGTGATCAGCGCTCTGCCTCTCCCGACACAGTCGGAGGCAGCGCACCCCACACCAACGGACGCAGCGGTGACCAATCCGCTACTGAAGGCGCTGCGGACGAAGACGACGAAGAGGACAGTAGTACTGCCAAAGACAACGAACAAGACGACGACGAGACCGATGCAGACGTGCCGGCCTTATCCTACAGCTATGCTAGGGGAGGCAAGGGCAAGGGCAAGCGTCCTGCTATCCGCGTCGAGCATGCGGATGACGACGAGTCTCACGCTGAAGAAGATGAAAACATCTCTGAGCTCATGCCCAACAAGCATCCAGTTAATCAACTACTAATGAGCAACAAGAAGCGCACCTTTAGCAATCTTTCAAGCACCTCAGTGCTCTTCGGCGACGACTCTACAGATCAAGAGTCGTTCCCCAGACGCAAGATGGCTCGCAAACTGAGCAATGCTTCCAGCATACCGCTGCTAACATACAAAGAAGACGAAGAACCCCAAGTAAGCTATGAAAACGCTATTGAGAGCGACGATGAAGACTATAGCGGCGTTATGAACATCCCTGACGATGACGAATCCGACATTGAGAAGATGGAGCAAGAAGAAGAGAGCTATATCCTTCAGGAAGAGCAATCAGCTACCAACCTTCTCAATGAGTATCGTGATGCTCGACGACTCAGTCTTGAGAGTTGTTTTAGCGATAACATCTTCGATGTTACCGCCCCACTAGACGATGAGTACATGGCAGGACTTGCCGACTTTGGCTTCACTCCTTTCTTTGAGCCGGATGCTCTGCCTGCTTCTCCTGTTCCCATGGCCAAGAGAAAGTTCTCAGATGGCTCAGCCAAGCGCGTCCGCTTTGACGACGACGTACAAGTATCAGATAGTTCCAGTTCGGAATCTTCAGAACTCGACAGCAGTGTCTTCCCTGATCTCTTCTTGGATCAAGATAAGATCCCTCCCAGCTTGCATCAACTTCTTGATATGGACTACGATGATGACAACGGAGACATGGCTTCTCCGCAGTCAGATGCGTCGTTCTGGGACTTTGAGCAGAACGAGTCGCGCATCACTCAAGTTGATGATTCAGATGAAGACGAAGAGTCGTCTGGCGAATCCAGCGGCTACGAGTGTACGGTAGTACCCTATTTTTGCTATTACTCGATGACTAACATTTTTCATCAGCTGACATGGGTGATACCACTGACGAAGAAGACTTTGGAACCGATATACTTCCACGCACGCCCAAGCAGTCTGTTCTACAACGACCGGTCTCAGCACCAGGCTCACGTGCCGGCACACCCAAGCCATTTCAACGTAGCTCTCGTCCAATAGGCCGTCAAATCCCGCCAACTCGCGGCATCTTCATTCACGACGAGACTGATCAGGCCATCGCGGTCACTAACAGGGCTACCAAGGCCGTCGCATTCTACCGGCCTCGCACAATGATGATTCCATGGATTCCTTTGACTGATTATCAAAGTAGTACAAGCGGTACTGTCAACAACAGTCCTCGCAACTCTATTGCTCAGCTCAACGGCTCCGACAGCGAGAGCAATGAGGTCTTCAACAATGGTCTCAGCACCGACATCATGCTTAGTGGCATCTTTGGATCAGCTGGGGGCAATGACTTTACGTTTGGAAACGAGAGCATTGGTCCCCCAGAGGCTTTCTACCCATTCGTAAGCATATCTTCCAATGGTAACATGGGCCTCGTTGACGAAGATGAGACGGGTTCTTCGAGCGACGAATACGACGATGATCTCAATATCGCCGACTTCATGGACTTTGGCGAGTCAGGTGGAGATACTGATCTAGACGACGACGACGAGTTCGACGAGACCGACAGGCCAGTTACACCTGCGACTTCCAATGTGGGACATCACGGCTCCACCCCAGCAGCGCCTGCTACTGCCACGCCTCATCGCAAAAGAACCACGTCTGATGTCATGCTCGAGCATTTTGACCGTGGCGTCGTCACTGCTTTCCGCAGCAACCAAAACCGGTATCGCGATGTTGCGTCTCTGCCATCGGATCCTGCGGCGCGCGCCTCGGTTTCTCGTCCTGTCCGGTCTGGCAAGTCTGCCGAGGCTCTCATTACTCCTGTCCGAAGGCGCGTTCGGTCAAACAGAGTCGCCAAGTCACCTCTGAAGAAGGACATGACTATGACCCGCAGCTCACCTCTGTCGGGTGTCACCAAAGCCAACTCGCGGTTGCAGAAGTCTGTCTTGGATTCGCCTAAGAAGGGACCGCCTAAGATGGGAACCTTTTCCTGAGCGAACGACGTTACGATATCTACGGCCTTTTGTCTTCTAGCCGTTCCAGCGGCTATGTTGTTATTACGAACTTTTACATGCATTTGCATACCCTCAAAAAGTTCTTTTTTTTTGGATCTTTCCTAGATGGTCTGATAAAAAGTTGAGCGAGGCGTCTGGCTTAGAACTTTCCTTGCGGCAACGCGGCGGCATCGTTCGGGCTAGTGCAGCCTCAGTCGCGTCTTCACGAGTTTCCTTTGTTTGGGCCGGAGTTTCTTTGGTTTAGTACAATATGTTTTGTGTTTTAGTTTTCGCTGTTCGCCTCGCCTCGTCGCTTCCTTTCAGAAGGAGTACAAGGTCTTTAGGGATGATACCATGTGTTTTACGAGCTGGGTTCTGTTGCTTCCCTCTGGCGTTTAGGTCTTAACAGTTTGGCAGACTGTTGACCTGATGGCGTTGAGGTCGACGGATGGCTCACAGACATGTCGCGTCTTGTTTTGGTTTCTCTTTTGTCAGTCAATTTGAGGGGTGTGTGTGCGTGTCGTGTAGGATTATTGGTATCGAGTATGGAATGGTAGTTTTTTTTTTTGCGAAGAATGAAATGTGTTAAACAACTTGATCTTGCGATGTATGCATGGCATAAGGAAATCTTCAATATGGCGCTAGATGTCTGATAGTTATCCCACCACATCACCGGTTCATCCCTTTGTTCCTGCATGATGGCGCAATCACCGTTCTGCGGGAGTCAGGATGCTGGCACTGGGTTGCTGGGATGCTGGGATGCTTAGCGTGGTGTGTATATATCGTCTGTGCTCACACTACGTCACACGCCCAGCCCAAAGCTCGCTCGCTCCCTGCATGTGAAGATCGCCCGCGCGAGAACATGCCAACACCACCGAAACATGTAGCCGGCAGTTACCCCCACATTACCGCCATGGAGGAACTCAAGGATGATTTCCGCGAAGATAGGCCGATTCTGAAGATTGCTACGGTAAGGACAAGATCGCCCTGTTGCGTGCATCGCTCGACACCACCATGTCATTCGATCGCTCGTCACCAACCCAGCGCCCCAAACAACGCGTACTCACAATACCCAGGACACACTCCTCCTTCCCCTCCGAATCGCGACATCGCCAGCTCTGCTACGAACGTACCTCCGCACCATCCTCCTCTTCATCACCTCCACCATCCTCTTCACCTTCGCCGTCGTCGCATACTCGTCTTTCTACTACAACTACATACCCGTGCGCGGCATCTCCGTACCCGTATACCTCCAATTCGACCACGGCCCCACCATTCTGCCTCCCACAACCACCTACCCAGATGGCAGCAGCAGCCTCCCAACCGGCAAGCCCGCAAAATGGCCATACGGCCTCGCCAACATACCCGGCCTGGTAGACCGCCAAAAGTACGATGTCGTTGTCGAAATGGTCGTCCCGAGGAGCAAGACCAACTTGCAAGCCGGGAACTGGATGGTGGGACTCGAGTTCCGGGGCCCCACGACGATAGGACAGGGTGTGAAGCATCTCCTTGGCTGGGACGAGGAGTGGAGCGTTGAAGATCATAGTCAAGGTGGTGTGCCGGGTGCCACGGCCGAGAAGATTGTTACTGAAGGGACGACGAGCGAGACGCCTACTGTTCTTGCTAGAAGTCGCAGACCGGTGCTTTTGACGTATCGGAGTCGCGTGCTAGAGATGGTATATAGGGGGTTGAGGCTGCCGCTCTATCTGGTGGGGTGGCATACGGAATCTGAGTTTGTGGAGATTAGCATGATGGAAGGCGTCATGTTTGAATCTGGGTATCGGAATGTGCCGAGTAGTTTGAGGCTGGAAGTTCGAAGTAAGCTTCCAATTGAGGTTTACAGGGCACAGGTCAGGATTAGTGCGAAGTTGGAAGGCTTCCGTTGGCTGATGTACCGGTACTGGGTCACCAGTGCGATCATCGGCATTCTCACGTTCTGGGGTATGGAGATGGGCGTTTTGCTGTTTACCTGGGGGGCTTTTACGCTGCTGTTCAGTGGTGCTTCGACACCGGCCGAAGGGAATCAGCAACAGAAGAAGATCAAAACCGAACAAGGAAGCGGCGAACCTTTTCCCAAACTCGAACAAGGCGACTACTCCGAACCAGACACACCCTACAGCGACACGTCTCGTACATTCCCCACACTACCTTCTCAGCAACCTCTCTCGTATAGCTCGCCGCTGTCGCCTAAATCACCCAAAGAAGAAGAACGCGGATCTCCTAGGCTGGAAGATATACCGACAAGAGAGGAGATGATGGAGGCTGATGATGAAGAAGATGACGATTTCATTCTTGAAGAGCCGATTCCTAGGGGTGTGGAGAGGGAGGGGGTTTTTACGGATTCGGGGATTGGAACGAGTCTTGAGAGTAGTATTGATAGGGGGTTGGCTAGACGGAGGAGTGGGAAGGCAAAGGATAAGGGGGGTGATGGTGGGAGTTAGTTGTCTATAGGGACAAGGGGGAGGGAGGTTAGAAGAGTGGAAGTGTGCGAGATTTGTTATGGGAGTGGTGAAGAGGATTACGATGATTGTGGAAATCTTATTGGTGGGTGGCCGGGCCTATGTTCCAGTATAAGCATGATCATCGGATCAATGGGTACATGGTAAAGCTATGCCGATTTTTTGATCTGTACGGTCTCCATACTAGGGTTTCCCTATCTATTGCTACCACTTGCTCGTTGTATACTTGTTCTAATCGGTTTCGGGCATGCCTTCTGATTCAGTCTCAGGCATAGCGCAGAGAGGCAGCTACATGAGAATTTGTAGTTAGTAGAATGGACTGTATACATCATGGCAGGAAGAATACTAACGTCTTCGTTCCCACGGCAGAGAACGTTACAAGCCTGCAGGCTTCGTCGACAGGTACGGCTGCAGTCTACTGCCGCACAATCGAGTTTGCGGTAGACTCCAGTATCAGGAACGAGGCGTGGGATGCGATACGGCAAGTCTCTGTTGGAAGGGACCTTGCGGTCAGCTAAGAAGAAGAACTAGATCAGTAGAATTCTTGAAGGGGATAAGATGGGGGAGTACGTACGAAAGCGATTGCACCACGCATAACAGACAATTTCTTTAGCTGATGTAGCTGTGGCGAGAAGAATAAGGAGGATGCTGGTGTATAGCGACTTCATCTTAGGTTCTTCAGTCGTGTCTGTGGATTGTGGGAGTTGGTCGGGATCAAGTGATGGAAACAAACGTGCAATTTCAAGAGCTTTTTACATCCCTCTGTTGGGATACGTTTAGGAAGGACTTAGTCCAGGGATCTGTATGATGATGTATGAAATTCCATAGCTTGTGTATGACTGTGAGATGACACGTACTAGAGACCCTGGCTTTCATCTGAGAGATTTTGTGGAGTTTTTAACACTTCAGAATTACAGCGACGAGAAGCAATAATTACGGTACCTGTTGGAAGAGGTGAGGGAGATTCGTTATCTGTGGTTCAGGGAGATACCTAGAAAGCTGCTGCAACTATGTTCACGGCACCTGAAGTTGATCTAATGTTGAGGTAAATGTATGCACAAAGAACATCCTGATTTGCAAACATCTACACAATAGTCCACGTGAATACGAAATCTCCAGCTCATATGTGAGCTCTTTCTAATGCTCCATGTAGATACACATTTTCTCGGACCTAATCTTTGTGTTCGCCTATTCCTATTTCACGCTTGTTATGTACTTGCTTCAGGCCTGTGGATAGTGTTGGAGTATAGAAGTGATGCATTGATCCTACGGATTATATGGCTATATAGGCAGTACGCCAGTGGGTATGACAGGTACCAATAACAATATGAGATAGCTCTTTCTTCAGATCGCACACCCGTCGATGGTAGACGTATTTTGGGTTGCATCCTCCACTTCGCAAGTAGGAAACTACAGTTAACACATTAGCAAATCGCATCCCAACGCTGGAAAGGAGGAGAAAAGTTTCGTACCATTAGTTGCCCATTACAATTAAAAAAGCATTTCTCATCATCCCACGTATCCTTGCCGTACCTGTACACTGTAGAGCAGTCAACTCCAACCGGTGCGCAAGTATGCTTGCTGTGGGAGCGGAAGGTCGCGCACTGGCGAAGCCGAGTGGATTGTCGATTTGTTGGCGGGGCATAAAGGCGTATCATCGTCAGAATTGCACCTAAAGTGTGGGTATACAAAGTCAGTTCATGTCTCATATTCAGTTCGTACAGGGACATCTCTTACTTGTTGGCACAGAGTGCACTCCGCGGTCCATCACTATTTGTAGGATAGTTCTAGGGCCATCTTAGATAGGACGTAGACGTAGGGGACGTTTTTTGTCCTTGCAAAGGAGGGACAAGTGGAGGAGGATGGCGAGCGTGAAGGACGTTGCCGATGGTGAGCGCAGCATTCTTTCCGGCGTAGAGGAACTGTGCCATGTTAGATCTTGTCCCATTTCCAGCAGTCCAGAATGCGCCAACTAACCTGTCTGGTGTACATGCCCTCATCGGTGATGAAGGTCTCGGTGTTGTGCTTGAACTTGTAGGGGTTGCGGAAGGTGATAGCGAGCGTGTAGGATAGGTGGGAGCTTCGGCGCCAGTGAAATACCACTACCCTTATTGTTTTTTTACTTATTCGATGAAGCGGAGCTGGGTTTTACCGCCTAACTTGTAGTATTAAGGTCCTTTGTGGGCTGATCCGGGTTGGAGACATTGTTAGGTGGGGAATTTGGCTCGGGCGGCACATCTGTTAAACCATAACGCAGGTGTCCTAAGGGGGACTTATAAAGAACAGAAATCTTTAGTAGAGCAAAAGGGCAATAGTTCCCTTAATTTTGGCTTTCAGTTTGAATACAGAACATAAAAATGTGGCCTATAGATCCTTTAGAGTTCCTCGAAATGTGAGACTAGAGGTACGAGAAAAGTTACCACAGGGTGATGTGTCCGCCGCGAGGATGATCAAGCTGAGAAAGGCGCGACGTGGCCAACACCGCTGGCGCAGGGTAGCTTGGTGACAAGGATGGAGTAATAGATGTGCTTTATGGTCGGGTTCCTGATGTGATGTTCTCTGGCTAAAGATGTGACGTTCTCTAGTAAGAAGCTGCTTGGGTTTCGCGGGCTCGAGGGTAGTTATGCTAGTGTGCTTGGAAATACTGTTGACAGTCTTAAGCGCCGGCTGAAGATATGATGTTCTCTAGCTTCTGGTGTGATCTTCTCCGGCTTCTGATGTTGTCCGGCTTCTCCTCCTGGAGACTGACGATGTATAGCTTAGAAATAGGGATGGTGTGGCATCTGCTAGGATGCTGCCGTAATGGCTGTAAGCGGCCCGTCTTGAAACACGGACCAAGGAGTCTAACAGCTATGCGAGTGTCTAGGTGTCAAGCCCGAGCGCGTAATGAAAGTGAATGGAGGTAGGAACCCGCAAGGGTGCACCATCGACCGATCCTGATGTCTTCGGAAGGATTTGAGTAAGAGCATGGCTGTTGGGACCTGGAAAATGGTGAACTATGCTTGAATAGAGTTAAGCCAGAGGAAATTCTCGTCGAAATTGGAAGAAGAGTGTTTTAAAACCTTGAGATGTAGACAGACGTAGTGTGAGATGTAGACAGGAGACGGATCTGGATCGGTGGTCCCATTACAGAGAGATGTCGATGGCAGGCAGCCGAGGTGTATAGGACGTCTATGTCCTTAGACAGGTAGTAAAGCTCGTGGTAGAGGTGCTTGTCGATCTTTCCTCGCCAAGGAGAGGCGAGAAGAGGAGGATAGCCAGAGTGGAGTTTTTCAGGTGGTGGTGCATGGCCGTTCTTAGTTCGTGGGGTGACTTGTCTGCTTAACTGCGATAACGAGCGAGACCTTACTCTGCTAAATAGCTAGGCTAACTTTGGTTGGTCGCCGGCTTCTTAGAGAGAGTATCAACTTAAGTTGATAGAAGTTTGAGGCAATAACAGGTCTGTGATGCCCTTAGATGTTCTGGGCCGCACGCGCGCTACACTGACAGAGCCAACGAGTTCTTTTCCTTGTTCGAAAGAATTGGGTAATCTTGTTAAATTCTGTCGTGCTGAGGAGAGGATAGCCAGAGTGGAGGAGGATGGCGAGCGTGAAGGAGGTGGGTGTAATGGATAGCTTAGGATGAGGACGGCGGAGAAAGAAACCATCGCTGGAGCTTGGTAAGCGCGCAGTTCAGACGACCCGTATGGGTGGGTGCGTGTTGTTCTTGCTGAGATGGGTGGTCGTGTAGTTGGTGGGTATGGTGTGGACGATATCGTGACGACCTGGGGGAAGGGGTGAGACACCGATGGCACAGCGGGGCAGCTATGTTGGTTTTGGCGTCAGCTATCTTGCGCTTTCGAAGGAGATAACTCCTCCTGGTATCGAGGTATACTTACGTCTTCATCCCCATCACAGAGGACACGACAAGACTCTAGACTCCGTCGGCAGGTACGCCCACAGTCTACCTGGGCACACTCGATGCTGCTGTAAGAGTCGCCGAATTCTTCAAAGCCGGGTATGTTTGCTATGAGCCGCGATTTACCGACGCCTGGAGAGTTGTGTTAGCGACATTATCATGATTTCAAAGGAGGGGAGATGTATATGGGAATGGAGGAGATGATGCATACTACGGGTGCAGAGAACAGGTACTGTACACTCAGTCGCCGAAGCTGTAGTGGTGAAGAGGGTGACGAGAATGGCGGTGGTACAGGTGAAAGACATACCATTGCAGTGAAAAGGTGCTTTCATGCAATCACCTGCGATGACCGTGGCTGCGAGGAAGGTAAGGAGGATGATGGTGGCAAGGAACTTCATCGTGATGTTTTGTGAGAGGTTTGTTAGGATCGGTTGTGGAAGAGAGGAATGGTTGTAGATGACGAGGGAGCCAAAGACAGTCGTGAATGACCAGAGGACTAAAGATGGTTGTAGATGACCAGAGGACCACGGATGGTTGCGGAAAGGTGTAGTAGCACCATTGCCACGAGAAGCGGGTCTTGAGGTAACCGCGCGAGGTTAAAGACTGTCCTGTTGGTTGTTAGAACCTGACGGAGTAGGACAAGCTCTTTAGGAGGAATGGTGTGGAGGTTTCATGATTCTTTGCTGGAAAGTATGCTTCTTATACTTCATGCTAACAGAAACCATGGACTCGTTTGGGCAAGAACCATTGGAACCGCTTGCGCAGGAAACAGTGACATCGGTTGGGCAAGAAACAGTGGAATAGTTGGGGCAAGAACCCTGGGTAAGAATATTCGAATGCTGACACTGGGAGTTCCTGTATGGCTGACGAGGTCTCATTTGCTGGAAACGCTGATTTGCCTGCAAAATTCGTGCGGATCAATTCATACTTTGAAACCACGGTATTGGCAGGGGATAGAGATGGTACCAAGCGAAGGGGATATTGAACCATAACCATCTAAAATTCTTACAAGTATGACTAATGCAGCCATGAAAACATTCGAAATTGATGTATTATCCCCATAAAAAAAAGTCTATCCGCAAGAAACGCCCCAATATTCGAAACCCGCGGAACGACTCGAATCGACAAAAGTGCACACCCTCACTCAGAGCATAGGCCTCTCACTAGATGGATCCTGTCCCTTGTTGAACTTTGTTTCGATCCTGTTTTTCCCTTTCTGCATGTACCCCACCACCTCCTCATCCGTAATCGTCGTCAACCCACTCGTAACATCCATGTCACTCCTCTCGCAGGTCTTCGCTTTAATAAACACACCATTGCTCTGTACCTTCTTACCTTCAACGATATCCCTGCAGAACCCGGCGTATTCTTCAAAGTGAACGGCACTAGCGGGATTACTCTCAATCAGCATGCCAAAGCAGTGCGGCATAGCCTCAAAGTCTCTCCACACAACCGTCACACCCTGCTTCACACATCGCTGAGCCACAACAGCCCCCTCATCTCTCAACATCTCCTCGCCCACAGAGAAGAAAAGCGGTGGGGCTTTGGACCAATCTTTTGCAGCGAGAGGGCTCACCAGCGGATGCATCAATGCACTACCCTCGCAATAAAGGTCTGCGCGCGGCGGGTTGGAGGGCCACACGCCATCGTCTTTGGGGAACTCGCGGGAATCCACTTGGCTGGGCGTAGGGAGGTAATCGTACTTGACTCCTCCTTCGATGGAGGGCAGACTGCGCGTTATATCCATCCAAGGTGACGACAGGGCAAGACCGGCTGGTAAGGGAATCTCAACGTCTTTGCCGTGGAAGCGGACGCTGGGCGTTTGGCCGGCGGGCGTGCTCCGGTGGATTTGAAGGAGTAGTTGGAGTAAGGCGGTACAGCATGTTCCGCCTGCTGAGTCGCCCCCGAATACGATTTCGCTGGCGGGGATGGGCGCGTGGAAGGATCCGGGTGGCGGTGAGAGCAGTGTGAGATATGCTGTGAAACAATCTAGTAGCGCAGAGGGGAAAGGACCTTGGGGCGAGAGGCGGTACCGAACGGAGAAGACGCGGCCCCCTGTTTCTTTGGCGAGACGGCCTGTGAGGGGACGCGATGTCGCTGGATCGAGGAGGTACATTGCGCCGCCGTGGAAGTAGAGTAATGTGACTTTACTCTTCGTTTCCTTTACCAGATTTTCGTACTTTTCTGCCTCGCTCATGGATGAGGGTTCTGGCTCATCGTTCTTGGCATCTGCGCGGTACCCGTTCCATTCTGCTTCCAAAGGCCGCTGTTCAGGCTTCGTCCAGGCCTCTTCCCCGGTTCCCATATCTTCAATAGCTTTGAACATCATCTGCCGTACATCGTCTTCTTCTGGTGCGCTCTGTTGAACCTTGCTGACCCAGACCTTTCCCTTGACACCTGGGTCCTTGCATGTTAGACGCTGTAGCTTTGAGATGGGTGTTGGTGTGGAATTAGGGCCCAGCATGTCGCGAAGCATGTTGACCGTCATTTCCGTGCGTAGGTCCCATTTCGAAGACGTTGGGGACATGGATATAGAGTGCCATAGTGCCGTCTTCAATAAAAACGGTGTTTTGGGAAGGAGAAACTTGATCAGGGCTGAGGGCGAGGAGTCCATGTTTGCAATGTTCCGCGGAGGAAGTTGCACGAGTCGAGTTCGATGATGACGAGAATGATCGTGTAGTTGAGATAATGTCGATTGAAAGCTAATGTCTTGGTTTATTGTGAAGATGTTATAGTCTACAGTCAAGATTAAGGAGAAAAAGAAGTCACTCTAGTGGCGACCAGAGTGTTGACGTCGCACTACTAGGCCGTCGACGCGGCACTTAATGATGCCTCGGCCCATAGCCCCACGAGTCATGCACGAGATCATGCGAGATATACGGTCCATACGCTCACGTGGGGGTCGATCCTTAGCAACAGCCGCAGGTAGAAGTGACTCAAAACGTCTCTAACTTCTATGCTTACTCTTCAGGTTGTACATTGTAGCACAAAACACCGCGTATCTTAGAGAGCACGTAGCAAAGATCCAGCTTGTTTGATCATCAATAGTATTCAAGTGACTACGCGCATAGCAATAATAGGGTGTAATGCGGGTTAGTGGTATCTTTCCATCCATCCATCAGTCCTCCATTCCAAAACGCCTGGTCCATTTACTCAATCATTTAGAAAGGCAATACTGCAAGCCCGCCTAATGCGGAGCTGCTCTTCTCTCTGTCGCATCATCCTGAGGTAGCGCATGGTTCCCCGGAATTCAAGACGGCTCAATTTGAGCTTTCCAAGGTCTTCCTTGCCGTTCTCATCCATCACCAGTAGACTAGGTGTCAACCACTCAAAGGGGGGCTTCTAACCATCTAGTTCACCCTCTTCGCTGCCTCTTTCTGTCACATTACCATCACCGGTACCATTTGCAGGCGGCTGGCTTTGACTTGTCGATTGTACGCCTTCCATACCCTCGGGTGTATCGCCAAAATCGATACCGTCCTCTGGCGTCCTGAGCCCCGCGTACATGGACGGCTCCCCATCTTTGTCTGGCGACTTCTCATAGAGATCTGCCATGAGGTTACATGCCCTTCTAATGTCGCGCAGTTGGACATGTTGTATTTCCCACCAAGGCTTGCCATCATCGTCGCCTAGCTCTACCTCGGCCATGCGCGCGCCAGCGTACAAAGATGCCGCGGCGATGGCCCGCGATGTGAACAGTAGACACATCTGTGTGGATGTCGAGTCGGAGAGGAAAGCCCAGGCCGAGTTGCGCAGTTTCTTGTTGTGCTCGACGCCGTAGTACTTCATCATGTCGTACATGGTCTTGTATGGTGATTCCACGTTAAGATCGAAACATAGAGCCTCGAGTAAGACGTCTTCGCTGTACAGGATAGTGTCCCGCCATTTCCAGAAGTCTTTTGTCTGCTCGTCGACGAGCTTGTTGGGGTCTTTGAGCGCGACTCGAACGCATGAGACGACGAGTTCTTTCATTTTGCGGCAGTTTTCTTCGACTTTCGTTGCGAGGAATAGCGCCGTTGCGGCGATTTGCTGTTGACATCAGACCTGTCCAAGTCGCGTACATCTATAAAGAAGACTCACATAGTGATGGAGTGGCTTGTACCCGGGCCGTGGCTTCAAGCTCATTCGCATGAGATAGCGATTGAAAAAGACTGCCGCTGTACTGAGAGTGGTTTGCGGTAACTTGAGCATCATGCCCACTTGTAATATGAAGCCGACGCCCTTCCGCCGTAGTGTGCGCTCCTCTTCAGCGGGCATTCCATCGATTATGGACGGCGCCAAAAGTAATTCTTCTTCTGTGAAGATCCATTGCATCTCAGCCTCGATGACGGCCGGTGGTGGTGGTCTCGGGGGCTCGCGCTGCGGCGGCATTGCGCTGCTTGTGGTCGATACCATCACCAGAGGTTCTGAAAGTGAAGGCTGTGTTCCGATGCGCGATAGTGGTAGCGCAGATCACGGATAAAGTAGATGTCCCGGTTCGGCTGTGTGTTGCGATACAGATGCTAGTGGATGTGTGCGAGCGAGTAAGATCCTGTTGGTGAGCTGTGTACGTGGTCGAGGTCGCAAGGCTTCGTGCGTGGTTGAGTTCGCCGTGGGAGTTGAGGATAGCAGAGGGATTGTTCAAAGCGCGGACATTGAAGCTTGGTAGCTGCAAGGGCCAACGGCTCTCTTCCGCGGCGAATACAGGGATCAGTGCCAAGGCAATCTTCAACACCACGGCGCCTGACAGCCACGCCTTCGGCAGACCCAGAACCCGCGTCGTTCCCGAAAGCTTGTACTTTGTCAGATGGTCTGGGCATGAAACAAGTTGAGCACGTTTCAAGAGGCGATCAAACATAGTTTCGAACTGTCAGGGCTCACGTGAAACTTCGTTCAGATGTCAAGTGTGTGAGAGATCTATTGTACCTCGTCCTCTGCTCTATGCAGTTGAGAGAACGCCGTTGACCGTTACCAGTCGTGCCATGTAGGTTTTAAGGTACAATTAAAATTACAAAGTGAAATCACATAGAATAGAAATGGTTTGATTTAATACCGTCCAGGATCTGTACTTCCGCCCACCAAACGCGCCGTGCAATGCTGGAAGTGTGCATCTTGCTTAGGAGTAGAAAGCTTCGAACGTGTAGATGATGCCGAAGATGAGGAAAGCAATAGCACCACCAAGCGTGACTATGAGAAGTTAGCATTGCACTAAGACGTATGGACCGGATGTTCTTACCATTGCGCATACTGATCTTTCCGGCAATAGCACGGCCACCAATGACCGCACCTGCAGTACACAGCCCATGGCCAACTACAGCGCCGGCAGTGACCCACCAGTAGTCAGAACCAGCGGCCATGGCAACAGTCGCAATCTGACTGCGGTCACCCCACTCTCCAAGGAATGTCATCACAAACGTCTGTACCCAAGCAGGGCTGAGAAGAAGAGAGAAGAGGTTGTTAACAGCGCCCAGAGTACCGCCCAAAGAGCCTCCGCGCGGCGACGGCGATCGATCAGGCGAAGTAGAAGGGCTACGTGCGGGGGCAGGAAGTCGCGAGTTGGATCGTGAGCGTCGTGAACCAAGACCAGACTCTAGGGCGTAGGGAGAAATGGAGGACTTCCGGCCCTTCTGGTGTCGGGCAAGCTGTTCCTTCTCTTCGAGTTCCTGCTCGACCTCGGCCATCTCCTCGCCCACACCGTCGTCTGGGCTCATGGCAAGACCCTCTCTTATAAGCTTGACACCGAATACGAGGAAGAGAGCGGCGGCCGCGAAGTGGGTGAAGCGTTCCGAGAGGAGTGCGGGGACGGCGTGGCCCATCACGGCAGAGAGGACTGTCATGACGACGAGAGCCGAGAAAGCAGCAGAGAAGACGAGGAGGCGGGGGTGTCGCATAGCCATGAGGGCTGCAACGAGGAATGTCTTGTCTCCGATCTCTGAGAAGATGATCATGGTGAAAGCGAGTATAAAGGAATGGAAAGGCTGTACGGCGCCGGCGTCGACATCGTCAAGTGTGGAAGAGGGGGTCTTGGGCGGGGTGGTGTCTAGAGGATCCTTTGTGGAAACGGAGCCTGGCACAGGAAGCGGATTGTCATGGATGGAGTCGGGAAGATCGGTGGGTTTCTGTAGTCTGATCAGTGCTGAATCGTCAGCATAAAAGTGTTGTAACTAACCTCAAGCCCACCAGCACCGAGCACACGAGTGGTGCTCGCGGTCTCTACTGCCTCTCCGCCCAATTGCTTCTGGTCAGCAGGATGCGGATGTGCCTCCTTTGGTGACGCGGGAACCATTTCCTTCTTCTCGCCCGTCTTCTCCTCGTGTGCCAATCGCTCCTTGTCCTTTGCTGACACTCCGCCCTCGGTGCCAGTGGTGCCCGTGGCCGGTTTGCGCGCGGGATCTTGCATGACGCTCTTGTCGCCATCTTTCACGTCGTCTACCAGAACAGTTTCTGAAGAAGCGCCAGGCTTCTTTGCCGATCCAAGATCTTCTACAACATTGGGGGCTTTCTTCCCTTTGTATTTCGGGTCGTCGTCCACGTATGGCCCAGCATGCGGCTTGCCATCGAGTCCGTCGAACGGTGCATCTTTGGTGCCTTTCGCAGGAGCTGTCGGGGCAAGTGAGGCATCAGGCGAATAGGTAGCTTGGGTGTAGGCAGGTACGACGGCCCGCGCGGGCAGCCTGTCGTCCGATGTATCTACTGCGACGGATGTGGCAAGAACTCGTAATGCGGGTAGGAGGAGGAGCAAAGTGTGCGGCCGTGGCTGTCGTAACCTCATGATGAATGTGATTGAAAGGTGAGCAGGGGTGCAATGCGATGTCGAGAACCGTCAGCGGCGAAAATGAAGCGCCCAGCAATAGACCAAAAAGGCTGCAGGGAGTGACGAGAATGGAAGAGGTTGTTGTGAAGGGAACGTAAATGTGTTGTCAAATTATTGAACAGAACGGTGTAGGGTTCACACCAATGTTTGAGCGTAAAAGCAAGTTGAAGACGACAGAGATGCGCGCAAGGGGTGCGTGCAGACAGCCCACGTAATATGTCCAGGGCTGCGCAAACTCAAGGAGTGCTAGTTAAGGGGTCTCTCGTTCAGTAAGCCTGTGGAGAAGCGCGGAAACATGCTGCAAGTGCCGTAGTTCCGTCTCCAACTCAAACACTTCGTATTCACCTCTCTTGTGCACTCTGGCCCCTTCTCCGTGCTGAATGCTGAGGCCCACCTGAGCCCGCGAACGGCTAAGGCGATCCCGGGCTAGTCACGTGAGTGCCCGTCGAGTAGGCAGCCTTAGTCAGCCACTATCGCGGAGCGTTGGCGTAAACAACGGCGGGACTCGCGTATGCACACCAGTAGTTCCGCCCGACGGTCAAGACTAAGCTGAGTCTACAAGCCGCATCAACACGACCAGCAACATACCATCCGCAGACCACGTCGCATGTAACACCAGTCGATATCACGCGTCCTACAATACTACAATGGACGACCGCAGGAGCGTGCGCTCTATAAGCCGGCGCAAATCACCTACTCCCCAACCACCTTCCAAGGCAACTGCCCAGCAATTGGGACGCGCATCGCGAGCGAGAAGTTTGCGCAGTGCGAGTCGCGAAGTTGAGGGATTTGTCGACATCCAGAAACCCGCCCGCCGAAGCGCGCGACAAGCAAGCGTGACTACAAATGATGAGAGCGGATACGAGCCACAAAAGGCGCGCAAGACAAAGCGCAACTCCGCAAAAGAGCTACTGGGAGGTTAGTAGTCACTTGCTCTCACTTGACCACTTGCGCCAGAACCGTTCCTGGCTAGGCAGATCCCCAGGCTAATTCATGTACATGCGCCAGACCTCACAGTCGTTGAGGAAATGGATACCCAGATTGACCTCGAGCAAGACAAAGAAGCCCCAGGTACACCTACGCGCACCGATACCGAGCCCGAACATGCGTCCTTTCAATCACCCGGCGCTGCATCCCAAATGTCTGGGACCACGGCGATCTCCTCTTTCAGTATGGTCGAAGCCGAGTTCCTGGAGCCTAGGTTTATCCTGAAGCATTTGCGCAAGTTGTGTGACTCTGCTGAGGAGTTTTTGGAACACATTGCGCCTGATGGAGGAACGATGGCAGACGACTTGCAGAACATACGAGAGATGCAGAAACCGGGCTCGACTTATACGGAAGATTATCTGGATCTCAACGACGAGTTGAATGTGCATTTGAAGCACTTCAAGAGCGAAGAACACAGCTACATACATATCAGAGCGCTTCACCGCGCTCTTTTCAAGACGAGTGACGATGTCGCGGCATCGCAGAGCGGGCTGAATCTGATTCTCTACCTCGCCAATTTATTGGTGTTGGCGAAGCAGATGATCCATTCGAACCGGGATGATAAGAACATCTGGGATGTGCTGCGACAACTGGATAACACTTTTCCAGCCCAATTCATGCAGGACCTCGACTATGGTTTCCAGCCGACAGAAACAGGCCAGAGTGGGCTATACCAAGAAACACTTGATCTTGCAGTAGAGTTACGGACCCAGTTGGCAATACTTGTGCTTCAAAGGTCCGCCGAAAGCCCCGAATTTAATGTCGAAGAAACGCTGGATGAAATTTTCCTCCATCCTAAGTCGTCTGATGGTGTATGGGCGATCCGTGGGTGGAACATGCCAGTCTTGGGAGATGACGATTCATTTTTGTCCCAGGATTTTGAACGTCTGGTTAAGAACCGAGTGCAGGAAATCCAAGAATTTTTTCGCGAGGGATCGTCTATTGCTGAACTGGACGACCTAAAATCAGCCTTTCCTTGGGAGCCAACTATTCTTCGCCTTTTAGACTGGGTGCGTCTTCGACGGAGGGAACTCAAAGCTGTTATCGACTCTCTTGGTGGATCAGTGGAGATTACGCGGAACGTTAGACAAGCTGTGGAGGATCCTCAGCCTGTTGTCGAAAAAGATCAACGAGAGTCACTGCGCAAAAAGCGAACTTCGATAGGTCGCGACCGAAGACGTAGCAGCCGCAAATTCGATCCAAACGCCGGTGTCGATCTGCATGCTCTCAGCAAACTGAAATCGAGAGAAGGTGATTCGGGTGTATATTTAGAGCCTACAGCTTCTCGGCAAAATCGGGAGAAAATTCCGCCCCAGCAGCCAATTGAAGGAGTGCAAGTGCAAATCGAGCAGCCGGAATTGGAAGATCAACAGCAAGATGGACAAGGAAGCACGACTGAACCCGACACTGATTCTCAACTGGATGTTGAAGAGAGCTCTGAAGCGATCGAAGGAGTGCAACATGAACAGCCGGAGAGAAACGACCAAGAAGACGATTCAGAATGGCAAACATTGATTGGTAGCGAAGACCAGCAACCCGAGGGTGAGCACTCTGAAAAGCGCTTGGAAGAGAAGCACATCGACCACCAACCAGCGGTGGAAGACGAAGAGGAACACCAGATAGAAGACTTTGAAGAACCTCAACCATCAGCTCCGCCGCAGAGTCCTGCATCTCTACTCAGGGCTCTCAAGGCTTTACAGAAGCCGCAGAAAGAGAACCGCCCAATATCAATCTTCGATCGTCAAACGACAGCACAGCGCATCGAATTCGGTGACGGCTTCGAGGACACACAGCGAACAGCCGGCCCGTCAAATACAGCCAAAGGAAAACAAACCGCGGAACCTTCCCCACGCAAACGTCGCCGTGAAAATTCGGACGATTCGGACTCCGACGCTTTCGAAACCAAAGACCGTGGCGACCATGCCCCAGTGCGTCGTCGCGCGATGCCTTGGGCAAAAAGACAGCGCACTGAAGGACCACCAGCACCTACATCCTCCGGTGCACCACCGAGCCACCAACCCCCTCCCCGTTCTACACAGCCACATACCCGTCCCTTGTCTGAACAAGAAGAATCCGTCTCTGAGGCCTCCTCTCCCTCCATGACCGAAGAGCCCGAGCTTCCACCTTCCTCCACATGGCGCGACCAACGCAAGCTCGCGCAAGAAAATCGCGCTCTCGAATCCACGCAGTCTCGCAACAGCCGCAATGAGCGCAAATCCCGCGAAGCATGGTCGAACGAAGAGGAAGAAGCTTTGATTGAATACATGCGCAAATATCCTAGCAAATATTCAAGGATACTGCAGTATGATGAGCAAGAAGGGGGTGGCGTGTTGCGAAACAGGAATCAGGTCAATCTAAAAGATAAGGCACGGAATCTGGCGATTAATATGATACGGTACGTTATATACTCACTCCTCCGTTGGGTATGAAATGGCTTGCTAATGGATAATAGATCAGGAGCTGGTCTTAGATCAGGGTTTGAAAACATCATACACCCCGGCGAAAAACAAGGGAGAGCTCTCATGGCTGCTGGATGGGTAATGCACAATGATGGGTCGTGGGAGAAAGTCCAATAGAACCAGGATAGTTCCTTGGCATGTGTTTGGATGTGAATGAAAGGACACAAGGACGGCGTTTATTTGTTGATTATTCTTGATACCCCATGGTGCGTCCGCTATATCAGCGCTTTTTATCCAGTTCAATCGTACAGTTACAGTTTCTCCTCTAGCTAGCAAAAAAATTAAAAAAGTGCAGTTAAGGAAGAAAGCTTTGTGGTAAAATCACACACGTTCCCTCCACCTAACTCCCCATTCCCCTTTTGCAAAACTACTCTCTACAACAACACCTTTCATAACAGCCTCGCACTTCCTCTTCTCCGCCTCGTCAGGTACGGTGAAACCAAACGCACACCCCCGTCTCGCAGCTTGCCGTACCTTCTCCCTCTCATCAGCCTTCCTCTGCCCTTCTCGTCGTTTAAGTTTCATCTCGTCAGTCTCGTGGATCCGTTCGGCCCAGCCTTTTTCTCCGCCGACGCTGCCATTGACGTCGTTTTGGTCTTGTGGTGGCCGCACTTTTCCACTGCCGTAGCCGTACTCTACAACGTCCGGAACAGGGTCTGCTGACTTTGTCGGCTCGAGAACAACGCCGCCTTCAGCTTCGTTGTCTGAATCTGACACCGTGTCCTCCTCGTCGCTGGTGTAGTCCTGTGATGGCGGTTTTGTCGCTGCTGCTGCTACTGCTGCTGCAGATGCGGTTGCTGTGGTGGAAGCAGGTTGATCGACCATATCTACGCTCTTCCAATCCTCAGGTTTCTCAACTACGAACCTCGCTTTGCGATTCTTGCGTCGTCCATATACTTTCTCGGGATCTTTTTCGCGTTGGAAGACTATCTCCTCTACCGTGCTACATTCGACGATGATCCTGTGATCTCCTTTGATGCTATTCTTGGAGAACTTCTTCTTATGTCCATTCTTCCCCTTTCCACCTTTGCCACCTTTCTCCTCCCCCTCCTCATGCGCATTGCCCGTCTCCGCAGTCCTCTTAATAGGATCTGCTCCTGCATTCTCTTTCAAACTTTCCGGACTCGCGCCATCAAGGAGCGCAGCAAAGGTAGCTTCGATCTTTCGGTCGATAGGGCCCGGTTTGTTATTTCGGCATCGTGTGGAACAGTACTTGACTTCTGTTGCATTTTGCGTTTTGCGGCGCTCACTGATGACGCGGCCGCAGCTATGGCAGTAGGGCACTGTGTCGCCAACGGTTAGGTAGAGGGGTGGTGGGGTTACGGCGTGCTTAGAAGGCCGGGACCAGGAGTCCATCCACGACATCTTGCTGAAATATTTGGCGGGTTGTTGTGGTGATGATTGGTATGGCTTGTTCGAGATTGGAATCCGACTTTGAGCTCGGGTGTGTATTAGGTAGACGGTGGTGTTTATGAAGTTGGGATATTTGAAGGTACGAGCGCACGACGTCATCAGCCCTCTCCTGGTACGCGGGTGCATGCAGGTACGAATTGTGGCTCACGATGGCGCGAATGAGGTGAAGCTTGTATCGTGTCCATTTTTCTGCTAAGGTTTGGAGTCTTTGATGACGTATTTGAAGTTTCCATTATGGTGCATGGAGCACGTGGATTCCCAACTAGACGACTAGTGATGGTCCCTTTAGACGTACCTATCGTACCCATCTTCGATTCTCACAACTGAAACTACCGAGTCGTCTAGTTCACTAATATGCATCGACGTTTTGTCAGCAGTCATAGGCTATCTCCACAAACTTCCCCAGTCGGTCCTCGGATGTACCCCATCATGCCTCATGTCGGTTGCCGAGCTTAACATTGCACACCATCTCGGTAACCGACACGCATCGCAAGATAAACAGTCTCCATTCCGCCGAAAAGCATGGCTCAGATATATGTTCTTCTTCGGCGCTCCACCCTTTGCCGTTTAGATAGGGGACCCGGAGATTTGCTTAACCTTGGGCTCTATTCTGCGCAGAACTTCAGGTCACGTCTTCCCCAGGGCATAAGGTCCGTTACAAAGCGGACAAATGGAACGTCCATCGCTATCAGCAGCGACTCCAGTGCCCCATTCCCCCTTCGCACAGTCACACCAACACTTCAACTTCTTCGCTAAACACCGTCGTCCTTTGAGTGTGCGCCATCGCTGTAAGAGGGCGAAGCTGCAGCCAAGACCCAGAACATCAGAATCCATGTCGCCTGCATTGGACCCCGCGACGGGTGAAACCGGCACCAAAGGATCGCGTGCGCATCCTATAGAGACATCGTCGACCCCGGAGCTGGGTCGCCCGAGACGGACTACCGCGCAAAGCGATATTCAGGATACCATACAACATCCGGGCAATGTGCGCATCAACGTTCAGGGGGCTTTCATCGTAGATGAAGAGCAGCCAGGGACGCCGCAGAGCGAAGACTACGAACACGATCCGCACGACATTAGACTGCCGAACCACACTTCGGTAGTTAGCCATGTAGCCGTCGATGTGAGTATATATGCATGGTCGCGTGCGACTGGTTGTAGCACGCGACCAAACCCCTTACAGAGTCACAGCATGCTAACGCGCTGCGCGCCCTCGTAGATTGGAGGCTCCTTGGCCAAACTTGTATACTTCTCGCGCGAACTCGGTGACGACTCGACTGGCGGACGTCTAAACTTCTTCAAGTTTGAGACTGACCGGATAGATGCATGTATAGAGTTTATGCGCAAGCTGCAGGCCGACCAGAAGCAAGACAATGGATCGAAATCGCCAGACTTGTGCATCATGGCGACTGGTGGTGGTGCGTTCAAGTACCACGACAAGATAAAGCAAGCGTTGGATGTAGAAGTCATAAGGGAAGACGAGATGGAGTGCTTGATCATAGGTAAGAACTTGGTGCTGTCTGTAGTCGAGGGATTGGTATGCTAACACCGACATGTAAAGGTCTCGACTTCTTCATCAACGAAATTCCAAACGAGGTCTTCACCTACAGCGAAGACAGCCCCATGACCTTCATGCCACATCCTCCCGATCCGCCGAATATCTACCCTTACCTCCTCGTCAACATCGGTTCCGGTGTATCCATGATCAAGGTCTCAGGACCCCGGCAATACGAGCGTATAGGCGGTACATCACTAGGAGGAGGAACACTCTGGGGTCTCTTGTCGCTACTTACCGGCGCCCGAAGCTTCGACGACATGCTACGGCTAGCAGAGAACGGGGACAACGGAAACGTCGATCTACTCGTCGGCGACATTTACGGGCAAGCGTACAACAAGATCGGGCTGAAGAGCACACACATTGCATCTTCGTTTGGCAAGGTCTACAAAATGAAGCGTGCAGCGGAACGGGAAGCTGAAGATGGATGTAACGGCGATCTCAAGCGCAGAGAAGAAGCAGAGCACGTCGAGGGTTCTTCAGAACTATCTCATGATCCTGGTTCCTTCCGCCCAGAAGATATGGCACGTTCGCTCCTTTACGCTGTCTCGAACAACATTGGTCAGCTGGCGCATCTGCACGCTGAGAAACATGGACTGCCTAGGATATACTTTGGAGGCTCCTTCATTGGTGGTCACTCACAGACGATGAATACTCTGTCCTACGCTATTCGCTTCTGGTCCAAGGACACCCGACAGGCTTATTTCCTGAGGCACGAAGGTTATCTGGGTGCTGTAGGTGCGTTTTTGAAGCGGCAACCGAGGAACTGGGGGAGGAGGGAGAGTGTTGTTGGTTCCGTTAGGCCGGCTTCTAGTTCTTGAACTTTGACACCTTGAACTTTTTTTTGAGAGCGGAGGTATCATAGCGAGCATATAGACGTAAGCAGATTTATTGTAATATCGTCAATTCAACATATTGATCATTTTAGCCAGGCGGCGCCGTGCTTGATTGACTGTTTCCTAGATCTCCGCTTACGAAGACTACGAGGACGGCTGCGTATGCTGCTGTTGCCGCGAACAATTCTGCTCTTCGTGCATTCGTCAAGAGACCCACGCTGCCAGCGAATAAGGTGGTGAATGCCGCAATTAACCCTAATCTCCAATCCGACGACGTCACTTTGTAGAGCACGACAATGGCGCCTATCAACAGTACCGCTGCTAAGAAAGTGCTGAACCATGCTACGAAAGAGCTAATGGCTCGGTCCGAAGCGTAAGCTATCCCATGGCGGGAACGCTTCCGATCTGGAAATAGGAAGGCTAAATGCTCTTGCGCGAACGTCGTCAATCTATCCTGGTCCTCCTGGACTCGTAATGCGACTAGATCGTCGATGTCGTCGTATAGTCCGGCACTATGCCCACCGAGGGTAGGAAAAGGCTCGCCTTTGCCTTGAGTCTGGTTGTAAAACTCGGCTTGGAAGGCGCGTAGAACTCCTTTAGACGGTCTCGGAAGTGTTGCTAATGTGCTCTCGAATAGTAATGCTTCTCGGTAATCTTTCAAAGTCTCTCGAATTTGCTTTACCAGCTCCCATCGTTCTATTTGCTTTGCGTTGTTGGCTTGCGCTTCCTCCTGGAACTTCGCGAAATGTCTTGCGCATTGCTTCGTGGGCATATCAGCTATAAGATCCTCCTGGTCGAACTTGCGTTGCTTGGTGTCGAGCTCTGCGAGCTCACTTTGTAGATAGAGGAGGTTCCTAGCAGCAAGTTCGTCATAGCGCTTGTAAATCAAAGTTGTGCGATCGCGATCGTTAGCGATGAAGTTTGCGAGAGATGGAAAGCCGGAAAGGTAATGCCGTCGTGCTTTGGGATCAGTCTTATCGTCCGGCATGTCCGTACAAGATCTGCTGGATGAGTTTATACAGCTATACCCTGAGGTTGAAGATGGCTGCGCATGTGCGTGTACTGCTTGACCGGTCGGTGGCTTGGGCTGTGCTGTGACCCCGCAAGCGTATGCACAGCCCCGATCGAACACCTGGCAATCATCACTACCGCCGCTGTTTTCTCCCAAAAGAACTTATCAGCGCTGTGAAAACTGCTTCATCACGGCTATCTCACACATCTGCGGGCTCGCGAGTTCCGCCTTGTAGCCTGATATGGAAAGCTATGCCTATACTCCTTGGTCTATCTATAAGGGTGTCGATACGAAGTTCATAGATATCGACATCAATGGAGTGCCTATAGTAAATATGGAGATCGTCAAATAGAATTCACTTCTAACGTCAGTTTAGGATGATGCTTATTTCGCGGCTGCAAAAGAGCGGCAAAACTTAACGAAGTCGTATCAGCCTTTCATCCCAAAAACGACCTTGATGAACCAGGAAATGCGTAACGAAGCTCGAGTCAACCAACCTGCATCGTCTTCGGCCGCATGGAATCATGAATGGCCATCAGAATCGCCTAGCTATCACCTGCCTTCTCAGCATAACACCGGCGATATCGAAGTCACAGCTGTGCCGCTGCCTCCAAGCATATCAGAAGCTACGGTCGAACCACGTAGACCGAGGAAAATGCGACTAGGCTTGCCTATCACAGTTCACAACCAAGATGTTCTAGCTACAGTATTAGCTTGCGCAGATACTGGCGCAGATGTCAACATCATGTCGGATGATGTGGCAAAAAAACTTGGATACTCAGAGTACAATGTGCTGCCGGAGAGGAAACAGTTTACACTAGCCAACGGTAAGATTATAGAAGCTATAGGTCAGATCGAATCGGTGTGCTCTTTCGGCACTGAGACAGTCGTTGGCGACAATGACTTGTATTTTCTACATTCTGCTCAAAGCTGCGACCCCCATCATCATGGGTCTCAATTTCTTGGAGCAAACCAAGACCATGACCGAGCACAGGGACAGACTCGTGCGGGTTCCAAGACCAGCATACCAAGCGCTTTCCGTATGCTCTTTGGACAAGCCAAGGCGTTTGTTGACTTGCGAACTGGACTCCAAGCAGACACTAGCGACTCCAGACTCTGGATCAGAGATTGACCTAATGTCGTTCTCTTTCGCATCTGAACGTGATTTCAAGGTCTATCCAGGGGAGGAGATAATCGAAGTAGCGGATGGTAGCATATCCATCACTAGCGGGTTCGTACGTACAAGCCTTGCTATCACTCCGACGAATGTGCCAAACCTGTCGACGATACCAAGAAACTATGTCACCGTCGACTTCTTCTTGCTGGATAGTCTATCTCATGACCTTATTGTGGGTGAAGATTCTTTGGATCGGCTCCAGGTTTTTACGGACCATCAGTCTGCTCTCGTTTGCCTACCTGATGGCTCAGGACCTCTGGGTTTAAATCGTATCCGGCATCTCGGGGCAATAGATCGCATTGTTTCCTGGATCAAGAAGAAGATCAGAGGCTCTGGCTCTGACAATGACAGTACGTACATTAGCCGATGTAAGAAGTCACATTGAAATTACCAGCTAATCAGTCACGTCATAGCAAACATGGACACATCTTTCGGTTCTCAAGCGATAGATCAGCATGAGAATAATCGTAGAGAGCGCGAAGCAGCTCGGATCGCAATTCTGCCAATCGACGAACAGCAAATCGCTATAGACGCTGAAGTAGTCAGACAACGAGCCTACAAAGGTCAAATTCGACTTCCAAAGTTGATCTTCGATGAGACTGTCGCTTCAAGGGCATCACCGCCGCCGTTCAACTTCGGCTCCCCATCCACCCCAAACAAATTGGGTGTTTTCATATGCGAATACCCTGGTTGCACAGCTGCACCATTTCAAACACAATATCTTCTCAAGTAACTAGCGTCCAACAAACCGATGGCTTTGACTAACGAGCGCAGCTCACATACCAATGTTCATTCATCCAATAGACCACACTATTGCCCAGTGGCCGATTGCCCAAGAGCCAAGGGCGGAAAAGGCTTCAAGAGAAAGAATGAGATGATACGACATGGTCTTATCCACCAGAGTCCAGGTTATATTTGTCCATTTTGTCCTGATCGTGAGCACAAGTACCCGCGACCAGATAATCTCCAGCGGAACGTCAAGATAAAACTTCATCCTGCTACTCCGAGGCTTCTTACTGATTTCTGCGTGCTAGTCATGTACGTGTGCATCATACAGACAAAGACCAAGACGACCCTCAACTTCGGGACGTATTGGCACAACGCCCTGAGGGCGGAAGCCATGGACGTAGAAGAAGGATAGAAGGTGGAGGAAACTGATCAGAGCGCTTGTGGTAGATATGGCGAGGATGAGTGTGTTCATGTACATAAACTCGCGCCATCGCCATCCAGAGATATGTCATGCTTTCACTTCAAGTGGTACATTATGCGCGTGTATAGAATATTGCATGAACTTAGACGCACAGCCTAGGCGAGATGAACTGCTATCGAATAACTGCTATCGAATCCTTGTGTAGGGCTACTTTGGGCGAAAGTGGCGCAGCTGCAGCAAAATGATTTGTTGGAAGGTGCTCTCTTTCGCTTACCCTTACATATCCTGTCTCAATAGGGAACCGGGCAGTTTGTACAGCCTCAAGATGAAAGAATCTAGATTGGAAAAGCACTGCACGCCGAAAAGATGGTATCGTCTGCTGGTGCCTGGAATGAACTGTCACTCTTCCGCAAATTCAATCTCAAGCAGCGCGTGATTGACAGCGAAGTATGCATGGCTTAGGTATATTGTCTTAATGCACTGTTGACAGACTTGCCTAACGAGCCAACCGCCTTACTCTACGATCTTGAAAGTCGCTACTTTGTCTTCGTCTTGCGCGATCATCTTCAACAGCCCTGGCGGTTCTCCGAAAACCCACCCTTCCTCCCTCATCTTCTTAATATCCGGCTTCTCTTCTCCTTCCACGGCGCTTCTCGAAGACAACTTGTTCACGTTATGCAAATCAATAAGATCCTGCATCTTACTAACAGCCTCTTCGCTTTCATCTGCTCCCTTTTCCCTATCCAACCCCAGATCGTCAGAAAAGCTGAAGCGCGAGATTTTCTTGCCTTTCAAGCCTTCCGGGTTTTCCAAGGAGCCAAATGACCACCATCGAATCGAAAGATCGCCGGGCCAGACATGGTAGGTGTCGCCGACTCGTAGAAAATGTTCAAGCTTTTCTTGGAGCGAGGTTGAGTCGTCGCCGAGACTCGACACAAGCCGTTCAGCAGAGAGCTCCCACGCAACTTGTACAGAACCTTTTCCTACCGGAGGAATTGTGATGAAAGTGAATCCAGGGGTATCGGGATCCTCAGGGCGTTTGGCAAGATCTGGGTCGCCCGATATCCGGTGGAACGTAATGCGCTTTGTGGGCCGGAGGTTAAGCACTTTTGCAGAGCCATCTACTTGTCGGGTGGAAGAAAATGCGAGTTCCGGTGAGTGCATATCGCCCTTGCGGAACGCATCCTCACGAGGCGTAGTGTCGAGACATGAGTACTTGGTCAAGATAGTAACGGGTCTATCTGGGAAGACCGAGGAGGTTTGGTGGATGGTGGCGATCAGTTTTAAAGGTGATGCCGAGGGGTTAGAGATTGAGAGAGTGGCTGGTGGACAGAAGTTGAACTTAAGGCAGAGCTCGACTCCGTGGTTTTGAGACGACATATGAAACTATTTGATATGGTGTTGTAGTAGGAGACTGAGAATGCACAGGTATGCACAATAGAATTCAACCGACCCGCGTACGACTAGCAACGGGAAAGGCTTTCTCAGGATTGCTTGACAGAGGTCTTATGAGCGTTCGCGTAAGCACTAAACCGGGGTTCTTCAGTCATGATTGGGTTCAAGCGTACGTTTGGGTAGTCTATGCGAATAGAGGAACGGCGCCAAGGAGCCATCGGATTTGACTACAGATCCGGGGCGGAGACATGGATGTTCAGGAGAGGAGAGGGAAGGATGCACGGTATTCTTGTACTATGGCACATCTACTTGGCGAAGCGGACTAAGCTACACATGAGGGACATGCAAAAGTTACCAGCACCGCCTACGTAAGTGTTCTCAACAAAAGTGCCATCATGACGTCATTCCTCGCGTCCGGTGAGCCTTGCACCCTACTTTTTAATTTGCCTTTCCGAGAATTTAGGCAGCCCAAAGGTGGAGAAGAGCATTTGATCAGGCCTAGGCTAGGCCAAAACTAGATGCGGTCAAGCGTGAGGCAGTTGCATGAGCGTTCGTCGTTACATCGCAAAGCCCAGTTCGTATCTAGTGCGGAATTTCATCCTACTTGTATACAGCTCCAACTCAGAATATTGAGCAACATATGGGCTCGTAGACTGACCGGGTGGCAATATGTTAGAGATTGTCTTGCATTTCTGTAACAAAGTGTCATGAAGGCGATCCTTCACGAACCAGAGCTTCTGAACTTCAGAAACACTGGCCTCTTTGTTAGCAATGGGAGGCATGACGCTGGCGTCTTCAGCCTCATGCATCCGCAAAGAGGTGAGCACAGCCTCCAATCTTGCCTTGCATGATCATGCACGACACCAGCCACCTAGTGTGCTGTTGGCCAGTTCTCCAAAACTCTTCGCAGGCTTTGTTTTCTTCTCCCCTGCATCGTGGGATGCCTCTTGGAATGCCTCTCGGGTGACTTTAGCATATGACCTACGGGAAGCAGCCTTCTGTCTCTTTCCCGTACCTACTTTTCGCAGCGGCCGTGCCGTCTGTCGAAAGTTACTTACCATTTTACACTTCGCCCACACACTGTCGTTATCGAGTTCAACTTCTTTGCAATCCCTAACTAGTCGCGCGACCATATTTCCTTAGTCACACGACTCACACCGTTGAAGTGTGTCATTTGGTGGAGAACTTCGTCTCTACGACATCACGAGTGTTGGTGAAGATCTTTGTGTTTTCTGCCCTATCCTTAATCATGGATCCTTCTCAAGATCCTCTAGATTCATTGTACTCTTATTTAATCGATCCAGATTCGTGCTGGCAGGGTCCATACGAAGCCTCGACAGTCCAAGATACAGACACATTCAACGACCAATTATTCTCACCATTCGCATTCGAAACCGAATTTGACCCGCCAGTGCATCGCCCTCATATCAACATCTCGGAGTACATCGAAACCGTCGATCAAGATATCGCAGTGTCAAGTGTTTATCGTACGGCTTTGAACGAATCTTCAAATCTTAGCACCGTCCAAGATGTCGACGCCATCTCGTTTACACCTTCCACTCCGCTTACGCCGCCCTACGATGCGTGGACAGATTGGCTGGAAGCTCCGGCTGCCGATCTTTCGGCAAACACACCACCATATTCTCCGATTGCAGATCCGCCTACGCAATCCGAAGAATCAAATTTCATATGCCAGTCTTGTCCAGAATACTTTCACCGCCGTTGCGATCTCAAGTAAGTGGAACTCCATCACATTCTCAGGTATCAAGCTGACAGTGTTGGAGCAAGCACATCAATCGAAAACACAATAAGCGTGCTAAGTGCCCGTACGAGGGCTGCGCGCAGAAGCCGTTTGGTTTCGAGGCGGACCTACAGCGACACATTGTAGCAAAACACAGCGCTGAAAGGAAACCTGAGATCGAGTGTGTGATTCACGATTGCGTAGAGAAGTTTTCAAGGAAAGACAACATGCTGAGACATGTGAAGAAGAAACATCCTGGAAATGAGCCTTCGCGCTGATGTTGGAACAGGAGCACTTTGCGACGAACTTTTTTACTTAATTCTATAGGAACTAGCTGGACTAGAGCCTGGTAGTACTAGAAGCTAGCTGGACTAGATTCTAGCTGGACTAGACACTAGCTGGACTAGATAGATGGATGTCTTCATTGAAACACATGTTCGATTCATGTTTGCTATATCAACCGGGTATAGTATGGCACTAGATGAAGCTTGGTATGACATCTCGCGAGCTCATTACCAAATTTACCTTGTGAATGTACTCAAGCTCGCCCTCTACACCAAGGTCATGTTGAATCCAGGCTGTCTGTACCAGTCCTTTGGCTTCGAGTAGACTATTGAGGTGGGGAACCTGTTCCAATCTCGTGAAGAAGTCAAGCATGACCAACCGCTCTTCGTCTGTGTGAGCCTCGCAGCCGATAACGAACATGGTGAAAGATGGTGGAGACGTTTTCAGTTTGGCGAGTATGCATAGTGCATCTTGCTTCCAATGGTCTAGCCGTATTGATTGGCCCGAGAAGTTTCGAGACACGCGCTCGAGGTATATAAGGCCTGCTAGTCTGGTGAACTGCAAGCAATAGTACTTATCGCCTTCTCCTTCTTCATCCCTAGTGACGAGATCAACGCCGTTTAGTCGGGACTTGAGGTCATTTAAAGACTGTTGATAGTCATTCGAATGATACAGTGGATCAGAAGCGTATAGTCGTGTTTCGAAGACCTCAGCGAGAAGTTGAAGTAAAGGGTGAGCATATATTGCGATACTCGACATGTCCTCTGCGAAAGCGATGCGAGCGATACGATATTGCACCGAACAAGTGTGATTAGCAGCTTTGAAACCAAGCTCGTGTGAGGTTGCCCGAATCATGTAGGTGCGCCAATGACGGAAGCTGAAGCGGGTAAATGTGACAAAGTAGTAGAGCCACCCGAGAATGATAGCTTCGTCGCTTCCAACGGAGTGTGCTTTCTTATCGACGGTAGGAACGATGTTTCTCGCCCCGCATAAATGGCCTATCCAGTCGCAGTCGAGATCTGTCTATCATCATGATGATATCACGTTAGTCTTGCACCATTCTCTTCAAAATGACGGCTTACTTCTACTAAACACAAAACAAGACCGGTGGCGATGTGTTCGATGCTGGCGTCCGAGTCCAACCCAGGGCTCGTGGCGCTTACGAGCGCCTCTATTGCTGCATTTTTGGCACGAGCCGCATGCATCATATCGTTTCCACGATGGCGAGAAGCCAACGCGACTAGGGACAGTAGTAGAGCCATTGATGATATGGAACGCCCCGATAAAGCCATTCGTAACAATAGGCGTCCGACTTCATTTCTTTCACGACCCACAGAAGGAAGAATCCCGACGACTACGTCTTCGACTACAACTAGTTAGCATCGGGCAAACTCACTTTCTGCAAGTAGACTCACAATACTGTACTAGTTCCGCGTCGCTAACCGCCACCTTCGTTGTTACCGAAGCCACGGACCGGGTAAGCTTAGGCAACGCAAGCTGATCCCTTTGGACATGCTCACCCTTGACTGAACACTTGTTAAATTATGCCACAAAGTTTACTTCAAGAGATCCTACCTCCGCCAATAGTAGCTTTAGCAAGGATGTGGAGACGGATATCAGTAGACGAGACGTTGATCCACTGCTCAGATTGACGCCGAATTCTTGTGTGTTGTAACTCTCGATGTACAGGTTCAAGAAGCCACTTCTTGTGATCATTGTTCTTGACCCATGAGAGACGGATGCCATAACCACCGCATACGCGCTTGGATTTCGAACACTTGTTGCAAACTGGTACAGCGCGGTCACATGAGACCTTGCGATCTAAGGACGATATCAGTATCGCGTAGTATACGAGCATTCACGAATCCAACTCCTACCCTTGCATGTCCAGCAGCCCTTTGTTGCAGTCTTTGCTGCAGTCATTGCTCCGTGCTGAGCTGGGAGCAGGCGTCGACGTGCACCTTCTGGGTAAGCGTTGCGAAGAGATCGCGACGCATCCTATGGGAAACCAAGGATATGAAGGTATGTCAAGCAAGCCACTGGAGGGACTAGGCACGAAGCAGAGTCAGATGTTACCAAAAGCATGATAGAGCCGAAGGACTTGGAGATCCTCGCTGAAGGAAGCCGGTGGGAGATCTCCTGTAATGCGCCCCGCCCCGCATCTGCGACGACCAGCGAATCACGCCAGAGGTCGCTAGTTCTGTACTATACCCGAACTGGACGCGAAGCAACCATCTGCGAGCTTTCTGTCAGCCTCAGTCACCGCCAAGCATCCAACGTCGTAACCCTTTTCCATCCCTTATGTCTCCGAACAGAATTGTGGTCAAAATTTGCGAGCTCTGCATCGTTGATTATGAAGCCAGGCTGGTATGCACGTTTCCGCCGCACCAAAACGGAGGGACAATATGTCTCATAGAGATGATATAAAGAACCTCGCCCGGCTTCATAGCATCGACATCAGTTCACTACCAACTACTCCAACCTCAAGATATTAAGACACTCAAACCATTTCAACTCTTAAAGCAGCCTTAGCTATCAGACCAACATGCCTTCCTACCTCGTCACCGGAGCGTCTCGAGGAATCGGTCTTGCATTCCTCGACCACATCTCCAGCAACCCGGACAACGTTGTCATCGGTCTCGTCCGCAACGTAAAAGACACTGAAGCCAAAATCGCATCGTGGAGTAGAAGCAACGTCCACCTCGTCCAAGGCGATCTCACCAACTACGAATCACTAAAGAGTGCCGTTGATGCCACATCCAAAATCACCAACGGAAGTCTGGACTACCTCATCGCAAGCGCGGGTCTTGTGTCTGGTGAATTCGATGAGTTTTCCGTTCTGTAAGTCTGCTTGTCATTAGTTATAGTTCCAGTATCTCTAACGATACAAAAGAGGCAAAGACCCGGCCAAAATGGAGGCCAGTCTCAATCAGCTCTTCAGCGTCAACGTCGTTGGCAACATCCATCTCTTCAACCTTTTCATGCCGCTCGTTCTCAAAGGAAATGTCAAGAAGGTCGTTACCATCTCCAGTGGCATGGGTGATACGGAATTGGTACGCAAGTACAACATATCCGAGGATGGACCGTATGCAATCAGCAAGGCGGCGGTGAACATGGCCGTTGCGAAGTTCAGTGCTGAGTACGCCAAAGACGGAGTGCTCTTCCTGAGCATATCTCCAGGAGTAGTAGGAACAGATGTGTATGCTGATCGTAAGTCTTGGTCTCTTCAACAAGAACGATGAATGCATAAGCTGACCAAAGACTTAGTATCGGAAGATGATCAGCGGAAGCTCGGAATCATGTCGCAGAAGTTCATGGATTACTCACCAGACTTTAAGGGGGCTATCACGCCAGAAGAGTCGGTCAAGGCTGTACTGAGTGTTGTCGAGTCCTCGAGTGTTGCTAATGGAGATGGCGGTGCTTTCTTGTCGCATCTTGGCAAGGGCGAGAAGTGGATCTGAGGGAATGAAAATGGAAGATTTGAATGAGAATGGGGTAGGATCTTGTTTCGTTGCAATTTTGAAATTCGTTCGTTAGTTGAATATATACATGGAAAGTATGTTCAAGAAAGCATGAGCACCATCGGTATCAGCGATAGAAACCGCGCCTCGTTCTCATCCTCATCTTTCTACAAGCACTTGCCTGGAATGCTTGCTGTCGCGTTCTTGACGAATCCCTGCAGGAAACCGCCACCGCCACACTGCAGACCCTTGACAAAAGCCTTTGCAACGATATCCGCACCAGCTGGGCTAGTGTGGGTGTGATCTTGCGGGAAGATCGCATCGGTCTTTGCTTTGCCCATAGTCTTGAAGATATCCGCCGTGTACGCTCCGTGGTCAACATACATGGCATTGCTTCCCAACGCCTTAGCGACGTCCCGCGCGTAACCGACGAACCTTCCACCATCGGTGTACACGAAACTACCGCTCTCCCATGGGTTGTTTGGTGTTTGACTGCTAACGATGACCTTGGCGCCCTTGGCAATGAGCTTCTTGCCAGCCTCGGTAAGGTAGTAGTTGTATGTGTGGACGGTAACTGCTTGACCGTTGTATGTAGACTGGCATGTCTCAGAGCCAGTACCAGGGCAGACCGAACGTCCGTTGTCGCTGCTACCGAGGCCACCGCCGTCGTTGTGACCGAATTCCATAATGACGATGTCGTTTGGCTTTACGAGGTTGACGATCTCGTCGAAGCGGCCTTCTACGGTGTAGGAACGGGAGCTGCGGCCACCGATGGCTTTGTTGACGACTGGGAGAGAGACAGAGTATGGGAAGAAGACACCCCAGCCTAGTTGCGATGGTTAGTAGTGGCCTTCCGGTGCGTTGATGCACAGCAATGCGTACCTGTAGTGACTCCGCTTGCTCTCGCCATCGTCGAATCTCCTGCGAGGTATACTGTCTGCGCACGCTTCTCAACATGGCTGCTAGGCGCACCCAGAGCCGTAGCAGCCAGCGCGACTACCGACAAAAGACTTGAAGTATGCATGATGAAGAATTCTGTAGACTGGCGACCTTGAAGTGAGGAATACGAAGATGATGCAAAGCTGGTGAAACCAAAATCAGTGTACAAACACCCTGTCTATATACCTACTCTTAACCGCCACTCCCTCTGTATTGAGTACCATCCAGCCGGACGCAAGCAGAGATTCTCCGTAACCTCCATCTCACCATAGTATCATAAGCAACGAAGTACTACCGTGATCACCATGAAACATACCATATGAAGTCTAAGTACCCCAGATTATATTACTAGCACTGCGGGGGCAAGTCCGGATACGGGACCGCTTCCTACCTAGCTACACATATATTGTATCTCGTGGTACCGAGGCCGGCACTTAGGGCTCATGCAAGCCTGCAAGGTTGGGTTTGGCGTAGATTGTTCCGGGGGAATACATGGGTGAGCAGCTGACGGGCACGGACGAATTGGGCCCGAGGCGTCAGGGGAAGCCGAACGTGCTTGGCACTGTTGTCATGAGGCTCCGCTGTGTTCCGCTCGTGCGAAAGGTTGTCGGTGGTGGAATGCGATGTGAGTTGTAGTCGTATATGACGATGCTAGGATGGGTAGATCATCTGGGCATGCATGTCACACATCGCGCTAGCGCTGGGCGGGCTATCTCTTTCCGAATTGCCCGGGCCATCAGCTTGGCGCTAGAACATGTGTCTTCGGTCCTCAAGCTTCAACTAGCATTTTATCAAACCGTGCCATAGTAATCTTCTTTCTCCCAAGCCACATGCTCCAAATGCTTCAAACATCTCCTTGCACTCCTTAATCTTGTCTTCTCGGCGCCCGAGCTTTGGTCTGGACCGTTATCGCTGAAACATGAGCTTATTCTCTAGTCGCCGAAGCAGACGCTCTCTCCGTTGTACGCACTTGAGCTTCAGGCCATGACTCAGCGAAATGTTTGTCTGTGACGTGATTGCAGATGTCTTTGCGCAAGTCTTTCTACCGTTGAATGGTCTCGTCTCCAGTCCACACCATACCACTCATCGCTCGAGGGGCAGGGCATGGAAGTAGCTGCCACGTCTTCTCGCGAACTGTTCTATGGAGAAAACGGTTGCACACACACGCTCTTTTCGAAGCCGCTGAGCTGAGACGGTCGTTGATCTTTCCATCTCTTCTGGTGAATACCGTCGTTGTTTCCAGTCTCCTACCCACCTACACTATCGAATTTCCGTCGTAGTTCTCAGTCTTCAATTCTCCGGCCTGCTAGATGTCTTTGACATCCCCGTACCGTCCTTGGAATTTTATGAGGTGTCCAAGCCATTGTCAGCAAGTATGCACAACGTTCATCAGGTTCCGCTTCTTATGTGCTAGATTTGGTGATTCCTGAGTGTCCTTCAGCAAAGCACTTCAGACGTACTGGAACGTTCTCGCGGTGTTCAACTGCAGAGAATACAAAGAATGCAACATTGGTTGTAGTGACCTGACAACTAGGGCCAGGCGAAGACGTTCAGTACGCCGGTGGTCTAAGCTACGAGCATAGGTCATTGTAGTTTCTTGAACCGTTTGCGGTTGCCCTTTTCAGTTGTAATGTCGTGACTGCGTCCTTTCTTGCCATGAAGTCGCAGTTCTTTGAAGGCAGCACCGTCGTGCCTTCCATTTTTACCGTCTCGAAAACAACATCACCCACAACGACACCGCCTGAGTAAGTCCTTCTCATCCACGCACGCCTCGTACCACGCTACAGCCATGCTAACATATCCAGATCGACAGAGATTCGAACAGGTTCGTGCTCGGTGGGAGACGATTCGGTTAGCTGAAGGCCAAGCAGCGGCGATGGTAGGCTGGAGAGAAAAGCCGGCAGCTCACCAGGCGGTGAATGGCGAGCCTCATGAGAACGGCGCGACGAAATTTCGGAGAAAGCTCAGCTATGGCTTCGCGTTCATCTCAAACCCCCTCTCGCAGCGAAAGACGATCCCAGCTCGCCAGCAGGTGAGTGTGCCGTTATTGGCAGCTACCGAGCCCTCCGCGTCCGACATTACTACCGAGGAGCCTATCTGTGAACCTCCACTCTCACCAGTGCTGCCTTTCACGCCACCCAAACTCTCTAATGGTGCGTCCGAACAGCCCGTGACAGTCCCGCTGAGCAGGACCTTGCCCATGAGCACCGATGTCGACGTCACACCCAAACCATTACCCCGATCGCGCACACTGAGCTTCATTCCACTGCCCGTCAGGTCTGAGCCTAGCTCGTTCGTCGCAGACGTGGAGGGGGCAGTGAAATCCCATTCCATTGCGGCAATGCCCCGGCCAGAGCCTAACTCTGCACCTTCGAAAATTCCTACACCCAGTCCGCCATCAGTCGAGCGCCGTCGCTCTAATTCACGTCTACATGTCCATCAACACGCTTCATACCGTGCTTCACAGCAGATCAAACACATCGCAACAGCGCACGCGTTAGCAGCCGCCAATAACGGTTCGCCGGTGAGGCATTCATATCAAGTGCGCTCACGTACAACGCCCAATCTCGCGAAGGACTCCAACCCGTCACAACCAGCGCGATTTATGGCCCCAAGACGACCAGGACCTAAGAGGACTGCGAATGCTTCAATAGCTCAAAAGCCAATGCTACAAGAGAATATACCTGCAGGTAGGCGCATCACGCACAGGCGGTCGCAAATTCAGGAGAGAACGTTGAAGAGAGAGTCGTTGGCAGTGCCTGGTACTTTGAACAACAGGAGATCGTTTGTACCAGGGGCACTACTTCCCCAAAGTAGGGAGCCTAGCTTCGCGACCCCATTGCCAGTAAGAAAACGGATGAGCTCACAGTTCGCACAACAAACGCCAGTGACGGTCAAGCGAATACAGCCGCAAGAAGAGACAAAGATACATACGCCGCCCTCGCCACAGGTATCGGAGGTCACGATTGACCAGCCTCGTGATATAGGTTATTCAGGATTAACCCCAGTGACAACCGAGCTTGTCGAGCCAGTCATGCCCCGATCACACACGGATAGAGGTCTGCAAAGGAAGACACTAGGTACACCCAATGGTTTGGGCGGCGTATGGCGGTCGTCACGCGCTTTGGCATTGACGACACATGAGGTGAGCAAACTTCCACGTTCTTATACCTTCCACAACTTTGGAGCCAGGCGGGAAGTTGCTCCACCAGTGCCTCGAATTCCAGAGCAGTACAGAACAGTATCATTTCCAAATTTGATCCAACCAGTACGCATGGACCAGAAGGATACCAATCAATCTCACCAGGACTACATCGTATCCGACACGAACTCCTGCGAGTCGATCCCCGAAGAGACCGAGGATGAGAAGAACACTACTCCCGACTATCCGCCTTACTATCCTGGAGGAGGGCTCATAGTGTCCGTAGAATCCAGCGGATCTAATGCCAGTTTTGCGGCATTCCCCTCAGTACCAACCACAGCACCGGAGACTGCGAGAAGCACGTCGGGTTCTTCATCAACCAGGCCATGGAGTGTCTCGGAAGAAGGAACGTTGGAAGTTGCTGACATTGAGAAGGTCAAAGACTACATGCCACCACTTTACTGGGCCGGACGTTTCCAAGCCCGATGCGACAAGTGGCGTACCGATGCAATGGACGCCGAACTGAATCCAGACTACCAACCAGATGGCCTCTTGGGACGATGTAAATTGAACCAAGAGAAACTCACAGCGTGCTACATATTGGGACAACTGCGCGACCTATGTACCTCTGATCAAGCAGCGGATAGTCTATGGGTATATCGATACTCTCTTGAGCCAGTTTTCATATCTTATTAACCGTACCCAGGAGTTTGAGTACAAATACCGAAAAGACAACAAACTCCTTGGCAACCCACTCGATATCCCGCCGATGTCGCTTCGTAAACAAGAAGAGAATGCGACATCGGCGGGGACGGCAGCAGGAACTGGACCGTTTGGACGGGCTATCAGGAGATTGACTCCGAGAAAGGCTAGTCTGGTCAATTTGATGAAGGGCAAGGGTTGGAACAAATCCGATGAGGCGAAAAGTGAGGATGTAGCAGAAAGGAATCAGGAGACGGAGTCGGAGTGCTCGTGAGGCAAACGGAGAGTCGACGATGTTACGACGATACGGATCTTCTGAATCAAACGATGTTATAATACGCGATGACAAGGATAATGCAGAGAAGCACAGCATCACGAACTGAGAAGGTAGCGCCTGCGAACGAAAACGTGCATATCTATAGCATATAGTTAGACGTCACATGCAGCTTAGGACATTCGTACCAAGTCTTTGCATTAGTGCTTTACCTAGTCCTTCTTCTCTGGTTTTGGTGAAAGTTCCTCGACGATGTTGTTAGGGTCCTTCCAAGCCAACGCAACGTATTTGGTGTGACTTCCTCGTGCGAAGACTTCGCCTTTGTTATTACTGAAGGCGATGGATGTGAAAGCTAGGGTTTTGCCGACTGTGTGACATGTCAACCAAAAGTCCTTTCCGGGTAGCAGTCGTGACTACAGAATGCTTACATTTATCACACGTCACTTCGGCTTTGATCAAATCCCCGATCTTGCCGCCTGAAGAGAGGTAGGTCACGTTCAAGTCAGTGGAAACACCAGTTGCGAAGAGGCCGCGTGAAGCTACTGCTAGGGAGCCGCCGAGATCGACCATGCTGGCTATGGTGCCGCCGTGAAGGATGTTGAGTCTGTTTGTATGCTCTTTCTGGATGTCCAGCTCAAACTTGACACGTCCTGGGACTGCCGAGGTTACTCGTAGCTAAACTCAAGGTCAGCCGTGAGCCTTTCGAATGATGAATACCTACTCACGCCATCTAATAGTCTGAGAAAAGATGGTTTGTTAGTGCTGTGGACATGTTATCAGGGTACGAGAAGTACCTTGGCTCCAGGCCGGAGTTGGCTCGGAAAGATTCCCAGACCTATTCAGCTGATCAGGATCGATTTTCGATATACCTATATCACTCCATGCGTACTCACAGATCTCACAAACTTTAATGCTGGCATATTCGGTCCTTACTCCTAGATGTGCGAAGAGTGATGTCGTGGTTCCGCTCGGCAGTTACCTCACGTACCTCGGAAGCTAGACAGGGGTGGAGCGGAATTTGTGGGGTCAGCTTTCCGCTTGCTCGGCGCGTCATCCAAGTACTTTCTTTGGTTGCTTGCCTGCAACTTCACTTTGCGCAGACTCAAGGCGCGACGTACGCGTCTCTTTTGCTCGATCTCGCGATATTCTCTCCTCCGAATATGATAATACGGCGGTAGACCGACATATTCTCCTCCACATCCTTCCACGATGTCGGCCTCGTCGTCTGCGCAGGCGCTGGAATACTTGGAGGGCCTGCCTATTGCTACGCATAAGAGGCTATATGAGCAGCCCTCGACTGTGTTGGCGGTGTACCGCTGCATGCTGCCGCATCTTGGTGAGTGCGTACAATGCAGCCGTATAGTAGAGCTAACAAAGTCGCAGCCAAATCTATAGTCATGGCAATGCTCTACAGACCCTCGTCCTTCCCCGTAGCCGACCTCGACGCATGGTTCAAGCCCTCCGCCCGCAGAGAGAAGGAACAAGCCGTCTTTACTCTCGAACGCCTGCACGTTATCGCCCAAGTGAAACAAGATGACGGCACTATGGCATGGACAATCAGCACAGGTTTCCAGAAGAGCCTACGAAACGCCCTCGAGGGCTCTGGTACGCACCGCTCGTTTGGTGTCCCAGCAACTAGAGAAGAGAGTGGCGGAAAGCGATTGAGCGTAGATTTCCTGGACGAATATTCGAGATCTCAGTGGGAGGGTATATTGTACTATCTGGTTAGCGGTGCGGCTGGACTCAGCAAGGACAGTATCTCGCGAGCCGAGGTCGGTCCTGGAACAAAGAAGCTGCTCCATACTGGTGATCTTGTGAGGACTATACATGGGAGTCCGAGGATCACGAAGGATGGTTTCTCATTTGTGCTGCAAGAGACGAATGCACAGGTCTGGAGTTTATTGATCGTGTATCTGAAGATGACGAACGAAGTAAGTGTTGAACCTCACCCCTGCGACGACTGTCCTCTTCGGAACCAGTCAACACCTCCAGAAAACGATTCTAACATCAACACCAAGCTCGGCATGTCCGAAACCGAAGTCCTGTCCTTCCTCTTCATGCTCGGCTCCCTTGAACTAGGCCAAGATTACTCCACATCCACACTCTCACCTACACAAGCCCAAATGCTCGAAGATCTGTCCTCAATGGGCCTCATCTACCGCTCCGACAAGAACGCACGAACCTTCTACCCAACCCGCCTCGCCACAACCCTAACCTCCGACTCCGGCAGCGCCATGTCCGCCTCCTCCAACGACATTGCACAAGCCAACCAAGGCAACGCAGGTCCCTCGGCCGCCGCAAACAAGGGCTTCATCATCATCGAAACAAACTACCGCCTCTACGCCTACACAAACAGTCTGATCCAAATTGCCATTCTGAGCTTATTTACCAAACTCCAACACCGCTTTCCCAATCTCGTCTCGGGTAAGTTGACAAAGGAATCTGTTCACAAGGCTGTACAGTCGGGTATCACTTCTTCGCAAATCATCTCCTATTTAACTACGTATGCGCATCCCCAGATGCAGAAGACGGTTCCGTATATCCCGCCTACGGTCATGGATCAGATTCGGCTGTGGGAATATGAAGGCGAGAGAGTGGAGACGACCACGGGGTATCTGATGCGCGAGTTTGGTAGTGATGCAGAGTATAGGGATGTTCTGGGTTATGCGAGTGCGCTTGGGGTGTTGGTTTGGCAGAATGATGCTGGGAGGTGCTTTTTTGTGTCTCATGTCGAACAGATTAGTGCGTATTTGAGGAAGAAGAAGGAGAGTAGGGAGAGTGCTAGGGCGGGGAGGTAGGGTGTGGAGGGGATGAAAGGATACAGGTGGGTGGGTAGGAGCATTGACATGGGGCGTTTAGAAGTAGCAGTTATTGGCGTTGGGGGGTAAGTTGTCGATTGACCGGCGTCTGGGGTTACACGTTATGAAGTCGAGTGACACTGTGGGAGAGATATATACCATGATAAGCATTTGTTACTTTTCGTGCTCGTGTTGTTTGAGAGAGAGCAATCTTGGTGCATTCTTACGACCTTGGCTAAAGGATATTATCGTGCGAGAAGAGTGCCCTACTTCCTACGGCCCGATCAATGATCTTGGACATGCATAACCTTTTATTCCACCACTTCGCCAGGTTCATCATGCTGAGCCTCAGGCCCTCTTCTTCAGTGTCTCAGGTTGCGCCAAGTCACCCGAAACCCTCTTCTTGCTCTTTTCCTTGGGGCCTTCCATGCGTCCACCGGTTAACATATGCGTGAGCGCCGGCCGCGCTCCGTCCTTGACTGCGAGCTTCTCTTCCATCACCTCTAGCATGTCATTAGGGAATTTGTTGTACTAGTGTGGTTAGCAGCAGTTCACTCAAAAAGGCCTTTTCGTCACGTACCTTTATATGTACGCCTGGTACGGTATCGAAAGGTAGTCCAAGCTTTTTCGAGTGGATAAGTTTCAGCGCTCGAGCAAGATGAACGTCCTCGTCAAGGTCTTCCTCTGTGTACAGGCGGCCGTGATCGTCCAACAGCTTGGTTGCTAACTGTCTTGCCGCGTCGTCCATAGTTGGTCGGGCCTTTCTCGCAGCCTTGGAGTCAAGCTTCGCTCGTTGTTTATCCGTAAGTGGACGTTCATGCGTCTCCTCTTCCAAATCTGGATTGAATGCCGAAGAGTCATTCTCGTCGGAATCGTCGTCGGAATCGGATTCTACCGGGCGCCGAATGCCAACGAAATCTCGCCATGCATCGTAGTCGCGCCGGGTCATTCCTCAGAAGTCCCCTTCATCATCGTCGCAGGATCCGTCTTCCTCTTCTCCAAGAGCGATCGCTTCATGCGTGCGAAGTTCCTTTACTGAGATTGTTGCACCGCGCTTTCTGGAATTCGTCCACTTGATTTCACTGAAACTTTCTGGTCTCTCCCTTAGTCTTTTGGATTTCGAATCGACGATATTCTTGAGATCAACGTGCAAACCCTTCTTAGGGACTACCTTACGCCACTGCGGAGTTCATCTTGTGCTTCTCGCTGCTTTTCCTGGGCTTGCCGTTCGTTCCCTCTTTAACAGTCTCAAAAGCTCTTGATTGGCGGGATCTTCTTAGGCTTCGCGCACTTCCACATGATACTCTTTGAGTATTTCGACAGCAAGCTTACGGATCTCTGGGTCCTGAGCTCTTGTGGCCAACTCAACCACATATTTGTCGGACTTCTTCGACTCCCGATAACCACATAGTGAGTTCTTAACGAACATCTTAACGATTTTCACCGTTTAGAAGTAGCAGACATTGGCGTTGGAGGCTACCATGGATTGACTGGCGTCTAGGTTGCACGTTTGGAGTCGATGTATCGGTCTTCTCTGAGTAGTGACTAATGCGATATGACGTTCCTCATTTTCTGTGTTCTACTGATTGTGTAGCGCTTACGGGAAAAAACGCCTGCTGTTGACTGTCTCCTCACAGCCCAAATGGATCAAGGCTGCTCTTACCTTGCATTGCTCACTCTTACCCTCCACTATCATCCCCACGACAACCGAGATATCCATGTATCAGTATCACTACATCAAAGAGAGAAACTAGACACCTCTTAGGGTAGAGTAATTCTGCCTACTGCATTAAAGTATATTAGATTTGTATAGATATAAATAGAAAGCTTAGAAGACTACAATTCTATTTATCTCTATAAGTTTCCTTATTAGAGGATAATGTAGACTATAAGATATACCTTGTTATCTCTATATCAGTCTAGTGTTGTCCTTGTATGAGGTGGTATTTTCAGTCCCTTGTTTTAAAGTCTCGCGTCCCAACAAGACTCTGAATAGTCCAATCGCTTCAAAGATACACGGATCCGACTGCGCCTATGGGTGGTCTCCTATATTGGAGAACTTTAGATAGTGCAGAAACAGAGATAACTATCTTATCTATTAGGTAATTAAGAAAAACTTCATTGTTTCTTTGTTCTAATGCCCTTACCTCGTGTTGACTGTCCGTTTATTACATTACTGTGGAAACTACATCGGCTTTGAAGATCAAAATCATGTTCAATCGGCACACTACTTTCCTGTATGATCTGGACGGAAAGTCATCGAATTCAACAAGAAGTTTGGTCCTACCCCGCTGAGCATCTACATACTGGGCTGATCGTCATTGTGGTGCACATGCACAGCCTGCCAGACAGAGTGCCACGTACGCTGACCGCGGAAGGCTAGACGGTTTTGGGTTTTGTATTCTTGAAAACGACACATTACCACGACACGCCCTAAGTTACCCCGGGTATTTTACCATCCTTTTGCATTTACATTCCTGTACCAAGACGAGCAAGGGTGACACAAGAGTGCAAAGTCAGAAATGGAACAGAACACGTGATGATTGCGAGGCTAGAACGGAAAGCCAGTCATCCAGTCCGAAGCACTCGCTTATCCGAGTAGTCTTTCATCACGGTATCGATGAGGTTAACCCGCAATGACCATCCAGTGTTCGATAGCACCTTGCCCTACCGACGCTCCTCGCCTTCGTGACAAAACCACAATTTACTGGCCAGTGTCATCCTCAGCAGAGCCATGGCGTCTGTGGGATATTGCTCGTTTTCGCGCAAAACGCCTAATTGAAACTTACCGGTGGACTGCATAATTGGAAAAGAGGGGCATCACTCCAGACCAGTCGAGTGGAAATAGCTTGACGCCACGGCTGATGCGCCCTCAACGTATGCAAGGTGATGAGAAATCCTTCTGCGTTCCGAACACGTAGTCCAGCGAATTTGCGAGGCATACTCGAACACGGCAGTAAGGCAGACCCTGGCAAGGTGGAAGGGCAATAGGGCTACACTTCGTCGGGCACCAGTGCAGACTCAATGGTGTGCTGCGGTATCAACGTCCTTTCCGATTGGCATGGCACTGGAAAAGTTCGACAAACGCAGAAGAGGCAATGCAGTGTGCATAGGAGCGAGATTGTAATCACCCTGGAAGTAAGCTGACTGCAGGGAAAAAGAAAGCACACGATGGCGATAATCCGATCTTCGAGGAGACAGACGATGCAGAAGGCAAATCCATGTTTCATGAGGGGTATCGGTGTTATTGGGTGTTGTACCTAGGTATACTGAATTTCGAAATACTCAGAGCAACCAAGATGTCTAATGGAAGTGTTATGATATAGAAAAATGCTGGATGGAAGTTTCAGGATATGGGAAAGTGACAGTGGAGCTAGAATGGCCGAAAGGACTTCGCAGAAAAGGAAAACGCTGCTGTTGATCCATGGGTTTCGATGCGAATGCCAGCCTTACTCAGGCACTGAGGTACTACCAAGTGGAGTATCGGAGCCTAGGGTGGTCGGTAACAAGAGGCAGAGCTTCCTAGACTAGTGCAATATCCTTCGAAGCGCGCGACAGGCCTGTTACTCGCATCCACCGATGAGGAGCACCTACGACTCCTCTTGTAATTATACCCTGAAGCGTTACAACAGCGATTGAAGGACGTTCTTGACGACCACAAGATAGCAGAAAGGTACCCTACTGGACTGATAACCGAAGGTAATTCAAAGAAGACTGTGAGCATGCTTGAAGGCAGAAGCCCAGTCCTGGGTTCGGCGAGCTCACCACCGTTAACCTACGAATCCAGACCAAGATGACAGCAGAGCCTAGGAATCTTTCTGGTGGGGCGGGATGGTCGAATGGGGACATCTTCCAGTTGATAGCTCTACTCATAGGCATTCCGGCAGCCATAGTAGCGGTCATCATGCTGGCGATGTATTACAGGCGAAGAAGTCTGGGAAGGAGAGGTAGGACACCTTTTCCTCAGAATAGTCGGCGACAAAGGCCGCTCGGAGCATCTTCTGCGGCACACACAGGTCATCTCCCAATCGCCGATGTGTGACTCATGCTGGGCTTTGAAGGCAAAGACCAGTGATGAGACTGCTATGCCACACTCAGTGTCGGTAATGGGCGATTGTGTAGTTCCGCCTGGAGCTGGAGCTGAAGGTGGCGAATGGAGTCTACTGGCCTGTGGATAGGATTGGAGACAGAAGTGGTGGTGTGGGTCGATTAGGCTGACTATTACCTACAGACCGCGTTCTTGGAGAAGCAGCCGGTAATAGGGATACGAATCTGTTTGAAGGTGAAGACAGCCTGTAGAGTGTTCTACCTGTGGTGATACTAACGAGTAGTCAGATGCGGTCCATATCCCTGGCTCGACGATGGGTGTTGCAACAATAGCATGCCCTCGACGAATATGGCATTCAACTGTACGGCAAGGACGTATGACATGGCCATTGACCAGGTCGCTGCAGACGAAGGCGCGATGTGTTCCGGCCGAGGCATTGGGAGGTTTTTTGACTGCACAGACTTCGACGTCAGACATTCCGCTTGCTAGGAGGGAGACTGGGTCTCAGCAAAAAGGAACAGAGTTTCGTGACGAGGTCGATGCTTATGTCGAGCAAGAGCGGCGAGACTGGCTTGAGGAACTAGTATGATGGAAGATGGTTGCTCTGAATAAATCTCAAGTGCTATCATTGCCGGGAGACGGCGTGAAGAGCAGTAGAAGGTGGGAACTGTAGAGGGTGAAAGGAGAGTTCTAATTCAATCATGGAATAAAGTCAATCATGACAGCAAGAGAGATGAACCATCGTTTTGCGGAAGCAGTTGGAATAGAATATGATAAATAAGCGTTGCGTTTGGCTGTGATAGAAAGACACAAGGGGGACTGAAAGAAGGCAGTCATTGCCTGTTCCTAGGGAGAATTGAGGCTGCCTCACTAGTTCTTGGCGCTATCCGCATGAATGCTGACTGCAGCCTTTAGTGGGGCTAGCAGCGACTGGCACCAACTGATTAGACGCCCTCCAAGAGGCGCCGCCTCCAAAACGCTAACACGGGTTAAAAACTGGATGACCAGGATCAGCGATGACGAAGGCGGTGCTTGGCTAGACAAGTTGAGATTGACAGCATTTGCTTCACCGATGGGACATGGATGACCCTGATTTACTGAGGCTAATTGAATTCATACAGTAGTTGCTTCACCGATGGGACATGGATGACTCTGATCTACCAAAACCAATGGAGTTCGTCCTGCGTGCGAGCCTATTCGACTCAAGTCAGAAGTGCCAACAAACCAGACGATGCATACTTCAATATCTGCTCATGTTACTTACCGACGCGTCAGTCCGGTAATGTCACTTAGAGATGGAACTTGGAAGATAATACACTCGTGCCATGATTCGCTACACCTCTCACAAGGATCTTGCAGTACAATGTCAGTCGTGACGAAGATGGTAGTGACGCTTATAAGTTTTCTTTCTCTAGGTTGTGCTTGCTCGCTACCTTGAGAACCATTGGATGTCCAGCTCTGATCAAAAAGAACGAGCTTCCTTTAGCCATCAATCGCTGATTTTCTGTGATAAAGCATACCGTTGACTGTTTCTCCAGAGCCTCACCTTACTCAGGAGACGGCGCGACCAGGATTGCCGGTAATGCTAACGACGACTAGGAGCCTATACATCTCTGACTACACGATACTATGTATCGGTGATGCAATATGATTGTTGACGATCGCCTTGGACTTCAGCGACAGGATTGTGTGGTTTAGGCCGCTGCTGCGGCGATATGACGCATTGCCATACGTAGGTATAGCAAATTTCATCCTCCACAGAAGTTACAGCCTACGCTGTCTTTCGACAAGGAAACTTACAAGGACAGATAGTGTTGTAGTCTTCTAAGTTTTCTAGATATATCCTTATTGTTCTTAGTATGCTCTATTGTAGTTGCGCACTGCTAATGTTTTTTTCACATCAAGATTGCCATCCAGCCTTCTATTCGATCAGTACGGAGGATGGGACGGTCAGAGTAAGAGACGTGGTGACATCAAGCCAACCGAGTGAAGATTAGTGACACGATAATATCCAGCAGCTCCAAATACAACGTGGACAACGCATAGATACGGCGTAAGACGCCTGATCTCCAGACTAGTCAACAATCAAGCCAAGCAAGCTGGGACGACCAGCTTGGTTTGGCTTAATAGCTCTCTCGAAATGACCAGACTGAATTGATTAGATTAATAGAAGCCACCTTCCTAAGTAGGTAACTAACTAGCCTAATTAAGTAATAGATCTACAAAATTCTTCAGCTTGGCTTGATTGATCCAAAATTTCGGGAAAAAATCTTGAGATTGGCTTGATTGTTGACATCTCTGCTGATCTCCACACCGATTCCTTCTCATTCGGCAATACTTGAATCAACATCCCAACCATAGTCTGCCTGTATCAGGTTCTCGGCCTTTCCAGATCAGTTGCGCAGTAGCGAGAATGGTTCAGGCTGGTGTTTCGTGGGATCCACAATGGTTCATCTTAGCGTGCAATGTAAATTCATACTTCAATGAAGTATCCTTGCCTTCGTCCTAGCCAAACACACATATATGCACGTTATGGTCGTTCTCATCTCTGAGCTTCCCGCCCAACATGTGGCGCAAGCAAGGTTGCTCTCTTCCCAAAGTTAACAAGTGGATTTCACAACCACAGTACCACGCCGAGAACCACGGTAGCAAAGAAAGTCAGGTATGAGAATGAGTGACTTCAGGCAATCGCTATAAATCAGCAGCACCTCACATCCAGATTCTATAAAGAGAACAAGAAACCTTCTATACAATAACTTTGAACCAATGGAAATTCACCACCCAAACTTCTCCACCTGAACATCAACATCCCTACCCTTCCAAATCAACCCCGCACACGTATTCCTCACATCCCTCACCAACCCATCCGGCCCACTAACCACAACCCCACTCCTCGCACCCTCCTCCTCCGCTTCCACCCACTCCCCAACAATCCCACCCGCATCCGGCCTCCCCGCCAGACTCGTCGGCGGCGAAATAACCACATCAGCGCCCCAATCCTCCAACTCCTTCAGCTTATCTTCCGGAATCCAAAGCCTATGGTCAGGCGAATGTGTTATCCACAGCAACTTTACTTTTCTCAGAGGAGTCTTTGATGACGAAGAACAAGTCGTCTCGGAGTCATGTTGTGATGATCTAGGCTGTAAGAGAGCGTAGAGGAGGGGATAGGCAACTGCTATGCCGGACCCGCCTGCGACCAGTATAGCTGTTGAAGAGGATTCCAGGAGATCGAGGGCGTGGGACGAGCCGTAGGGTCCATCGAGGCGGATACGCAGGTGTTGGGTTGAGAGCTGGGATTGTCGTGCGTGCTGGAGGAGGGTGTGTGTGAAGCCTGATGGGGCCTGTGGGCGAATTAGGAGGGAGAACCAAGCATGCTTTTCTCCTTCCTGGTCATCATCTCGCGTTGACATTGACGGAGTCTGTGTGGTTGGCGCGGCGGAGAAGATGGTAAAAGGGTGAGATTGGATAGCGTGTTTGCGGGACAGACTCGGTACAGAGATGAAGATGTGTTCGTTTGGTTTCCAGCCTTGCTTCATGTTGTTGTTGCCCAGGACCCCGGCTATCTTATTCTTGGTATCGACTTGCCAGTTTGCGGATAAGAGGAGTGTTTCGTCGTCTTCGAGAACCGTGAGCGTAGCAGCATGTGTGCTAGATTTCAACCACATGCGATAAACCACGCGGTCGACAATCCAAATGGCAAGGGACACGCCCACGTACGGCCGCGAAGTATGGTGATGGAACCATAGGAAGACCAGGCCAGCAACTTGGAGCACAATGTGCAGACCCAAAAATACCTCGTACCACCTCTTCCTGAAGCTGCCCAGACTCGTAAAGTAAATCACCTCATACGCGACCAGCGCTGCCAAACCCAACAGCACCACCCGGTTGAACAGGAATTTCGCCAGCGTGAAACCCAAATGTCGCAGCATGCCATACCATGTGGCCACCATGCCGAGGAAGTGCAGGAACGCTTCCAAACACACCAGCTCCCCTACTCTTCTATGCAAGATATTCAGACTCTCGTACGAATATCCCGTCAACCGTTTTATCGGCTGGTTCTTCGCGGCGAGGAGGTAGAGGAGCGGGAGGTTTGCGATGAAGATGATTCCGCAGCGGTCGGCAAAGACGAAGAGGTACATGAAGGAGAGTGGCATGCGGTACAAGTTGTAAAAGATGTTGAGGGCTATCCAAGCGACGACAAGTAAAGAGACGGCGTTTGTAGGGAGGGTCTTGTTGACGACGGGGATGCGCGGGGGTTGGTATTGGAGGAGAGATTTGACAAAGTAGTATGGAGTCCATACTCCAAGTCTCTTTCGTTGCGGTCGCGATCGCTCGGGGACGGGAAGGAGAGGGCTTGATTCATCGGCATGGGCGGAGTTTAATTTCTTCGCGGCGGCGGTGGTATCCGGGGGTGTCGCGTTTCCTTCAATCGTACTGCTCGAGCTACTCCAAACTTCATCTTCTTCGTGCGCGGCCCCATCAGCTTGCTTCGCTATCCGTTGCCTCTTCCGCCTGTACAATACAACCTTCTCCCCCCAGTGCCACGCCGTAAACACTCCCAATACACCCAGCAACACCAGATTATACGTATTCAGAAACCTCCGACTGAACAATATAGCCTCGACCAGTTTGCGGAACCGCGGGTCTTTGCCCGGGTCATCAGGATCGGTAAGGTCGCCGCCGCCGCCAGCCGCTTTAGAGGCGTCGTAGTCGTGTGCGAACCACGGGGTTTCGGTTGACGCAGTCGCTGTCAGAGCGAATCTGAGGGCGTCGCGTAGCCATGGCGGTGTCGTGTCCATGGTGGGTGATGTTCTACATGTGGGGTGCAAGATGTTTGGATGAGCAGCGGCATGGCATGGCATGTCAGATGGTAGTGTTCCAGTTTCCCCACATGCGACCCGCGTCATCTACGCACGCGCGTGCGCGGGTTATCATGTGGCTGCCGATAAGCTTATCGAGAGGTGCCGAGGCATCCATAGTTCCATTTCGACGGCATGTACTCTTGCGAATGGAAGCTCCAGGTCCAGATTTACGGTCTTCTATACGACGGTGCTAGAGAATAGAGAAGAAGGCTCTGTAGTCGACACGATTTTATTCAAGATGACGTCGATCCATGTCCGTCTACTAACTTCACAACCATCAACATCTATTTGTTTGCCCAGTTGGCCTTCTCCTTTGCTGCAAATGCCGTCATTCCAATCTTCTGATCCTCGCTTCCAAATAGTCCATGGAAAACCCTCCTCTCATACTCGACACCCTCCCGAATACCCAGTTCCTGACTCTTATTCACGACTTCCTTGGCCGCCTTGACAGCAATCTGGCTATACCCCGCAATCTTCTCCGCCGTCGCAATAGCACCATTTACACACTCCTCAGGCGTCTCGAACACCTTGCTAACAAGCCCCCACTCGCTAGCCTGCTGCGCAGTAATGTTGTCGCCGGTAAGAATGACCTCCATAGCCCTCGACTTTCCAATCGCCTTGGTCAGACGCTGTGAGCCACCCGCACCGGGTATGACGCCTAGTTTGATCTCGGGTTGTCCAAAGACGGCTTTGGGGCCTGCGTACATGATGTCGCCCATCATGGCGAGTTCGCAGCCTCCACCCAGCGCATATCCATTCACAGCCGTGATCAGAGGCTTCTTGAGGAAGGTGATGAGGTCGGACCAGGATTCTATAAAGTCTTTACCGTATGCGTCGCTGAAAGTGAGGTCCTTCATTTCTTTGATGTCGGCACCTGCTGCAAAGGCTTTTTCAGAGCCGGTGAGGACGATGGCGCCGATGGACTTTTCGGATTGGAAGTCGCGGAGGGCTTGGTTGATTTCGAGGATGAGTGGGGTGGAGAGGGCATTGAGGGCCTTGGGGCGGTTGATTTGGACTTGGGGGCGTGGGTCAGATACTATTTTTCATAGAGTATGGCGATGGCAACATACTCAAGCCAACGCCAGGCTTAGCCTCCGACACAAGCAGATGCTCGAATGACCTCTGCGTGGCATATCCCCTTAGGAGTCTGGGTAGACCCGTTGACCGGAATTGAGACGCCGCTCTTGGTGTTGATCGTAGTGCCTGCATCTTGAGTGTAGTGAATTGAGCTCCGACTTGCAGTCCAGCTCAGGCAACAAGTATTTACATCGGAAGAGTGGATGTGTGAGCTCAGAAGCTACCATACAGGTGGGTAGTATCGGCACCTCGGCAAAGTCGCGCAACGCCCGCCAAAAGATGCCCGTCATCCCACCTTGCGCTAGGGGAAGCTACGTTGGTCCAAGCGCCGGGGCGGCGATCTAAGCCCCAGCCTTGCGACGTATTGATGTTCGCCGTTGAACTTTTGACACGATACCCTCAACAAGAACGTCGCCTCTTCACTCACCCGCATCGCCCCGCGCGCACACACTCGACTCCCCGCCGTCGCCATCTCCATCTTACCACCCCACACCTCCAAGTGAGACAGCGACAGCAGCCATGGACTCCCCCGAACCAGACACCCCTTTCAGCGCCGTCACGGCGCAAACCACAAAATACGGCCGCATCTTCCAGACCTACCTCGACAAGTCAACGCCCTACACTCCCTACAGATGGGGCGGCACAGGCTTCCTCTTCTTCCTCTTCGGCCTGCGCATCTTCTTCGCACAGGGCTGGTACATTGTTGCCTACTCGCTAGGCATCTACCTCCTCAACCTCTTCCTCGCCTTCTTGTCCCCCAAGTTCGACCCCGCGCTCGAGCAGGATGAGGGCATGGAAGACGGGACCGCGGGTGCAAGTGGACTGCCTACCAAGGAGGATCAGGAGTTTAGGCCCTTTGTGAGGAGGCTGCCCGAATTCAAGTTTTGGTACTCAACCACAAAGGCCATTGCCATTGGATTCTTCTGCAGCTGGTTCGAGATATTCAATCTGCCGGTTTTCTGGCCGGTGCTGGTGGTGTACTGGTTGATTCTTTTTGGGTTGACGAGTAAGTGGGAATCGGAGATGCATTCACACGAGTATTGGGCGAGGCTAACAGCGTTCTAGTGCGACGACAGATTCAGCATATGATCAAGTACCGCTACGTCCCTTTTACCGTCGGAAAGACACGGTACTCCGCCAACTAAGTCGTTCGACTTCGACCGACCGTCTACTTTCACTTCGTCGGATTATGGTCCTCTATATTGGGAGGGAAGGCTATTATTCAAGACATGGGCGCTTTTTTTCTTTAGGTCGGCAATAGACTTCGGGCTCTCATGTCCGCAACTCGGGGTTGCTATGCTATAAGGAGAGGGTGCTGGCACGATAACGGCTGATGTGTACACGTAGCAGGAAGCATGCCAAGATGCTATATCTTTAATATTGAGAAAAGATAAACACCATTATGCACGCGTGCACAGTTGAACATGGCACGCAAAGAAATGAATTCTAGGTATCTAGCAACAAGATCGACTAATTTGGGGGGAGAACAGCTCTGATGTGCAAAGAAAAGGAACGATGGATAGCCCACCCATGCTATGAGACAAGGCCACAAACAAGAGGCCGAGAGAGGCAGGGAACCAAGCCTACTCCATACGCAGAGCTGGAGCCTCCAGTTTCAACTCAGCCAAACTCGTTTTCCTCAGCCGCGGCGACCCCACTTTGACATCCTCATGTCCAATCCCCGCCTCCTTTGTGCATATCCACGTCGACGCATACATATTCACACTTATCGAAACGTTAGCAAACTACCCTCCACCGCTACCAAGGATCAAAACTTACCGATCGATACAACTACCCGGCACCCTAACCGCCACCCTCTTAGCCCCAAACCCATTCTCAGTAAACACCTTGATATACCACGGCTCCAGCCCCGCACTCCTCAGCATCACCCTTCCCTTGACCTTTAACGCGCGATTCAGTGCTCTAATCTGCTTGACCGCCTGGTTCCCCTGCGGCGGGAACCAATCCATACTATCCATGACGACGACAATGGTCAACGTCGCCGGTCTCATTCTACTAATCACCTCTGAGATTTCATCCGTGTGGATGCGCAGGCCGTTGAAGGCGGCTGGTTTACTGAGCTTGACGTGGGATTTCGGGGACAGGTAGGTGGGGTGCGAGGTGGGTGTGTAGTGGCCGAGGAGGGTGAGGAGGTAGTAGTGGTTTGATGTGGAGAGGAGCGTTGTGTTGATTACGGGCTCGAAGGTGTTGAGGACGTATTCGTAGATTGCGTTTCCGCTGCTGCTTTTCAGGGCGTCATCGGAGGGTTCTTCGTGGAAGGCCATGTAGTCGGCCGCCGAATCCTTTTTCGCGTGTTGTTGTGACGGCGATGATGGCACGTCGAAATCGTCCGTCTTTTTGAAGTCTGCTTCGATGACGGCTCGTTGGGCGGGCGGTACGCCGAGGGCTTTCCAAAGCCACTTTTCGTTTCCGAGTATGGCCCAGGTGAGGATTTTGGAGTGGAGAACGGTTTTGATGGAGCGTTGCCAGATTTCTCGTTGTTCGTTTAGGGTTTGTGCGGTGCAGAGTTTGCGGACGTCAGATGTCATGCCTAGGATGTGGAAGAGCCAGGCTGACATTGTGATGGCGTTGCCCGAACCACCAGAGTAGTATAGACCCTTTGACGAACGAGCTGAGAAGACGGAGGGGCCATTGTGCAGCCAGAACTGGAAAGCTTCGGACGAGAGGTGAGGGCTGAGTTTCTGGATCAAGAGGTTGTGGAAGTCCGGGTGCTTGCCTTCGCCAAAGAGTTTCCAGACGTCTTGGTAAGGAAGGGCTGTGAAAGCGGCTACTTTGAGCTCGAGAAGGTGGTTTTGGCTGGGGTTAAGGTCGACGGCGTGGACACGCCGGCAGTTTTCTAGACAGAAGGCTAGGATGTTGTCGCCGGCTGAGCCAATAGCAAGGACGACGTCGTTGGAAGTGGGTTTGAGAAGGCGCATATCTGCTACGTCGTCTTCCCAGGTGAAGGCGTAGATGTAGGAGTTGTTGAAACGGGTATGCTTGGGAAGGGCGGAATCGTAATGGATGCGCCAGTGGTGATTCTGGTACCATGTTGCTGGAAGAGGTAGACTGGATTGGAGGTTCACGACTGCGGATTCGTAGGCTTTTGAATGTACTTCGACGTCCGCCTGTGTAGCTCCTGTTTGTAGGTCAAGAGCCGTAAGGTAGGGCGATTCGGTAGCGGCCGCATCGATCTCAGCAAGCTTCTGTGTAGACGCGCCATGTTCTTTCGAGCAGCCAAGCCAGATGAAGTAAGGGAGCTTGATGCCAGTGCCGAAGAAGTTGTTGCGAGCATTTATACTGAGGACCGTGCCAAACCGGTACTCAAGATAATCCTACGAACTGTCAGAAGTTGTTCTTGTATCGCAGAGAATCGACATACTCGTCGCGCAGGCTCAAGATTTACGCGGTCAATTTCAAACCATGTCCGCCAGAATACACGTGAGATCCACATGCAGTGACGATCGATAGCACCGCCCATGTAGTTTCTACCCATGAAGTCGACCTGGTTCTGTACGTAGAAGTCGACAACGCCGATAACGCCATTAGGACTCATCAAGCTATCAATCGAGTCGATGACGGGGTAGAACTCGGGTATCATGCTCAAGGCATAGCTCATGGTGACGAGTTCAGCACCACCGGCATCTGCGTTCTCGTCGAGGTCGCGAACAGTTTGACCTTGAGAGATTATCTCCTTGCGCTCGTAGGCTTGCGGTTCGTGTTCATGAAGGCGAAATGCACGCGCATCCTGGCAGATGACCTTGACATTTGTCCAGCCGAGGCGGGCAAAGCGTTTCCTGGCCATCTCACACAGTGAAGGAGAGAGGTCGACGACATCTGCGATCATCAGTAATGCTCTACTTGTTGATTTCAGCCTGACTCACACACTGCGCGGAAGAAGCTTGCTACTGGTACGAAAGCATTCATCTGCTCAACACTATACTCTTGTTAGGTAGCAAATCTCAAAGTTGATGACTGTGCGATTACTTGTGACCAGTTCCTCCGCCAATCTACTCTTGTCAGCATACCAACCAACCCGAATCCTTATTGCTACGTACATCAACCCAGACAGGGCGCTGCGAGATCAAGTTCGCTTCTGTACGGTGCTTCAGTTGCGCAGCGACCAGCCCCAACATATCCTCACGACCCCGAAGAAGCTTAAGGCGCGTGGCATCGTAGACATCAGCCTGAGCTTTGTAGAAACTTTCCTATCCATTCGGTTAGACAATATCCAAACTTCCTCTGTTCCGTCAATCTCACCAAAGCATCCTGCTGGCTCCCAGATCCGTCGCCAGTGTGCGGCTTCAAGAAGCACCCATAGATGAATTTGAGGTATGCTTCAAACGTGCTCGGCGCCTGCTCTTTACTCCTTGGCCTGAACGCAAGAGCAAAGACGACGGCAAGAAACACGCCGACGACACACAGAGTAACAGTAAGTTGGTGAAACGGGTCACGCGGAACAAAGGTTGAAAGGCCCAGCATAGCTGCGACGTTGCAACAAGACAAGACAAGACAGCTCGAAGCAATGATCAGACAAGAGACGAAGGGAAAGAGGTAAACACAACAAAGCAAAAAAGAAACCCCACAACCACAATGGAGGGGTTATATGAGAACGCATTCCGAGAGACATGGGCATCATTCCGACTTCGGGTTCGTCATACTGCATGTCCAAATGATGGTAGACCAGTCACCCCATTGGGCGAGGCATCGTCTTCATGTCTCAGACAGCTATCAGCCAATGGAGCTCGCCACATGTTCTGATGATCTCGAAAAACGGCGCCTGGCAACCTGCCCGCAGATTCACCAATATTCTACCATAATGTTACGGAACTGCCTCTCGTAGACAACCCCGCTAGAGGCGGCTATGCAGGGTCTGGTAGAACCGAGAGTTTCTCCAGATCTCAAAGGGACGGAGACAACGGTCGGCCTATCAAAGAAAGGTGTTGTTGCGCGTGGGTGTGAGGTGCCTGGTGTTGAGGTAGCATTGTAAGGATGGTTGAGGTTGGGTGGTTGGCATGGGAGCCAATGAGGAGTGGCGAGGGAGGGCGTGCCAAATCCACTGACGGGAATGCAGGGACGGGGTTGTTGCGCTTCGAGAACGTGTGGGCGTAGCGCGACTCCACGACATGGCTCGGCCTTGTTGCCTCCATGCAAGTCACTTTGGATTATCTGGTGCGCGAGGCGACGATCCGGAGGATGTCGGCATCTGCGAGCCTTGTGCAATCGCATTAGCTAAGATCTGAAGCTCAGGCTATCAATCACCGTTGGGGGTTGAGACCAGGAAGATATCCGTCTTGAGTTGGGCTTCGCGAATGTCTGAGATGATAATCATAAGCAAGAAGCAGATGTCGTTGAGGCGTAGTGCTTGTGTGATGCTCCAGCACGCGGTGATTGTCATCCACCCAGGTCCTGCAAATGTCAGCTTTCATTCTGTCACATTCTTTTCGGGTGACTGTCGTGTTGGAAACTGATTCAGTCATCGTGAGTATCATGATAGAAGTAGGCGTACTGTGTGCGGCCCTCGTTCTTCATGAAGTGTGCTGTTCACGAGGCATCCAACCCAAAAGTCACGCTAGATGACTGCGACCCAACCTTGTTATTCGTAATCGTCATTCCCGCTATGGTACTATGCTGAAGGTCTAAGTATTATTACAAGCCTGGCATTCGAGTGCAAGCCACCACCATTCAACCACACCTTAAGCGTAGAAGTTGACCGTGTCCTTCTTCTTAGCCTGCACCTCAGCAATAGCATCAACGTAATGCTCGTGACTAATCTTCTGGTGACCAGTCCGGAGAGCGATCATACCAGCCTCGACACACACAGCCTTCAGCTGCGCACCACCGAACTCGTCGGTACTACGCGCCAACTCTTGCCAGTTGACAGCGTCGTCAACCGTCATCTTCCGCGAGTGGATGCGCATGATCTGTGCACGAGCCTCCTCGTTGGGTAGCGGGAATTCGATCTTCCTGTCCAGACGTCCAGAACGTAGCAGAGCGGGATCCAAGACGTCGACTCGGTTCGTCGCAGCAAGGACCTTAACACGGTCGTCTGAGGCGAAACCATCCAACTGGTTCAGCAACTCCAACATGGTTCGCTGAACTTCCCTGTCTCCGGACTTCTCGGAATCGAATCGCTTTGTACCGACGGCATCCAACTCATCGATGAAGATGATTGAGGGGGCCTTTTCTTTCGCCAGAGCGAAGCAGTCACGGACCAACTTTGCACCGTCACCGATAAACATCTGTACGAGTTGTGGACCGGCGAGCTTGAGGAACGTGGCGTCGGTTTGCGCAGCGCAGGCTCGCGCGAGAAGAGTCTTTCCGGTACCAGGAGGGCCGTACATCAGTGCACCTGTAATGGTTAGTTGTAGTCGCGGAATGAGCGTAGGAACTACTCACCCTTTGGCGCCTTGATGCCAATCTTCTTGAATCGCTCAGCCTCCTTCATAGGCCAGACTACAGCCTCGACAAGCTCCTCAATCTGCTTGTCCAGACCTCCGACATCAGTGTACTTCTCAGTCGGCTTCTCGTCAACTTCCATAGCCTTCACCCGACTGTCGTACTCTGCGGGTAATGTATCGAGAACGAGGTATGAGTCCTTGTTCACACCAATGAGGTCACCGGGCTTGAGCTTCTCGTGATCGACTAGTCCGATGAGGGGCAAGAAGATGGTCTGTCGCGTAGAGGTCTTGATAACGGCCGACTTGCCGACGCGGGTGGCGTCTAAATCGATGTTTGCTCCCTCCTCAGCGGCTTCTTCGGTGACGTCCAGATCGAGAATCTCGACGACGTTTCCAACGAGATAGGGCAGTTGTCTGTGAGATGTAAGTCTGTTGTTCGAAACACCGCCACGCGGGGCCGACAGCGGTCACATAGATGTCATACCTATTGTTCTCGATCTTCTCTAGGTTGTCCTTGATCTTCTCGTTCATTGAGGCCTTTTCGTGTGTGAGTCGTTGGTACTCGCTCTTCATGATGCGCATGTCATTCTCCAGTAACCGCCTTCGTGCAACGATGTCTCGTGTGCTTGAGTTGAGGATCTCCTCGTCGAGCTGCTCCTCCTCTGGCTCTGCATCCTCCATCTCTGCATCGCCATCGGCCTTCTTTCCTTGTTTGTCTCCGTCTTTCTTATCATCGTCCTTCTTCTCTTCCTTCTCGTGGCGCTCGATGTCGTCGAGATCTTCGAGTGTAGACATGGTGGCGGTCTTATCTGGGTGACTTTACGCGGGTGTGGTGAGAGGAGATGGATGAGCGAGTGCAAGAGTGGTTGTGGAGAGTGACGCCGATAGTGAAGTTGTTGTTGTGCGGCGGTGATGTGGAGCTGTAGAGGCAGCTATGGATTACGAAGGTACGCACGGTGAGCACCTTAGCTCCGATTGTCTTGGCATCTGTCACGCCGATCCGTCGCGAAACACGTTGCAGCAATAATAGTGTATTACAGATGTCGCGTTCGTCTGCGAGGGTGATTGCTTGATGAGCTATATCTGGTATATGATGTGCGCATGAGATTAGGGTTCGACGGTGTGCTTCTCTACAACGAAAGCGCGTGCAAGTATTCATTCAAGACGTAGTCGCTGGTGCCTTTCGAAGAAGAAACTATACCGACTACCTCCGGATTCCTGTGCATAACTATAAATGACTCCTGTCACCCTCATTTTTATACTGCATCACAGGGAAGAAGTGAACATCTCTTTTCACGGTAATAGTTCCACCTACTACAGTAGAGCATATTAAGAACAATATGGATATACGTAGGAAACCTAGAAGACTGCAACTCCACCTGTCTTTATAAGTTTCCTTGATGAAAGGAAATACAGGCTGTAAAATAGAAAGTGTTAGTTCTGGGCCATTCTAGACTGTTCCTTGTATGAGGTGTGTTGTTCTTAGGACATAGACAGTGGGGCAAGCCGGAGCACTCAACCACACTGCGTTTTTTGTCGGGTTATATTTTACATACGTCTTCAAAATCTCATCCATCTCCCTCGGGCACCTTGGCCTAATGGTAAGGCGTTGCTTTCCGGTGGCAAAGATTGTGGGTTCGAGTCCCACAGGTGTCGTTTATTTATTTTTTTGCATTTTTTTTGGGTAGTCCGTCTGATCATGGACCGACCTTTGCGATTGCGCTTGTTGTTTTGGGCTTGGTGGTCCATGTCGTTATCGCCATCGTCGTCGACTGCGACACTGCTCGTGGATCGACTCTTACGCTTTTTGCAGTGAGTTACGGCGACATCTCCGTCACTATCGAGAGCACCTAGTCGCTCGTCTGGTGCCTCCGTTGCTTGGAATTGATTGCGGCTGCGCCTGGCAGAAGTAAATCGCGTTCCCAACAAGACTGCCTTGACGACTGACGTAGACTTCGCCAATTCGACAGGGAATGCTGTGTCTTGAATCATGTTTGCAAGAGCTTTGGTTGGAGTTTCGTCTGATATGGCGGCTCCAAGCAAATCGTGTTCGGTCGCGTATGCAAGCACGTACTTCCGCACGTCCTTGCGCTCTTCCGTACAAAAAAAATGTTAGGTCACTGCATGGCATCGGTGCTACGGCTCGGAAACTTCATGATCTATTCTACAAGGTGATGTTGGATAGTCGTTGTGATTTTTTTGGTCGTTGCTATGTTGAATCTCGTCTCTTTTTGCCTCTCATCGATGCAAAGTACTTCTTGCTGCTACAACAAATTGTATTAGAGCTGTATAAATATATACAGAGAGTCCAGAAGTCTACAATGATTAATCTTTATAATCGATCTTGTTAGAAGCTAGTGTACGCTGTAAGGTAGAGCTTATTATCTCTACCTATTCGGTTTTCCTCTGGTATGAGGTGCGAGGACATTGGGACTAGCACAAATCCAGCATAGCTTCAACAATGTGGCTGAACGAGATTCTTCGTATCCGACTTGTAGCTCCAAGATATGGCCGAGGTCACGTTAGGTGGTTGAAGAGCATACCCGTGCTAATGCTACTTCGCAACCACCCGACCTCCGAGCTTCTTCGCCAGTACACACAAGTCTCCAAGCTCTACTTGCACTTAGTACTGCTGCATCCTAGCGCAATTCTTGTGCACCACAAGTCTCATCTCGCCTTGTTAATACCCAAGAACTGAATGTCATGTTCTCGGCAAGAGCACTCCGGTGCGCTCATGTTCCGAATGTCGCCCGGCGTACTGCGCTTCATCCATTATACAAAAAGGTCGGTTTCAGCGCGTGTTCGAAGTCTTCTACAACGCTAATCAGACGACTAGACTTCAATCCGTCTGAGTTCGTCATCCAGTACTGGCGCGACTGTAGGGAAAGAGCAGAACACTCAAGTTGACGCACAAACCGCATCTGCCAGTTCCACAGCCCAAAAGCAGCGCACCCAAGATGTTGCGGAAACCAAAACTCCCCAGCAAGAAAAAGTCGAAGCACTCAAGCCCAGAACAGACCGTCTCGACGAATACCTTGGTGTAGAGAACATGAACAAAGCCAAGGAATTGAGCACATTCACTAAACTGCTAGCCTATGAGCTCAACAAGATTTACGGTCACCAACGCTTTCTCAAGAGACTCTTGAGAGGCATGTACAGAGTGCGAGATCATCCCTTCACGCCTCCAGGCGGGCGAGTGAACATCCCTCGGACAGAGTTCCGTGAGGACAAGCTCTATGTCGACTCGCGACTAATACCGAATATTTGGTTGCGGGATAATTGCCAATGCGGAAGTTGCATGCACGACACTACCAAGCAGCGACTGATTGACACGTTCTCTATACCCAAGGATATCTCGATCAAATCACACTGGATCGAGGGTGAAGGAGAAGATCCCACATTCAAGATTGAGTGGAGTGACGGCCACGAGAGCAGATACCTGCGCTCTTTCCTGGCTCAAACCACCACTACTGAGGACTTCAAAGCCATTCAGCGCCAAGGACTTGTCGAACTCAACCTATGGGATTCAAGAATCGCCTCCAACCCCCCAACACAGGCATACCACCACGTGATGAGCCGCGATCCCAAAAAACTTCTGAGGAAGATCCGCACACATGGATTTTGCTACGTCGACGGAACACCTTCTGAAAATCCTTTGTTCACAAAGATGTTACTGGAGAGGATTTCTTTCATTCGTGAAACGCATTATGGGGGCTTCTACGACTTTACTGCGGATCTAGCATCAAACGACACAGCATACACCAACATCGCTCTCGAAGCTCACACAGACACGACCTACTTCTCCGACCCCGCGGGTCTGCAAGCCTTCCACTTGCTCTCGCACACCGACGGCGAAGGCGGCGCGAGCTTGCTCGTCGACGGATTCAAAGCCGCAGAGGAGCTGAGACAAACAGATCGGAAAGCATACGAAATCTTGTCCACGGTGAATGTTCATGCACACGCAAGTGGAAACGAGGGTATAAGTATACAGCCCTACCGCGGTTTCCCCGTCCTAGAACACGACACCGCTACCGGTGACCTCCTCCGCGTTCGGTGGAATTCTTCCGATAGAGCCTCCATCGAGCTGCCCATCGAAGAAGTCGAGACGTGGTACGATGCAGCCCGAAAATTCGACGCCATACTCAAGAAAAAGGAGAATGAGTATTGGGAACAGCTTGTCCCAGGGAGGGTACTTATCTTCGATAACTGGAGGGTGTTGCATGGGCGGAGTAGCTTTACAGGGAAGCGGAGGATTTGTGGAGGGTATGTCAACAGGGACGATTGGATAAGCAAGTTTAAGATGCTAGAGTTCGGCAGCGAAGACGTGTTGAAGGGGTTGGCTGTGAATTAGATGTGAAAAAGGAAGAAAAAAAAACTTGACAAGGTAGAAATACTGTACACAGGACATGTTTTCAGGAGCTGGTAGTGGTGTGCAAAAACGTGATGTCTGGTTCATCAGAACTTATATACACTCTGGATACCACATTGACCGTTCCCCTACGAACCCCTCGCAGCCCTTTCCTGTTCCAGCTCCAACTCGGCTTGGCGATAGTACTTGGCCGTGTCCACACCGTGGTAAGGGTGGTTGACAAAGTTTGGCCACGTGAGGACATGAGCAAATGTAGCCGCGTAACGCGAGTTCCTGTGCGCAACACCCTGCATGTACTCGGTCATCTCAGTAGTTCCGTACAGAGGCTCGCCCTTCTTGACTTTGTCGACCATTTCCCGCATGTCCATTTCGACTTCGCGGCGGTTCTCGCGGGCGCCGTAGAAACGCACTAATGTACGTGTTAGTATCCGATTCTGCGCACAGTATGGAAAGGGCACGTGTGATTTGAACTGGGTGGGGAAGTGGTGGACGTACTGCATGACCTCGAGTAGGCGAAAAGAAAGGCGCCGGTGACACCGACGGCACCGCTCAGTCGCATGATGGGAGCGAAACCGCCCTTGCCGACCATGGAGGGTGAGACCCTCTCCCAGTAAAGCATCAGTCCAGGACTCAGGGCTCCGAGCGCGGCACCGTAAGCCCAGTCCGAAGGGCGGGTATACCGCATGACTCGTTTAAAGTGTCTTCATCTAGGGTCAGTATGCGCGTGCGTTGGATATGGTAGAGGGGGCGTACGGGTCATTGTCGATGAGCTGCCATGGGTTAGCTACTGCCGTCAATTGCAGAGGGCGTGGGAGCGCAATTGACTCACAGGATACTCTCCCGTGGGGATCTTGTCCGGCACAACAGCCTGGTGCCTGACGTAGGCGTCCTGCGAAGACATGTTGGTGTTGACTTGGGTCGTCTCTACTGCCGAGTATCTTGTTGTTCGCGAAGTGAGGTTCCGACAGGCGGGCGGCAAGTGCCGCATGCGGGCTTTGGCCCTTAGTGTGGCTCTGAGCTTCGGCGCGACGCCATTGCAACTACTTTTATTTCCTTGGCGCGTCACACCCGCAACACCCATTCTCGGAACTTGTCTTTTGCGACAACAATGCGCGCCGGCTCCTTTACGTGCGCACTACAACCATCCCGACCGCGAACATGGCTATGAAAGTTGACGATATGGAGGACGTCAAGCCAACCGGCTTGACCATGGCCAACGGCGCGTCCGATGCGCCCACCGATTCGTCAAGCGTACACGCCCGCCCTACTGTCGCCGACTTGCACGGGGAGAACCATTTCGCGCAGGTGGCGAGGAAGAACTGGCTGTCCGCCAAGAAGACACCCAAAGTGCGACCCGAAGTGGTCAAGAAAGAGCTGTGGGACGAGCTGGAGAATGTCGACTTTGCATATTCGTCGCTCTTGATTCTGGAGAACCTGCAGCTGCTGGAGAGATATCTGTGGCCTGGCTTTACTGACGAGGCATCCAACTATCATGTCCTGCTGGTGGCGCTCATGGTCAATGTGAAGAGGAGGGAGAATCTGACATCCTGGGGTGAGTGCATGCGATTCCAGGTTATCGACAACACATGCTAATGGCCGCAGACCACTTTGCTAGCAAGCCCGCCGAGTTCTCCTCCTTTTTCCGCCGCATACTGTCCATGACCGTAGACCCGTCGCAGCCAAGCAAGATCCGGACACAGCTCATATCCTTTGTCATCGGCGCCTTCCAGTCGTTGGACAGCGGTCTTGTGCGAAAAGAGTGCGCCCCTCTCGTTGGCATATCGATATGGCAAAACCTCCACTCCGACGCCGTGCGCGAACAGTATTTCGAGGAACACAGCATGTTGCGCAAGGCATGGAGAGCTGCGTCCAAGCGGTTCGATGCTGGCGATGAAGCGCTACAGGCCAGGCTCCGATTCGAGCGGTCATGGATATATACACTTTTGCTCGACTTCATCGACCGGCTGTACAACACCACCAGCAGGGACGAGGCTAGGGATAACATGACCTACTGCGAGCGCTTCATGGAGCTTCTGGTAGACCTGCAGAGCCAGCTGCCAACGAGGAGATATGTCAATACGCTGCTTCAGGACTTGAATATGCTGCCAGCTATCCGATTGTCGCCAATGTACACAGACGAGGACAATGGCCTTTTCCGGGACCTGTTCGACTTGCTGTGCCACTTTACCAACTTCCCCATCGAGGACCAAACAGGGAGGCAACTGTTCAAGCTCGAGTACGATCAACAGCATTACGACACTCTGGCAAAGTTGCAGCGGACGGGTTATGCTGCCTTCCAGGAGAAGCTTCAGCTAATGGCTCTGGCAAACTACAGTAGCATTGGGAATCGGGAGGAGCTGGACGGCCATCTGCGCACACTGAGCGATAGTGAGCTCGTCGAGCTTTGCTCTCTCATGGGCCTACGGACAGAATACTCCACTACCACTTACCTGGTGCGGGATCGAGCTTTCTACATGGAGACCCTGATCGCGCTTGTCGAGCAGCGCCCTACCTTCAAGGACAACGTTCGCGAGATGCCAGTATTGCCAACTGAGAAGGTTCTCTACGAAACCACATTCCTGCGAAACGAGTCTTACGACGGATCAAGACCGCTCGCTATACCTAAGCTGAACCTCCAGTACCTGACCATGGGTGACTTTTTGTGGAGATCCTTCATTCTGTACCGCGCGGAATCATTCTATGGTATCCGAAAGGACATGGAGGACGTAGTCAAACGCGTAAAGCCCAAGGGCAGAGGCGTCAACACCAAGTTTGGCGGTGTGTCCAAGATGTCACTGCCCATAATGAAGCCCGCCATCGTCGATGTTGCACCGTCCAAGGTCGGCGAGGAGCACCCCGCATACGTTCGTGCTGAGATTATACTGGATGTCAGCCGCCTTCAATACCCAGTACGAAGGGACTGGGAACAGCTCAGGCCAGATGATGTCGTCTTCCTGCTTGCTGTCGAGGGTAAAGATGACGTACCCATGCGCAACGGTCACCGCGAGGACATCACTACTGGGGAGCAGCTCGGCCTCCACCGGATGAGATGCGCCCAGGTGGTTCACGTTCTGGATGACAAAGGACGGCCTCTTCGCGAATCAGCCCACGACAATGGGTTTGGACCTCGTGTACGCCAACGACGACTCCTCGTCAATATCGACGCCAAGCAATACAAGACCGACATGGACCAGACTGCCGAAGGAAGGCCTAACGTTTACGAACACATCAACCTCATCGTCCGTCGGAAAGGACGGGAGAACAACTTCCTGCCTATCCTGGAGTCTATCAAGCGCCTGACGCTCTCGGACATCCCAGCACCATCTTGGCTTCAAGAGGTGTTTCTAGGATATGGTGATCCTGCATCAGCAACCTACAAGCGCCTTCCGAATCGACTGAACAAGATAGATTTCCGCGACACCTTTCTGGACTGGCAGCACCTAATCGAGTCCATGCCCGGCAAATCCATCGAACCCCACGAAGAAGCACAGACATCCTTTGGGCCTCCATACGTCGTGGAATACGCTGCTGCATCCGAACCAAAACTCGCACCCCCTAAAGCGTCCAAAAAGCGGCGTCGCAATCAGGTTGAGGTAGCACAACCTCTGCATGAATCGCTTCATGTATCCTCGTACAAACCACCGAACATGGGGCCTTACCCCGCCGACACACCGAAGACGAATGCGGTCAGGTTCACGCCAAAACAAATTGAAGCCATCACTTCGGGAACGCAGCCTGGTCTTACGGTCGTGCTCGGACCACCTGGTACCGGCAAGACGGACGTTGCGACCCAGATTATATCCAATATATATCACAATTTTCCGGACCAGCGGACTTTGCTCGTTGCGCATAGCAATCAGGCGCTGAACCAGCTGTTCCAGAAGATTGTGGCGCTGGACATTGATGAAAGACATCTGTTGCGGCTGGGTCATGGCGAAGAAGACTTGGAAACCGATGTGAGCTACAGCAAGCACGGACGTGTGGAGTCGTTCCTCGAGAGGGGACAATACTACCTCTCTGAAGTTGATCGCCTAGCGAAGAACTTTGGTGCGCCTGGTGCGCATAGCAGCTCATGCGAAACAGCAGACTACTTCAACCTTGTGTATGTGAAGCCAGCGTGGACGCAGTACTGGGACTCCATCACTTCCGAGGACGTAAGCGTCGAGCAGATTGTCACCGAGTTCCCATTCAAGGACTACTTCTCCAACGCACCACAACCTCTTTTCCCCCAGGCCGCAGACCGCGAAGAGATTCTTGAGATTGCACAGGGATGTTACCGCCACATCGAGAAGGTCTTTGCCGAGCTGGAAGACATCCGTCCGTTTGAGATTCTGCGAAACCCACGCGATAAAGCAAACTACCTGCTCATAAAAGAGGCTCGCATCATCGCCATGACATCAACCCATGCCGCGATGCGCCGACAGGAGATTGCCAACTTGGGTTTCCACTACGACAACGTCATCATGGAAGAAGCTGCTCAGATTACCGAGATAGAAAACTTCATCCCGCTCGCGTTGCAAAATCCGCGGGAACAGGAGGACGGTGAGAGAGAGTTGCCGCTTCAGCGCATTGTTCTTGTAGGTGATCACCTGCAGAACAGCCCGGTGATACAGAACCTCGCTTTCCGACAGTACGCAAATCTTGAACAGAGTTTGTTCCAAAGACTGGTTAGACTGGGTGTGCCGACTATTATGCTCGACCAGCAAGGTCGTGCCCGCCCTTCCATTGCGGAACTGTACAAGTGGCGATACCCCGCCCTCTCCAACCTGCCTTCCCTCCTTTCAAACCCAGAGTTCCAAACAGCGAATCCCGGGTTCAAGCACGAATTCCAGTTCATCGATGTGGGCGACTACAAGGGCAAAGGGGAAGACCAGCCGACGCCGCACTGGATGATTAATCTGGGCGAGGCCGAGTATGCGGTTGCGCTGTTCATGTATATGCGTTTACTGGGTTATCCTGCACACAAGATTAGCATTCTCACCACGTATGCTGGTCAGAGGTCGTTGATTAATGATGTTTTGGGACACAAGTGTAAGAACAACCCGCTTTTTGGGCGGCCGAAGCATGTTAGTACCGTGGATAAGTATCAGGGTGAACAGAACGATTGTAAGTCGCTATTTTATATTCTAGAAGAGAGATGGACAGACCGCTAACATGATGTGTGTTTGCAGATATCATTTTGTCACTTGTACGAACGCGCGCCATTGGCTACTTGAGAGACATCCGACGCCTCACCGTCGCCTTGTCGCGTGCAAGACTC